AAAAATAAAACGAATACGTGAGAGTTTGAGAACCGAACATCGAGAGCGAATTTGATACAAGTAACAATGCGAATGAACGTTCATAAAATCAATTTTGTGCGTTAGGAGCTAACGATGTTGAATCGAAGAGACATCAGGTTTTTGAGGTAAATGTAGAGTGCGTCAGCTACAAAATAGTATAAATATATCAAAAAATAATTGCCTGCTACCCAGGAAATTTCCATCGTGAAATGATTCTTGGCAAATTGTCCTGGAATCACTCATTATCGACGTAATTTCATATTTGATCAAATTTATACGTGTAAAATGGACTCTTTCATTTACTACTTCTTTGTTAAGTTGCAAGTCGAGGAAATTGTGATGAACATGTTCTTTCTTTGTGGGTTGCCAGGATGAGTAAGGACTGAAACTGCACATTGCCTACAGTGTTTTATTTGTTATTCACATTTTAGCTGAGTTGGCTTTCTCTGGATACGTCAAAACGACCTTATTCTACGCTATGTTTTTGTTTTACTTGTTATTATGGGGGATAACGAGAAATCGTGTGCATTTGACGTACAATGATACCAGAATTGAAGGGATATTCATCAAAATTAAATTCTCTGAATAGAAATCAATGGAAAATCGCCCTTGCCGCCATTCTTTGAATGAGAAAATTTGTAGGAAAAACTGGAAATATTGTACTCACTTTCGCCATTCTGAGGTCGATCGATCTTCTACTTAATACCCAAAATTCTTGAAAGTCCTGCTAGTATTGCCTTCCCGAAAATCCGTCTTATCATGCGCAGTTTACTGATAACAGTTTACGGAATAAAATTCTTACATCATCACTTATAGTTTTAAATAATTTTCACAACATTTTCCAACTACTTTTAATCACTTTTCCATGGTGGGAAACCCTGGGCTTTGCGATAACTTGATAACGTTATTCTGACCGGCGTCGTTCGGAGCAATTCAGAGCACGGTATTGATCAACGGCGCGGTCATCGAGGGCGTCGCTGTTCACGGCAACAGAGGAGGAGGGGGATATTAATGTTTTCACCTCTTCACGGTTTACATTCTAGCACTTCTACTTCTCAAAAATATATTCCTTTTCTACTTCCAACAACTCTTGAAAACCCTAGTAACCCTCCTGCTTTAAAATTGTCAAATATATTCACGGAGTTAATCTCTAAACATAAACAAATCTATTCCACCCAACTGGAAATAAAGAGAGCAGAAAATCTCCATAACCGACCGTTCTAATTATCCCGCTCATGTTTCGCGCATGCTTCGCGCATTTTTCCCATTACCATTAAATAAAACCACATTTTTTAAATCATGTGCATATTATTAGGTAGATCACATTGAAATAAACAAATTGATAAAACGTTGTCGAGAGATATTTTTTATGGGCGAAGTTATGGAGTACAAATGTACACTTCCATGATACTGTTCGTAAAATGGCATTTTACGGACACTTCGTATCCAGCGAACGTCAGTTATAGAGCTGCGGGACACCCCCAAAAAAGCGCTTCTAAATTGACCGACTGACCACTCGCGTTCTAATGCGTAATTCTTTTTTTGAACAAAAAAATCGTTAAAATCGTTCTTTTTAATGAACTATGATCACAGAACGTCAAGTAAATAATTTCCAATCAATTTTAGGCATTGCAACTATTTATTATCAACAATTTAATTATTTAAATCACCCTTGCGCCCAAGCTATGAAAATATACGAAATATACGAAAATTTTCGAATCACGAATCATTTAGAATTTGATAAGGAATAATGTTTGTTTTTTGTCAATTTCACATATCTCCTTTAGATTTCGAAATATGAACAAGAAAAGAGTTGCGTGACCCAACACAGTCCTCTCAAGCCCACCGCGCACCGCAAGTACAGATGAGCGCTGACGTTTACTTGACGTTTAGTGATAATATTTTATTGTTTAAAATACGGATTACGCATTAGAACGCGAGTGGTCAGTACATGTCTGAAAATCGAGGGTGTCCCGCAGCTCTATTACAGTGTGAAGAAATAGTATGTTTCGTCATTAGGCTGAAAAAAAATTATCTGGCGAATATGAGTTTGCAGCCCGAGCGAAGGCAAGGATTGCAATCATATGAGCAACCCTCATCTTGTCACAATTCCGGGAGGATTTATCTGGCCCGGATCTCGAGATTTTCGGTTTTTCAAGTTCGCGAGACGAGACGAGACAGATATCGAGACAAACATTTGAAAAACAGAAAAAAGTTCGTGACGAGATGAAGCAATCCAATGTCTTTCGAGATTCCGAGGACTTCTAAACTTTCGATGTTTTTTTTGACCGTGATGATCTTTCCAAAAAGATTCTCGGCTAGTCTCGACGGCATCACTAACCGAGGGCTGCCAATCACACGAGCTGAAAATTACGCGTCGGACATGTGTTGAACGATATTTTTCTTCACCGATGTTACGTTCAACGCGTGACGGACTATGCCTTTTTTTCATTTAGAAGTAAACTCGTAAACAAGTTTTTTCGTTTACTTGTAAATCAAACCCTGGGACCGAATTGCCGATGCTGTTGAATCTGTCAACCCACTCACGGCCAAATATCAGCTTTGGATTGGGATGCTAAGTCTCGGCGACCTATCCGCGGCTGTCAAATATCGGTTGAACGTCAAATGGCCAGATAATGACACGATTCTATTGGAAAATGTTTGTTGAAAATTTTCTTGGTTAAAAGTTGAAGAGGACCAACTTTTTCGAGTGTCCATTTTACCCCACTCTTGAATAATTGTTCGGCTGTGGACTTTGCCAAGAAGCAATTTAAAAAAAAATTCGATTATTGATTTTTTTTTTTAATTTCTTCAGCGTCCGTTTTAGTCCATCCTATCTAGATTTATCAGGTGTCCTATTGTCCAATGAAACAATTTTCAAAAATTCGAATTTTGAAAAAAAAATTTCCGCAAATATTTTGAGTGTCCATTTTACCCCATATTGCCCTCACCCTCTCCTATACATCACTGCTTGCGCATGCGCTGATCGCTTCTCGGACAAAAAAAAATATTCATCGCTGGTTTATGATGGAGCAATCTGAGGTTATGTTCCCGAAGGTAAATGTGCATCGACTTCTCCGAAGGAATTGAATAAAACAAACAGAATGGCAATAATGTTTGGGAATTTGTTGAGAAATATGGAGAGGTGTTGCAGCCAAGTTTCTAAATTCAGCAGTGCTGTTGACAGTCAAATGGTGAATGCTACCAAACCTATTATTACAACTCGAAAGTACTTGGATGAGGATTATCTGTACATGAAGAAGCGACAAGTGTGGATTGAGAATTTGGACGAAGTCGTGGAGAGAAAATTGGGCCTTTCCGAATTACATCCCGCAATTTTTGCAGATAGACCGAGAGTTGATGTGCTGTATCAAAATGTCCGGTGGCAGAGGATGTACAAATATATTGTAAGAATTTTATCCATCAACAGCAAATGGTATTTTTTATCGATCGTAAAAATTCTGAGCTGATTTTCAGACAAATTACCAAGAGTGGAAAATTAGAAAATTTCTCATAGAACAAAGTTTTTCGGTTATGCTCCGTAGAACCACTCTAATAGTGAGACAATTGGATACTCTTGCGAATATCTATTATCCAATAGGGTTAAGTGAGGAATTTCAAGAGATGTTTCTAAAATTCAATGAATTTTCTACGAAAATGAATTGTCCTCATACATATTAAGTTATTTTGTAAGAAAGTATCTTGTCGACACTTGACTACTGATTATAATTGATAAATTGGTAGCAAAACTGATTATCTTGGTTATTCCTACAGAATTTTTCACATGCGAGAACACGAGCAGAAATGCCCGGCGGTGGACGGAAACCCTGGCCCCAAAAAGGTACAGGAAGAGCTAGGCAAGGAAGTATTAGAGCTCCTCAGTGGATTAAAGGAGGCCAGGCCCATGGACCAAGATCACCAACTCCCCACTTTTACATGCTACCATTTTACGTCAGAATAGCTGGTCTGACGAGTGCCTTGTCTGTAAAACTCGCCCAGGACGATCTTCACTTAGTCAATGATCTGGAAATTCCAACGCAGTCACCGGAGTTTATTGAATCACTTATCGAGGAGAGAAACTGGGGACCAGCAGTACTCTTTATCGACACTGATGATTTAATGCCTGAAAATATTACTTTGGCTACCGATCAGTTGAAGCATGTTAATTTGATGCCAGTCTATGGTAAGATAGGGGAGAGTGGGGCAAAATGAAACAGCTGAAAAACAAATATTTGACGCAATTCAAGAAAAACATTTTTTTTTTCATCAGCTTTTATTTATTCATTTTTTCTGTTATTGAGAGTACTGATGAGAATAATAATTTTCTATTCGTCTTACAATTCAATTAATTAGATTAGGCCGATTACACTTTTCTTTTTTCATTGGATTGCAATTCAACATCACATTTCCCTTTTTCCCTTCCGGGTCTACTCCTGGGCTTTGCTCTGTCCTTTTGATTTTGATATTTCATTTTATTTTCAATTAATCCATTGACAGTCTTCTCCCCTTAAAACTTATCAATAATTTTCCATTTTACTGAATGGAAAATTATTATTCTCATCAATACTTCCAAGAATAAAAAAAGGTTAACAAACAAAAGTTGATAAAAAAAAATTAATAATTTTTTTTGCTTGAATTGCGTAAAACAGTCGGTTTTTGACTGCTTCATTTTGCCCCACTCTCCCCTATTCAGGCTTTTAGAGACAGAATGAATAGAGTGAAGTGGTCAGAGATGAGTCAAGAATTGCTTTGTAAAACATTCTCAAAATCTCCCCAAACCAAAGGTTCAGAAAACATCATGAAAACTCTGATTTTCTAAATAATCTGCATTTAATTTTCAAACTCATCTCCTTTTTCGACTTCCTTTACATATTTTGAATTTTGTCAATGATTAAAACGATGTCATTCTCCTGAAACCACAATCTTTTATTCTGTTCGTAGGTTTAAACGTCTACAGTATGTTGAAACATGATACTCTCGTCTTAACAGAGCGTGCAGCTCGTCGAATAGAGGATAAATTACTGCACCACTTGCACAGACCTGACAACCACGAATTCATAAGGAAATTCAAGGCCGATCAATGATAAAACTGATCATTAAATGTAAAAATATGTATTATCTAATAATTACTAATGAAATCTTCACGGATTGTGCTTTCGTTCGTTCCATTATAATTACAAAAGAAATGACTGATTATTTATTAACACTATTCGAACAAATATTTGAAGCGTCATCTTCGTTTGACATTGAGTGTACTACAGGACTTCTTGAGGATTGGCCTTGGAGTTGGATCAGTGCCTAACATCTTTTCTCTTACTGCCCATCGAATATCTGCGTGTCGATTCTCTCCAGGAAATGAGATTTGCTTCCATTCTTTTTGATAATTTTGGTAAAGAGTCACTGGGTCCGACTTAGTAGTTTGTGGAAAACGTTGAGACTCAGGATTTAACCTCCAAGGTCTAATGACTGAACAGAAAAGATGTGTAATTAATTAGCAATGGAGCGGAACAAAACGAGTTTGATATTTTTGTTTAATATTCATTGATTTCGAAAGCAACATGTTGCCGTGAAAACATTTAGCTAAAAACTATTTAGTTCTTGTGGCAAAACACCTCTTCCGGGAATACTTTGATAATGAAGAACATAGAACAATTCGATTGAATTTATTTTACCACTTCCATATAGAATTTACAATAAACTAACTGAAAATTTAAAAGGTCGTTCTGCATATACAAAATGCCTCAAATTACTTTCTGAAAATGATTGCAATCCATTGAAATCCGTAATTAATACTTACATGACTTGGTTTGTGATCGAGAGGAACATCGTGATGGATTCCTAGGGGATCCCTGCACCTTCGAGGGTTCAGAGGAAGAACTCTTAGATCTAGATGCTCTTGGTTCTGGTCTTGATAGGTCTGGAGCACTTGCAGGCCGTGCAGGTGTCACATTTCTCACGTTGTGAGAAGTTTTCACTTCATCAATTGTTCTACTCCTATTTCTTGATCTATTACTCACGTCCACGTCCACTGGATTAATTGGAGCAGTCCTTTCCCTGTTCGCGAGGGGTCGTGTTTTACGGGTCATAATCTTGGTAACTTCACTCTCGACTTTGTTGTTCTTGTCACTGTCAGAGACGCATTGAATTTTTATCTCAACGACAGAATCGTCAGCTTCTTGTGGAATATCTGGACTCGAAGTCCTGGTTAATAATTTCGATAATTCTGCCCTTTGCTTCTGAAGGATCCTTCGTTTCATTTCGTCCTTCCACTGCTGACGTTCACGTTCCTTAATTTTTCGATACATTTTTAAATCTACAGAACGAATGTTAGAATAATTTTATTAACAAATGCTGAGAAGTGTAGGAATACAATTTAAATTATTTTGCAAGCGTGTCTAACATTAGGGAAGGGTGGGGTTGGTATGGAGATCTGGAGTGAAATGGACACTCCAAAAATTTGCAAAGAAAAAAAAATTGTTTTTAAATAAAAAAAAGACACGTTTGTTTGTTTTGAATTTTTGTTTTGTTTTTAGGATGGACTAAAAAGGACACTCAACAAATTTTCAAATAATTTTCAATAATCGGATTTTTTAAAATTGTTTCTTGACAACGTCCACAACCGAAAAATTATTCAAGAGCGGGATAAAATGGATATCCGAAAAAGTTGGTCTTATTGAACTTTTAATCAAGAAAATTTTCAACAGACATTTTCGAACAGAATCGTGCCGGTATCTTTTTATAGAGAGAAATTAGAGTTGGAAGAGATTAATAAATAAACTTCAACTCTGTAAAATTTTGCATTGTTGAAGTTTAAAATATAGAGCAGCTTTGGATTTCCTGTTTTACTATTGAAATACCTTTGAAATTATTTATTCTTTTCTACTTACAAAGAAAATCCCCATAAAACAATGGGAGGAGGGGAGGATAAATGAGCAAAGAAAAATTTAGTTTACCACCCCCCACGACAAAAGTAAAAAATGAGTTTTTTTTTCAATTTGAAAATCGCAGTCATGACTAGTGTTTCAGAAATTGAGTAACATTATTGAAACATAAACAATTGAGGAAAAAATTGGAGTGTCCATTTTATCGCGTTTTTGCTGTACCTTACAACTCCTACGACAGTCTTATGACAATATGTTCATTTTCATAAACTTCAAATGAAGTCGGAACAATAAATTTGATCGAATTCGACTCATTATTTAAATCTTGTGTCCATATTTTTATTTCCCCACCCTCCCCTATATTTCCTATCAATTGAAACCTCCAATATTCAATTTTTTTCACAAAAAATCCTGAATTACATTCGATCTTCGTAAACAGGTTTCTTTCTCGAACAGAATATATGAGTTCAGAATTAAGTCTCCAGAGATTTTGGTCTAACAATAGAAAATTTTTCATCAATTAGGAACTTAGATAATTATTCATGAAACCACTCATAAGCAAAATAATCTACCACTGAATGTAGAGAAAGGATAAATGCAATCAAATCGACGTGTTCTAATAAAACAAAGGCATTTCAAATTTATTTTTAAAACAAGGATATCTTAAAATTCATGTTACGACTAGGGTATCTCTTCCTACTCTTGGCAGCTGTATAAATGCTATGAATGCATCAAAAAGTGCGAATAACATGTAGTGCACATTGGAAGAGAAATAAAATGATTTGCGAGCTCAATGACACTTAGAAATCGATGTGAACAACAGCTTTCACATGAATTTTGAGACGCCCGAGTCTTAACGCAAATTTTGAAATATCCTTGTTTTAAAAAGAAAATTGAAATACTGAGTAAGAGAAACCGTTACATTTCATACTCACCCTTCATAAATGCCTTCAGCTGCTCCGCAGTTATACCCACAAATCCCAAAGAATTCAGAAGCGCCAGAACCTTGCGAGGGTCATCTTTAACCTCCGGCATTTTGATTAATTACTATTAGTTTTATTCACTATTATTCAATGTGCGAATTAAAGCTTTATTTCTGCGTTTTTCACAAAATATATGTACATACAGCATACACAACCCCCATGAAACACCACACGCCATCTGCAACAGGCTGCGCATGCGTAGATTTAAAACGCTCACAACCGCGAATTAGATAGAAAGTTTGAATGAATTTATTGATGACGATAGAATGATTAATGAATCTGCGCAGAATCTGATTGAACTCTCGTGACGAACAAGTAAGATGTGAGGGGTTTAGTTGATGAAGAAGAAGATGTGGGACGTAATGTATTCAGCAAAAAAGAAAGTGCTCTGTGTTGTATTTTTTACCATCATTACGATTACAGGTAATGTGCGACTTAGATCCGATATCAATTGAAGCGAATTTGTTGATAACTTGGATATTTGATGAATAGGATTTGAGGGTGTTAAAATTCAGAACGTAGAATTACCAATTGCGATTCATAATGGAACAGGACCAGTGGAATTGTCATGTTCTTATCAGATTAATGAGGAGGAGAATGGACTTGTTATTAAATGGTATCATGATGGCGACCAGATTTATCAGTGGATTCCACCGAGTGAGTGTCAAGGCTTAGACAATTATGATAAATGTTAATTGAAGTGTCAAAACCCGATAAGTTGAGTTATTTTATCATCTTTACTTGATATTTCGGTAATGAATGAGTTTAGGGTAAAGTATCAGAAGACCTTTCGCATAGCGAACTGTGTCTGCTATACGAAAAGGTAACATTCACTCCTAAAATTGAATGTTTTGAAGATAATCTACTAATTATGGAAAAATAGTAATAATTCGGTACACCCAAAAAGAAACAGGACTGATTCAAGTCGACGTCGGTTTAATTCTAACCGATTTTCGGCTTGATTCAAACCGAGTAAGTCGAACTATACGCCAATCCCCATTCCGGGTCTGATATAAGTCAAAAAGTGGTTCATTTCAAGTAGAAATATGTCAAACCGACATCGGTTTCAATCAAGCCGAAAAATCGGTTTGAATCAAACCCAAAAATAGGCTTGAATGAAATCCAAAGATCAGCCTGAATCAAACCGAAAAACGGAGTGATTCACACCGACAAACTGCTTGTTTCAGGTAGTAGGAGCGACTTAATTCAAGTCGATTTTTCGGTCTGATTTAAGTAGATTTTTCGGTTTGATTCAAGTCGATTTTTTGGTTTGATTCAAGCCGATTTGGGAAGGAGGTCCCTCGACACGAAAATTAATATACACACCTCGCCATGGAAAACATATCACCCTCCCCCTCGCCGTCGGCTCGGAAGGCAATCTTGCACGTGGGGGACGGTGATCTGTCTTCCAAGGCTCGGGCATGTAATGTACTATTTCTGGAGAATATGAGTTTGCAGCCGGAGTCGAAGACGAGAGCTCATATGATTGCAGCCCTCGCCTCGGCCTTCCACTCGAACTGCAAATTCATATTCACCAGAAAAGTTTTTTTCGGCCTAATGATGAACTGTACTATTTGTTTTATTCATGTGCTCAATTGCGTTTGATAGAGTCACGCCGACTCGAACAAACTGAATAAAAATATTCTGCAATAGACTTTTTCTTCTCACAATTAAAAGTGGAGCCGCAAGACATTGGCATTATTTCTGGTCTAACTGAGTACCCGACTGAAAATATGGTCCATCCTCAGTCACATTCTATCATCCGCCTGAAGAAAGTAACAGTGGAGATGACGGGAAACTACACCTGCAGCGTTAGCACATTTTCAGAAGATGCAGCAGCAGCCAAACACATGACAGTTTACGGTAAGAAATTTCACAGAATGACTGACTGAATAATTGAAAGAGATTTTTTCGGTAGTTCCTGATCACGACTTAAGGATTTATGCAAGCCCCTTCAATAAGACCCACATTAATCTCACCTGCGTCGCCAGGGGAGCTCGACCCCGGCCGAGTCTCTCTATAATCGTCAATGATCATGAAATGGATAACAGCAGCATTCGTTTTGAGAATTATCGGAATTTTCCGTGGATTAGACAGGAAGCTATAGTCCCCGATTTCCCGGATGTGAATGTTGTCCAGTGTGAGATTTACATCCCAGGAACTGGGTATCGTAAACGTCGGAAATTTGTCTATTATCCAAGTAAAATCATCGAGTAATTTATCAATCCAGTTGCTAAGTGGTGAAACGATTGATGCTAAATAACAAATATTCGTTAAGCCGTCAGCTGGCGCGCTATGAGCCTTTCTCTCACAAAAATTTTCACTTCATAAGAAATGTACCCTAAAAGTGCAAATATTTTGCTAAAAATGTTTAAATACCTCATGCAACTTTTCTAGTTTTCTCCAGTGGTGATAAAAGGTATCTATCAGTCAGAGTAGAAAAAATTTTTTCGTGTCACGGGAAAAACGAAAATGGGGTTTTTCAGGTTCCTCGACACGAAAATTAATATACGCAGCTCGCCATGGAAAACATATCACCCTCCCCCACGTGCGTGCCCTCCTCGCCTTCGGCTCGGAAGGCTATCTTGCACGTGGGGGACGGTGATGTTTTCCAAGGCTCGGGCGTGTAATGTACTATTTCATCACGCTGTGACGAAAAATGAACTTTTCGGCACGCTCCGCGTGCCTAAAAATCCATTTTCCGCCACATTGTGATGAAAAATATTGTTCGTAACTCGTGAAAAAATGTTTTTTAGCTCGTGGGATTATATCACTCGCCAAAAAACACTTTTTTGCACTCGTTACGAAATATACTATTTTTTCTCGACATTACGCAAACAGTTGGCAAACGGCTTCAGAGGAGAAGCCTGTTTTGGGACATGAAGATGGCTGTGGCGTTCTGGCTTGAATAGTCTTGTTGTCTGTCTTGCAAAATACGCCCCTTACTCATAGGCAAGTGACAACCTCTAGCTCTCCGTCCTTCGAATCTCGAGTCCCGAAAGGGGGGAGCTAGGGAGAGTCGACTGTATTTTGAAAATTTCTCTTAAAATCACTCATCACCTATATGAATTTATAATTATTGTTTCAACCGTTCTACTACTTGGTCGATGCATTCCATTAATTTTTATCAGAAATTTAGACTTGGCTAATGATTTCCATCCTGGAAATATTTGCAGGACAATACATAGGAAGGAGCCATGTCTCATCTCACTATCCGTCCTTCTTGATTTTCATAATCTCATCAGCCATCATTTACTGAAGGGTGTATCATTTGCTGTAGAGTGTAAGATTCTCCCGGCTTAGCTGAATTCAAGAAGTCTCCAGAACCGACGAAAAAAATCCTCGCTCCTCCATGTGATTAGTCTAGTGAAAAGGAGTCGATACACTTAAGTCCATCGGATCGTGAAATATCAGCAGAATATTCGCGTTCCACTGAACATCGTCAGGTTATATATACAAACATCGATAAATCGATTTTGAAAACCCGTAGTCATGGATATATAAAGAAGACTCATGTGACTGAATGAAAAATTCTCTTTGGAGTCTAACAACAGCTCCGACAATGAACGAATTCATCCCCCACCCATTGCTCTTTTCTCCATGGGAATGAAATAAAGTTGACCATGCATGATAGATTAATGATCGTCGCACCAATGAATTGCAACTTTTTTATGTCGAATTGACGAACACTTACAACTCTTGTGTAGGTACTGAAGAGCGAAAAATTATTCGCAGGGGGAAGAAAAGACGTCCTTTTAGGACCTCATGAGGGATAAACGATGTATCGAATTTTTCTATATGCCTGACATGAAAGGTTTTCCTTCAAAAAGTAAATTAAAAAAAAAAAGAAACAAGACAACTACTGCGCTATCATAACACTTGAGGTTTTTTATGTATGGAACAGCGGACACCGATTCATTTGCAATGTAAACCCAGGAATTACTTGCACTATAATAAAGAGTATAATTATCCATTCGTGATTGATTGTATCTGAAGAGTCATGCCCCTACGAACGATGAAGATGAATCGTTCTGAGGTTACCCCATTTGAAACTTATCGAGTTGAGGCAAAAATTACTGTAAAATCCATAATATCCGGATAGAAAAATGATACTGATGATGATACAACATGGAAAGAGTGTAGAGGTTGGTAGCAGCGAGAAGGAGGGGTGAGGGGGCGGAGAATAAAACAGTTGAGAAGTCGGGGGTGGACTTCAAGGGATGAAGGTGATCCTTGTGGTGGGGATAAAACTGGTAACACCAAGATGAGAATCGAGAGAAGACAGGAAGCACTTGCATCCTAGTGTGGACTTGTGATCCATTCGCACAACAGGTCTCTTCGAGGCAGGTAAGCGTTTGAGATTCATGCATTAAAATTTTTTAAGTTGAGTTTATCAAATCTTTGCAAATGTTTATAAGTGAGAGCGTATATTTGAGTGCAGCCGTAGAGTGTTGAAATTGTAAAATACAGTTTAGGGGAGGGTGTGTCTGTACCGCTCAGCGGGTAATACCGCTCACCCAATTTTCTCCGCAATCATCAACTTAAAAATTTCTTTCTGTTCCTGATCATGAAGAATTTGATACCACTTTAAATATGAAAAAACACTCAACGAAGTTTTGAGGTCTTTACAGTGCAAAATTTGTGGACTTGTAATTAAGGTTTTTGATAGTTTCAAACGCTGAATTCTCATATTAAACTGTGGTTATTCGATTCGTGGTACTTTCACGCGTAATTTGAGACCAATTCGAACTCAAAACTCCACTCATGTCAATAATTATCAATAATTTTGTTGACGCCGAACGGAGCCGGTAATACCGGTCATAGGATCGGCCACCCAGTTGCTCGACAGCACTCGAGTACAGGTGAGGTTGCGGCGCGAGCGATACACGCAAAACCCTATGAGCGGCATTGGAATCGTGCCGAGCGGTATTACCCGATGGCGGGTAGTACCGCTCAATAGGAACTCTCTTTTATTTTCAATCAATTTCGTGGATTCTAAGGAGAATTAGGCGTCTACACTTCGAGAATTCCATAATTCCGAAGCGAAATCTGGTTTAGGAAATTTTACGGAACTGACAAGGAATTTTTCCAGAGCGTTCCGTAATTTTTATCTGAATCTCCTCTGAAAAAATACGATACCGTCACTTAAATTTTCTGAGTCGATTCCGTAATCGATGAGCGAACTTCGAGTTCCGTAATTTTCACTGAACATTTCTCTCCGTGTAAGAAAAAATAATTGATATTCACCGTAAGATCTGATTTATTTGAAATTAGTTCAAGTGTATAATACTTGCTCCAAGAAAGAAACATCTCAATAAAAATAATTTTTTCTATCAGGGCATTGGCAATAGAGAAGATCAATTCCTTTGCGGTGTCAGACGTGTCAAACTTGCATGAAATTATCAACACACATGGTATTACGCTTATATTAGAGCTACCATGAAGATCTTATGTTTCAACACTTCACTACCGGATTTTGTCTTTATGTTGTAGTCACTCTTGCAGCAGAAATAATACGAAGTTTTGTAGGAGGGGGCGAAAAAAGATATTTGGAAATCGTACTGAAAATGAGTCGACTCTGCATCTTTGTATTCCTCGCAGGTAAATATATTTTCTGATTACGATAACATCGGGATATAGTTAGGATAATGCAATTATCTTATATTTTGATTGGGCTGGCCACAGCCAGCTTCGTTACCAATTTCAATCGTAGGATAAAATTTTGTTGGTCAAGTAGATGGAGTGAGGAATATCGTACGCTATTTTTACGATCTCGTTATGCTCTTCAACTTAATGTATGATAAATCCTCACTGGTCAAGTCGAAAGGTCCGATAACATACAAAAGGATAAGAATGATCCTTAACTTCATGAAGATTTCAACCGATTGCATTCAATACATCACAATTTCAAGAACGACAAATATACCGCATATCTCCGGGAATACTTGTATGTCATGTGATATATAAGTATTTTCATGGCTTGGCAATCAAGCATACAAAAAGCCAACCAAAGTTAAATTTTCAAATAAAACATGAAATAGTACGTTACATGCCCGAGCCTTGGAAAACAGATCACTGTCCCCTACGTGCAAGATTGAATTTTGTCTAATTTTCATGAAGTTATCAGATTTTTTTTTTGAACGTCTCGTCATACTGAAACTCGCTATTTTTATTAATTATCGGATCTTTGGACTCAACTAGTGAGAATTTAGTATTATACCAATTTGAAGATCTCGCCGAGCTCTCCAAAATGGCGTATGATATTTCCCATTTCATCCACTTGATCAATCGTTATAAGTGATTATGTTTTGAATTGCTAATTAATACTTCGGGATTCTTTCACCGTAAGTGAATAGTGTAATACTTATAACCGAGTAAGACTTGTTTGATAACTCTACTGTTTCTTTATCACCTTGTCCGTAAAACGTCGTTTGACGGACACAAAGTGTCCGGCCATTGGTATTTTTCGGTGTTGTGTATATTAATTTTCAGGTCCCGTGATACGAAAAATATTTTTTGATAGTGATGTTACGTTCAGCGAGTGGCGGAACTGTGCCCTTCTCGTGAAACTTTGTGTCCGTCAAACGCCGTTTACGGACATTGTGAAGAAATAGTATATTTCGATACAAGTGAGACGGAATTTTCGCGAATGTGAAGTTCCCGAGGCGAAGCCGAGGGCCGCCAATCAGACGAGTTGAAAATTTCCGTCTCACATGTGTCGAACTAGTACATAACATGCCGGAGCCTTGGAAAACAGATCACCGTCCCCCACGTGCAAGATTGCCTTTTGAGCCGAAGGCGAGGATGGTAAGCATGTGGGGGAGGGTGATATGTTTTCCATGGCGAGGTGTGTATATTAATTTTCATCACGCTGTGACTAAAAGTGAACTTTGCGGCACGCTCCGCGTGTCTAAAAGTCCAATTTCCGCCACATTGTGATGAAAAATATTGTTCGTAACTCGTGAAAAAATGTTTTTTGCACTCGTCCCGAAATATACTATTTCAGGTCCCGTGATACGAAATAGTATATTGGCGAGTGGGAGGTTTATATCACGAGCCGAAGGTGAGTGATATAATCCCACGAGCTAAAAAACATTTTTTCACGAGTTACGAACAATATTTTTCATCACAATGTGGCGGAAATTGGACTTTTAGGCACGCCGAGCGGGCCGAAAAGTTCACTTTTCGTCACAGCGTGATGAAAAATAACTTTATGTCGCGCCGTGCAATAAGTCGAGTGATAAACTTCGCTTCGCGCAGCCTGCTCAAAACTCGACTTCTGCATTAATCATTTTAGAAATTTTGAATTTAATAGTACACTTCGATACTAGGGCACATGACTCACTCGTATGATTTGCATCACTCGTCTTCGGCTCGTGCTGCAAACTCATATTTGCCAGAAAATTTTTCTGCGCCCTTGTGTCGAAGAATATTTTTTGTCACGAGGGTCGTAGGCAGCGTTTTAGGCAGGTGTGCCTGCAGGGCATAGGCAGTGCGAAATATCGAACCGGATCAAATAAAGGTTCGAAGTTTTTATTTTTTAAGTCTCACCATGATGTTGAGACGGGGGAAAAAATTGCCATTATTATTTTTCTAAAGACATTTTAATATTGTTAAATCACATGGAGCGCCAATATTTGAACCATCAAATCTCTGCTACACGGAGAGAAATATTCAATAAAAATTACTTATCTTTTCCGTAATTCTGGAGCGAAATGTGGTTGTAGGAAATTTTACGCAACTTTCAAGGAATTTTTCCGGAGCGTTCCGTAATTTTTATCTGAATCTCTTGTGAAAAATTACGATACCGTCACTTAAATTTCCTGCGTCGATTCCGTAATCGGTGAGTGAAGTAAGAGTTCCATAATTTTTACTGAACATTTCTCTCCGTGTAGTCAAGAAATCTTTTTTATACATTCGAAAGAAAGTTTAAAAATTTTGTAAAAAATTTCGAGGCCAGATTTTGAGACGATATTTTATGTAATGGCTCAAGTACGTTTCATAATTTTATTGCTGAATAATTGAAATGAAAATATCTCATAGAAGAAGAAATTCTTCAGCTACAAATTGTAATAACTAAACTAATTGTGAGATCAAAGGCTTAAATCTCACGGCCGACAACTTTCTTAAATTTATGTAACGCCCGTATTCGCCGTCTGCAACCGCAACAAGTTGCAATTACACGATTGAAATTCATATACACGCGTTCCAACACTATCCATAAATGCAACGATTCACTTTAAACTTCGAAGCGACAAATTTCTCATCATTTATTTATGTTTTATTTTTGAATTTTGAGGCTTTCACGGCCGACATTATTATTCATTGTTATAGCTTCCGGATGGATGCCGCGTCTAGATTCAGCTTTTTGCCGACGTTTCGCAAACATTTCAGTCTGCATCATCAGGGCTAGGTTGCTCCGATACACATTCATTTTTGTTCACACTTTCTTGGTTCATTTTAGTCTGCGCGCTCTGGACAGTTGGAGAGACCGTCTCCTGCGACCAGTGCGGACGGGAATGTGTGACTAGTTGTGGTACACGTCAGTTTCGTGCCTGCTGCTTCAACAATTTGAAGAAACGAGCGCCCAACCTCGGATTCAGACTTTGGCTTGCACCGCCCAAGGAATCCGGACATCTTCAGCTCGTTTATGACTCGTAAATAGATACTTTAACGTATTGGCTTCTTATCAACGATACACCGAATATGGTCTACATAATTATTCACTCTCTGTTCGAAAAACATTTGTCCAATCTGTAATAAACATCAATGATTTCTTTGCCATATTTTGACTACAACTAATTTTGTATTCAACGGGCTATTTTTGGTAATTACAATAGTCTTGGACACAAGTAATGCAACGACGAAATGTGTAAACAACTTTTTTTGTACTCACGACAATATCTCAACAATTAAAAAGGGTCAGACAATAGGAATGAGGTGTTTTGGATATGAATATAAAAAGAGATTTTTTTTTTCGTTTTATTATATGCTATTATAGATGTATTTTAGCTAAGAAAGTTTCCCACGCAAGGTCATTGTCTCTCAAGATAATTCATTCCCGAAATGATTTCATAGTTAATCGAACGAGGTGGGTTTCCTTATCTAGTTTTATTAGTCCAGTACAGAGATCTTGTTACTGAAGAATGCTTTTTATTTTTGTTTGAATGAATGGATTTTAGTATACAACCACGGCCCCTACTAATTTATTTTTCACAATTGTGGGTGGGTGTCTGCTAATGAATTAAAACCTCATTAAATCATCTCATATATTATTATGGTCGTTTATGTAGTTGTACGGGATTTCCCGTTCCGCACCTCCCTCCATAAGGCAAAATTATTATTTATTATATTAAGGTATTGAATTAAATTCAAAACGGTGGTAAAGCGTACATATGTGGCTCTACCAGCGTTCAACGTTACCCAGAGTTCGCAACGTGGGCGCAGTTGATATGAACCCCAACAAGGCACTCATTATGAAAATTCAAAGATGGCACATGAGTTTGAAAAATAAATATGAAAATAAAATAGTCGGAGATTATAATATTTGTGATGGCTGTTATATACTGAAACCAATAAATGTTCAAATCTATGAGTTTCTAAAAGAGATGAAGCAAAACAAGGCGATCTTCAATTAAAATGAAATTGTAATAAAAGTGGTTTTCTTTATAATGCAGCTTCCAAATTCTTTTATCAATATCAATAATAAAAATATTTACAAATGAAATGCATGCATTCAGTTGAAGTGTACAGTTATTTATTCAGATGCAAAACATCCCCTTAACTAATTTCTATTAATAAATGATTCCATTTCATAAAATATCACTTCCTATTATTTTTTATTTTCAATTCGATGCGGCCTATATTAAACAATTTTGGGGCTAAAATTTTATGAACACCAAGTGATTTTATAAAAGTTGAAGAATAAAATAATTTTGATGATTTTCTCCCATTCAAACGACTCTAAAGCAAGAACGTTCACTTCAAAGGTCTTAAGGAGAAAAGAGAGATACTGATTAATTGCTTATGAATTCGTGACAAATTGATATCTGACAAGGTTAATTAAATAATTAATTGACAAAACAAATTGATGGGCTCAATTCAGAATTTTTACAATAGTTGAAGAGGATTGAAGACCAAAATATTAGAAAATGCTTCCAATATAAGACTCAGTAAAATAGTGTATTGTCTTACAAGTGCGTAAAGGATTACTTTCTCACATATACGTGTAACACATGCTATTATTTATGATAGCTGCCTAGTTCAAGGTCATGCGGAAAAGCGACTTTCGTATGTGTAGAGCGAAGCTTTACGTACGCTACCACAAGGTTTCCCACAACCGAAAGCAAGCGCTTGACGCACAGTAACTTGTGCCGAAAAGTGAACATTTCAGGCAGGTATTACAAAATAGTATATTTCGTAACGAGTGCAAAAAAGTGTTTTTTGACGAGTGGGAGGTTTATATCACGAGCCGAAGACGAGTGATATAATCCCACGAGTCTAAAGACACATTTCCCGCGAGTATCGAACCCTATTTTTCATCACAATGTGTGGGAAGTGGGGTTTAAAGGTGAAAAGGTGATTTTCTTAAAATAAAAAAACAGTTTATTTGAAGTAAATAAACTGGTTTTTCAGATTTAATAAAAATTTTATTTGGAATAAATAAATTTTTTGTTTAATATAAGTAAATCCTTTTTCTTGGAGCAAGTAATAAGTTTATTCATTTGTAATAAAAAAATTATTGAAATAAGGAAAAAATTTTTAATAGACATTTTTATTTCATTAAAAAAAATATATTTTTCTGGGTCTAGAAGTCAGGTTTCACTTTTTCAGTTACATTAACTAACGCAGTCTCGTATTGAACGTATGGCCCGGTTGAGTAGTATTTTATATTTTGTTGAAGTTGCGGGGCACTTTTCTAATTTTCGTACTGTCTTATTGATACTTTTTTTTAATATGTTCCATTGTAATTTGTCAAGGCCTGGGTAAGTGTTTTGCTGTAACAGCTGGCATAAGTCTTCCTTCGTTTTTATTTTACTGAGTGCGAACTTCCGCTTTTTTTGTGTCTGCGGTAATTTAGATTGGAATATCGCAGATTCTCGTGATAACTCTCCTGAAAAAACAATAGATCATTGAGATGAGAAGATTTTTAAACGGTGATACGAGGTAAATCGAATTATCACTAAAACCGAAAACTTTTTCATGAATATCTTCAATCTCAGAGAAATTAATAAAACAGTTTGTTTTTTTTTTCCTTTCGAATTGACATATTTACTGCATGCGGTAAGTATTTCAATTCTGTAATTTTGCGTGAAAATCACTTGAAATGTCATGGAATATAAAGATGTAATATTTATAGCAAATTCATGTAATATTTATAGTAAATAGGGGGATTTTCTTTCCAGGGGAATAGTTTTCTGAGGGATTTTTTTCGGGGGAAAAAAATCCGGGAACCCGGTTGAAGAAAACTGAGAGCTCAAGGAAAAGAAAATTTTGGTAAAAAAATTCCCTTGAATGCTGAAATGTTGTCTAACAACTTCTTTCAAAGTGGAACCAACTTATGTAATTTTATCGCTTTACTACCAACTTCTTTCATAATCGAAGGGAACTCACCATTGCCATCAATATTAAGCGCAGATTTCGATTGAGTTGCGTCCTTTGATTTTTTTTTCATTTTCAGCTTCTTCATTGATTTTGCTGAGATATTATTATTCACGTGCGGCTTCATTGTATTTGATGCAATTGAAGTAAAGCATTCCCGTGCTAGTTTCTCTGAAGACCATGAATGAATGAATGAAAAATACAGAAAAAAAATAAATTAGTGTCTCCAGCACCTCGAATTATAGAAAATAATAGATAATTTACCACCAAGATCAGGCATGACGTTGAGGGGAATATTATTTTGGTTAGATTTCTGCTTTTCCATTATATATTCTATGGGACTGTTGTCTCTTTTTGACCTTGTTGGAATGGCCGTTGAACCGGACAAAGATTCTCGTGGTATTCTCTCTTAAAATGGCAAACCAATGAATGGAAAGAATTTCATCAAGAAGACAAACGGCTCAATGAGAGTAATGAATAACGTACCATCAACATCAGAAGCAGCATACGAATTGTCCATTGCCATCTGGATTTCATCATGTTCGACTGTTTGTTCCATTTCTTGTCTTCTTGTGTGTACAAATTCTTTGTCTTCACTTGCTGTTATCAAACTAAATATAGACTTGGATACTTGTGATTCAGTTGGGCTGGAAGAGAAACAACATTAAAGAGGAAAATCTTGGACGATCTCTTGTAGTTCAGACAATTGTCTACAAAAAAAATATTGAAACATTCTGTCCTAAAAGTTCTTCGAATTGGAAGCAATTAATGTGTTATATTAATTGCTTCCAATTTGCTTCCACTAATGTGTTATATTAAAAGCATGAGAATGTACCATTGAATGTGCTCATCAATCCAGGGAACTGCAATCCAAGTTTTGAGATCTGATGGCAAAGTCTGTTCCCGTGACATCCATTCAACTCCTATTGGTCTCAAGTGCTTCGCAAAAGAGTATAAATCATTATACCAATTACAACATCTTCTCAATAAATACCGGGAGAGCAACCTAGATGAGAAAAATCAGGAAAGATGAATTGTAAATAATCGATACATTTTCCAAATAAATGAAGGAAATTCGAAAACATTTGCAAAATTACAAAGTACTTTCCTATGTTGGAAAGATTTTGCAATTTTCTTCAGTGATCGGTTAATGTTGCAAGAAAAATTTAATTGTTCTGTATTGAAGTGATAAAATGTAGAATAGTGTACTTAAAGCCATGACTTCATAAAACTATATCTTCTCTGTTTAATTTATGACTTTCTGGTTTGAAGGCGGGTGATATATTACGAACATAACAGTTAATTATGCCACTATTATCGCGAAATATTATCAGAGAATTATCAGAGAATTTCATACAATGAAGATGTGGAGGGAAGGACGGGGCAATATGGACATTTAGGGTAAACTGGACACCCGAAAAAGTTGGTCCTATTCAAATTTAATCAAGAAAATTTTCAACAGACATTTTCCAACAGAATCATGATGGTATGTTTTTGTAGAGAGAAATTAGAGTTGGAAGAGATATTAACAAATAAACTTCAATTCAATTAACTTTTACATTGAAGGCCCGGGTGGATTATCTTTCGAACGTGATCTTGATTGTTCTTTTTATTTTGATAATCTGAAATGATGTTCAACTGCTACTCAGTTATATAAAAATTATGATTGTACAATCAAAAAAACGTTGAAAAAAAGCTGAACAAAGAGCTTTAAGAGCTGAGCTTTTTAAAGAGCGTTTTTAAATAATATTGGGAAATAAGCCCACTAGGGAGGGAGGAAATTGCTTGAGGAAGAAATGGAAGTGTCCATTGTACCCTTTTTTTGCTTTAGGACAATGTGTTTGTTAGATTTGATCCAATTCAACTGATTATTTAAATCTGGTATCCATGTTGCCCCACCTTCCCCCATACCCAAATGGCTCGATTCATGGCCTATTTGACAGTTGTCAGATTAATAATTAATTAATAGATAGATTTGTCAGATTAATAAATAATTAATAGATTAATAGTTAATTAATAAGTTGTCAGATTAATAATTGCAATACAGAATCATGGATAGCATATAAACGGAAAAACACTAACCAAATTCTCGAGATGACTGAATATGCGATAACTGAGACAGTCCAAGCCTGTCCAAGATTGATTCTATTTTTCAAAAAATGAGCAGCAGTCCTGGCGACACTCTCGATCCGGCACATGAGCTTCGCAAAGCCCTGGGTTCTTACCAAAACATATTCAACCATTTGGCGACTTGGTAATATTGCACTTTTTTCGTTAAACGCAGTATTTGACTTTAGATATTCATAATCTCTCTCTATCGACAACTTCAAATAATTAAGGAGAGCACTGTTGACCTTTTCCATACTCTTTAGTCCCTTGTCAGCCCTGAATTTACTTTTCATTCTGTAAATCAAACGGCTGAGGATGGCAGCCTCTGTATTAAGTTGACCCTGGCATGAAATATCTTCCAGAGCTCTATTGATAGTCGATATGAATGGTAAAAGTTCTAGAAAAATGAAATAAAAGTGAATAAAAATATATGATGAGGTTAGGGATGTAGATGGACAATGTTTCTACCAAAATCCCCAGGCTTTGGACGCCAAATCGACGTAGGAGGACGATCCAGATGCAAATAATTCCACAACGGCTTCATTTTATTCTTATCCATATTTATCTGCTATTTTTTACGCACTTATTTCGATGTAAACAAACGCACATGTGCGAACGAAAGGAACAATAAGACCACTGGAACGCTCTTGGGCATCGGTCAAAAGACCCTGGAGGACTTTTTGGAATTAAGGTATTTATGGCGTGTTCAGCGAGAATAAAAAAAGTCAAGATATTGATGTTTGTTTGTAAATATGTTCTTTGAAGTATTAAAAAACGACGTACAATATCTCAGATAGCCTCATAGCCTAGGCAAATTGCAACGACGAAAGTTCTATTCTTTTCCGTTGAGTGGCTATATCCGCCGCTCATTCAAGTAGGGGGGGGGGCGTTCGTACTTCACAACTGTACACATTCACAGCTGTCCGCAAATTTTGTGAAAAATGTGAGGGAACACATTGTGCACAACTGTACACAACCACATCTGTGCACGGTCCTTGCAATCGGTCAAAAAGTGTTGGTAGAGTAGAAATTGCATTCGTTTTATTTCCAGTCGATATTAATAAAGGATGGCGCCATGTGTCCCACTATAGCGCTAATGACCGTCCCACAAGAGATCCGATCAATTAGCCCCTCATGTATAGATATTCCAAATTTTAATTTTTTTCCTCATTTAAGTAGTTTTGAAGAAAATTGCGAGCTGGTTTAATTGTTCAGTCCAGTACTCAGTTTGAACCTTTTCGTTACTCCACTCATTATTCTTGCTTGAACCTTCTAGTAATTTGTTTTTCGCCGCTCTTGCATTTGACCTTTATGACAGTTTGCACATTTCTAAACCTAAGATAGATAGAGAAACTTTCATGAAAGCTTTTTTGCTAATCTCATTTTACTTTAGAAAAAAAGTTTTGACATATATTTCGTTATCTCTCTTAGCTAAGATATTCGTGAAAAACTCATTTTCTAGGAGGAATAGATTTTCATCTTGTTAACATAGCACCTTCGAGTTTGTCACAGCACCAAAAATAAAAACAGATAAATTAGGAAATTTCATGAATTTAACAATGAAAGAAGAAAAAAGTGGAGAACGACTTGAGATGAAAAATCATATATTTCACAATATTTACAACTTGCATAGTGGAGTATTTACATGAATCATCAGTGATAAATTGTGAAAATATTGTTAGAATTATGACACTGAGCTGATGCGATTCGGTGGCGGTCCCATTTGTGTCAGGACTTTGTCCAACCACTGTAGTGGTCCGTTCAAGTGGATTTCTATCCAACAAGGGGTTGAGGTGACGTCCTGCCGATGGTAATCTGCTCCCCAACCTTTTACAAATGACATTCTGGGGAACAGTGGAAAATGATCTTTTCAAATGGTTGATTATTTTAAAAAATCACTGGATTCAATGGAATAATTTTTTTTGCATAATTAGGGGTGAGTGGGGCAAAATGAAACAGTCGAAAAACGAATGTTTAACACAATTCAAGCAAAAAATTTTTTTTATAAAATTTTTTTCCATCAACTTTTGTTTATTCTGTAGAATGGAAAATTATTGAGAAATTTTGGCGGGAGACAATTTCGTCAACGGATTAATTGAAAAGAAAATGAAACAGCCAAAACCAAAGTCCAGAGCAAGGCCCAGGGGAAGACCCAGAGATGGAAAAAGAAAAATGTGATGTTGAATTTCAATCGAATGAATAAATAAAAGTATAATCGGCCTAATATAATCAATTGAATGACAATCAATTAAATTATAAGACAAATAGAAAATTATTATTCTCATCATTACTCCCAATAATAATAAAAGTCGATAAAAAAAATTTGTTTTTGCTTGAATTGCGTCAAACAGTGGTTTTTCGGCTATTTGACGCAGTTTCATTTTGCCCCGCTCGCCCCTATAATTTCATGATTAAATAGTAAATATTTACCTAATAGTGCACATCTTTGTCAACGCATAAACAGCTTCATATCCCTCATAAACCCTCTTGGATAGTAAATCGGAGAACTCTGCATTATTAAAAATTCTCAGCGAGCACCCAGGAACAATCTTACAAACAGTGCTGGGATTAAATCCATGACGATAATTGCAGTTACTGGATTGCACAAAGATCGATGAATCCGACAAACACTCGGCATAAACCTCTCCCCCAACATAATACAGATAGACTCCCTTTCCAATATGTTTCCTAGTGTTCTCAATGGTAGAATTACGATTAACGTTAGAAAGTTGTCCAAGGCAAAATCTCGAAGAATTCTTTTCTGGATGGGTGAATCCATCAATGATAATAGACTTGGATTCGCAATGGAACATTTCTCCCACTCTCGAATTCAACTCATAATATGCAATTCTTGCCCAAACTTTAGTCTCCTCATAAGACACTGGATCCAAATAGCCATCCTGAATGTCCATCGAGTTAAAATCCGGAGAAGAAGACTTTCCACTTTGAGATCCTTCTTCAGACGATGCATAAGCTGGTGGAGGTGTTTCGTTAGTATTTAAAGGAACATAAGGATAAGGAGGGCTTGGAATTCCATCCGAAGATACTGGTGACGTTGGATTGTAGTTCGCAAGACTTGAAATGGTTGTTCCTCCGGAATTAAATCCATTGGAAGAGTAAGCGACATTTTGAGGCATTGTAGGCTCTGGATCTTGATGAAAAGGCAGCATAGAGTGCCCTGGAGGATATTCAGATTGTCTCGGCACCAAAACTGGTGGTAATACTGGACTCTCAACTCTCTTATAGTGGTAAGGATTAACACAGACATCTTTCTGTTTAGCTCCAAAGGGAAACTGGCATATCTCGAGGGGTTTCAATTCATGTGGTGACAATAAATCAGGCCATCTCCACACACGACAGTAGATTACGTGAGGCAATCCCTTGCGATGAGACACTTGAAGTCTTCCATCTAAACTTCTAGCTATGGTGACACACTTACTTGGAACACCAGGATTGCTCAGGGCCCTCTCCAATTCCTCAAACGCTCCTTTCGTCTTCTTCAACTTTTTCACCAATGATTCTATCGCTTTCTCGGCCCACTTCTCTTCTTCATCCCCTTGTTTCCAGCCTAATAGCTTTTTTACCGCTGGAGTTGTTGATGAGAAGAGATTATTGAAAGTTGCAAAAGCTCCAGCACGAGAAAAACCTATTTCCGTCATTTTCAATATCTCTGGGATCTGTTTCACTGCCTTCTAATGAATGTTTGGTTCCGTTAGTGAAGATTTCGCGCTATACTCTGGAGTGGCTACCTGAAACCGAACAAAAAAACAAATTCTTCAATCACCCTTGAGTCTTTCAGAGACGTATCAACTCTACGGATTTTTCCAAGGCTTTGAATTCTTTAGTTTCATGAGTTGCTGTTGTTAAAAAAGACATTGAAATCCATCCCAGCGATTCGCGGAACGCAACAGGTTGTCAAACTCCATTCAAGGGTCCAAATGTTTTCCAAGATATACTGCAACAGTACATACCTCTTGATGATCATTCACTCCATATTGCAACCAAATCCAATTCAATATGTCAAATTTACTGCAGTTTGCAGAGATCGTGAAATGAACGTTTCGACGAAAAGAATTATCGGCTTTGGGGCAAACGTGTAGGCTCCGATTATTTCCACCACGGAAATCCAAATGGGAAGGAGTCAATCATTCATTGGCACCAAGCAGATCTTGTTTTATTTAGACATTTTTTTTGTTTACATAACTATGTGTAGTTGGACTGACCAAATTTTTCTGCAAGAATTCTAGGTTATATAGACATACTGACTATATTTTAGGGGTTTTTGCGAAACTGAAACAGATGGCAGCAGGGCGTCATCCCTCTCCATATTTGTCAAAGGAATTGAACAAAGATGGTTAGATGCATGCTGTCCTTGTCTGATTTATTGAACAGTCGGCGGCCACCTGGCGCCATTAGTTCGTGAATTGGCCGAAAAACTCGTTAATGCACATATTCATTCATAGCCCGTAGAAAAAATAATTATATAAAAAATGGACAATTTTTTGGCGATACTAGCACCGACTTTGGGGTGATTTGGGCAATATGGAGGGGAATGACTGGAGACGAGAACTCTGAAATATCTCCGGCAACCCCTGCGCACTAGGCCCCCTCTACATACCTGCGTTCAAGCACGTCCAATTTGATTGGTGATTATTAGTGACAACAATTCGTGCTGATTGTTTGTTCGCGGATGTTCGGTATTTATCTATGTTGTTGTGATTATTATTAAAACAATGGTGTTCTGAGACAACAATAATGGCACCAACGATTCAAACAAATGTTAATAACGGGGACAGGGACAAAAGGGCGGTGAGACCAGTAGAAAAGCGGTCAGTAACCTCACTTTTTACACCGCGATTTTTCCAATAATTTTTGGGAGAAGAAAAATAATTATTGTGATATTAATTTTGGAAAACATTTCAATTGCAGGTCTGAGCTTATTTGTCGAGTCAAGTACTGCAATACACTGCCAGATATTCCGTTCGATCCGAAGTTTATCACGTATCCTTTCGAGTCGACAAGGTAAAAGTGCAAAAATATTGAATTATTATTAATTGAATGAAATCAGAGAATTGACGAATTCGACGGGGGTATCTGCTATTGAATTCGACAATTTTACGATAAAATATACCTATGAAACTCCATGGTATAAAGAACCATTTGAAACCATTTCTGTAAGGCCATATGCGTATCATTTTTTCTATTCTTTCAATTTTTTAATTGATCCTAACAGCACTGATTTCTGACGTAAATGGTGACCTTTAGAAAGATCTCAGGGAGTAATTTTTCCATATATATTTTTGATTCTCAAACTGATATTATCTGTTGGGTAACATTTTTCTTACAACTTGCACTCTTACATTTTCTCTCTTCCCATATGGCGTTTGGGCGTTCATATGTCATAAAAATCTTCAAGTGCAAATCTATTTGCGGACGTCCGCATGAAAAGGGACCACTTTGTCGATATAGAGTTATGTATACTCAGATAATATTGATAACATTCCGCACATTTTGAGTCAAAAACGATCCTCATAGGCTCAAAAATGACGTCGCTAGAGCAGATTAAAAAAACAATATAACATTGGTGTATCAAAGCAGACTCAAAGCTGAATAGCACTGAAAAAATTAGAGCACAAGCAGAATCCCAAGTTTCAGCAAAGAGTAAAATTTATTTTGAAAGTTTTTGACGGGACACCTCAAGACCATGGTTTATGGAGAGGAAACTACCCACAGACCTGGTAGTCTGGGTGAACAGGACTCGTGCAAATCACTTTCATTTAAATAAATCCTTGTACAGAATAGGAATAATAGAAAGCCCGGAATGTGGATATGGTGCAGTGGAACAGGCCATCAACCACGTGAGCTGGGAATGCCTGGACTTCTCAAAGAATCGAGACAAAATGTTCGATAAATTATTGAAAATAAAAACTCCTAGGCCATATACCATAACCACGTTCCTAGCAGAGATAGACTTTAAAAGTTTAACAATTATTCACGATTTCATTAAAAGTAATAATATAAGAATTTAAAAATATGTTGATAGCTACTAAATATAAGTTGACAGAAAACCAAAGTACATGTAAATAATATTCGAATGAAGCTATATAAATAATCCAACGATGGATTAATACTTATCAATAGAAAAAAACATTAGTGTAAGTGGGAGTTGCTGAAACAAAAATGTGAATATCTCGGAAACTAGAATCGACAAAGTGGTCCCTTTTAATGGGGACACCCAAAATTATTCATATTTGTCTTCAATGGAATTCGCTTGGATTTTTCTCAAAACTTTTTCCGTCATATAATAATACGTACTAAATCAAATTTCACATTTCAACACTCCATTGGCTGCGCTATGATCTCCGCGTCGCACTTTGTCTAATATTTTTAATGACACTGCAGTCAAGTCTCAGAGAACATTGAAAAAATTTGACATGTCATTTTGAAGTGTCTAGAAGCGTCTTGAATGAAAATTTCAGGCAAAAATATAAGTAGTATGCAACACTGAGACTCTGTCAATCCACTGTTGTCTAGCAATTTTATTTTCAGACTTTTTACCAAATGGAACTTTCGGCCCTGCTCATTAGTGAGATAGTGGTTTGACAATGAAAAATGATTTTCATTTTTTATGCAATTATTACGGCAGAAAAATATTAAGATGTAAGAAAATATTGAAAAGAAATTGCGTCAAGTTCAAGTATATTTTAATATGAAATTTCACCCCATCGTTGCTACTAAAACCACTTATTACTTGTTATGTTTCTACCACTTTATTTTTAATGAAAAAGAAATTATTTTTAATAGGTTCATTCAATATAATCCAACGTCTCTGGAGCGTAATTACAAGTATGAAGTGCTCACTGAACACGATTTGGGTGTTGAAATTGATTTAATCAACCGAGACACCTACGCAGGAGATCCCAATGCACAACTCGATCCGGCCGATGAAAAACTCCTTGAAGAAGATGTTCTCACGCCTCAGGACTCCAAAAGATCAAGACATCATGCCAGAAGTGTTTCGTGGCTACGTAGAACCGAGTACATTTCAACCGAACAGACGAGGTTCCAGCCACAGACCATGGACAAAGTCGAGGCCAAAGTCGGTTACTCTATCAAAAAGAACTTCAAGGAAGAAACTTTGTACATGGATCGCGAGAGCCAGATCAAGGCGATTGAAAAGACATTTGACGATAATAAGATACCAATTACTAAACATTATAGCAAACCAAACGTTGTGCCTGTGGAAGTATTTCCTGTTTATCCAGATTTCAAATTGTGGAAATATCCTTGTGCTCAGGTCATTTTCGACTCAGATCCAGCACCGACGGGACGATCTTTACCTGCACAGATGGAGGAGATGTCGCAAGCGATGATAAGGTAATTTATTTCAGCATCTCTCTATATTATGAAAATCCAAATGGACTTCTGGTGATAAAAATTTGGTACTCGAAATTACGATTTCACAATTAAGGGTCACAAGGGTCCGATTAAGGGTCAGGAAGCTCAGAGTAAGGGTCACAAGACTCATATCAAGTTTTATGCAAATAACTAGGGTCCGGAAGTTTATGACCATTATTTTTGAGTAACTTCACAAATGGGCGTGGAAGAATTGATCTGAGCATCATTTTCGTAACGAAGTAAATTCCCCGTAAGAAAGTGCTCTTCAACGAATTCTGTTAAAACCTGAATGTCACTCTTCATTTTTATCTTTGTATTTCCAAACTTGATTATTTAGAAAGTGATTTGATTATGTAGAAATTTATCTTTGTACTACAAATTTGATTATTTACAAAGCGACCAAGTCAAACAAAAAGTACTTTCATAACAAACTTGGAGCAGTTACTAGAAAAAATTATGCAAATCGATTAAAATATATTCTTTCATTTTTTCTTCTAGAGGAGTTATGGATGAGAGTGGGGAACAATTCGTAGCCTACTTCCTCCCTCTAGAAGAAACTCTGGAAAAGCGAAAGAGAGACTTCACTGCCGAAATCGAATACGCAGAAGAAGAGGAATACGAGTACAAAATGGCTCGAGAGTACAACTGGAACGTGAAGAGTAAGGCATCGAAGGGTTACGAGGAGAATTACTTCCTAGTAATGAGAGAAGATGGAGTCTATTACAATGAATTGGAGACTCGAGTGCGCCTATCCAAACGTCGCCAGAAGGCCGGCCAGCAACCCAATAATACTCGTTTGGTTGTACGTCATAGACCACTGAATGCGAATGAATTCAGAATGCAGAGGTGGAGGGAGAAGCAGTTGGAGCCACCGAATGAGGAGGAAGAGGAGGAGGAGGATGAAGAGGAAGAGGAGGAGGAGGAGCAGCAGGAGAATCATAATGGGAACAAAACTCCAGATGAAACGAAAAGCAATCAGGAGAATAATGGCTCTGATAATGAGGAAGGATCTCGTCGGTCTTCCCGAGCCTCTTCTCCTGCGTCTTCAGAGAAATCTGACAAGTCACGATCAAAATCCAGGTCTCCCTCCAAGTCCAGATCTCGCTCTCATTCGCGCTCTCGGTCACGCTCTCGCTCTCCATCGAAATCGAGGTCCCAGTCACGATCTAGATCAAGATCTCAGTCTAGGTCGAGATCACGCTCGGGTTCCAGGTCAAAATCAGGTTCCAGGTCCCGTTCAAGGTCTGCTTCATCTGCTCGATCAACCTCCAGGTCTCCTTCCAGATCCAAATCTAGATCACGCTCAGCGTCCGCTGCCAGGTCAGCCAAATCTCAGTCACGATCTCCAGCTCGATCTGGAAAATCTGGAAGTGGCAGCGGCAGTGGCTCCGGTAGCGGATCTAGTGATAGTGGCTCCGATAGCGAGTGAGAGAACCCACAAATTCGACATTATGTCATTTTGAGTTCATTTACAAGGTGCATTGGTCCTGTGTAAAATAAAATAAAATGTTTAATTGATTTTTCTAATTTTATTAACTTTTGCCTTTTTAACCCTCACAAGTGGTCGCAGCTCTTTATCGAACATAGTTGGTCGCATAAGAGCATTCCGAGTCCGTCGATTTTACCATTTCATGAAAAAAAAACAAGTTGAAAAAAATTATACATCTTCGTCATTCCGACCGTAAGGCAACGCTTCAAGATCGTCATGACAAAAAAAATCATTTTCGTGTCACGGGAGCTGAAAATTAATATACACACCTCGCCATGGAAAACATATCAGTCTCCCCCACGTGCTTGCCATCCTCGCCTTCGGCTCGGAACGCAGTCTTGCACGTGGGGGACGGTGATCTGTTTTCCAAGGCTCGGGCATGTAATGTACTATCATCGCCTGGTGACAATGAACTGTTGGGCTCGCTAAATAAGAAAACGCCTTATCACTCTTGCGAGGTATAATCTTCGCGAAGCTTCACGGTTTGCGATAAAAGGTAACGTCGGTTGGTTTTTTACATTTTTTACATTTATTACGTAAATTACTGGTTTTTGCCTGCCCAATGTTGCCAGGCACACCCGTTAGTCTTGTATAATACAAGATCTATGCGCGCGCTATCGCGCGCGCTGATCTATTCATTTGTTGAAATGAGGAAATGGAATTCATTGAATTTCATTTTCTCATGAATACCTTATAAATATTGATAATGAATCAAAGAGAATTCGACTAATGATTGAAGTGAATAGCGAAGTAGAGTAAAAGAATCTATAAAGAATTTTTCATTTTCAATTAATTATCTTCAATTTTTTTAAATAATCGGTCTCCATAAAAGGACAGAATTTATTAATTTCACCGATGATATATGAAATTATGTCACTGAAGAATTTGAAAATGCCGCGTGTTTTTTTTGTGAATAACTTCGTGTCACATATTGACCAATCAGAATTAAGGATTAGCGGTCAAGCAGTTTCGAGATATTTCGATATAAAACAACTTCACGTTTCTTTCATCTTTAGTAAAATAGGACCCTTCGCCACCTACCAGAAACTAGATTTTCCTAAATCGGTCCATTCATCATAGGTGGCACTGGCAATTTCGCGGCACAATATTTTTCTGTATTTCCCAAAGCGCGTTTCCTACCGCGTGTGTCGCTTCTTAGCCTTCTCAGTATCCTCTATGTCAGTGTCAAAGTTATATTATTTGTATTCTTGTGTCGATTATTGCGTCATCCTCTTTTAGTCCAACGAATAATTCGAACAAATCGTAGGATTTATTGTTTAATTTCTCGTATAATCAACCGTGAGAAAGTGTACTGTACCCTACAATTGATACAAATTTCGTTAACTCAGAAAATTAAAATCGAAAGAGAAACAGAAGCGGAATCAATTTCTGTTTCGTTTTCACATGGCAGACCCGTGTGCTGTCGCCACTCAGCTCACTCTTAATTGCCAAGGATTCCGCCAGCGAGACAATCTACATTATCCTAAAACATAATTCACACCAAAGCAAACGAAAAAGGTCAGTTGATAGTTGATAACATGTCATCTTCCTCATTTAACTAGTTACAACCGGAAGATAACGAACCAATTCTGAAAGTTGTAGTATCAGTCAGCCTGAAAACATTGACCTAGTCCGTATCAATAATTGGAAATATGTATCATAATAACACCGGGGCAAATACAGGTGAACTGATAACTGCTAGTCATCTCTTTCTGTCTCGCTCGTTTTATGTCAAATTGAAATCGAATGTCTATCAAATTTGATGATATAACGAGTGAAACTGATTATTATCAAATGAATTATTCTAGCTCCATCGTTTTGTCCTGCAGTTATTTTGCTATTGAATGCCTTTATCATTCATTTAGTTATAAAAATTTTATTGATCGTATTTGATCGATCTTGCTCTATTCGCAATAATATTGAAAACAATCCAATTAATTTGGTAACTGAATAGTCAACGAAATTTTCATTCAATTGAAATGAACCTTCTGTCGGAGATCTTCCGCAATTAACTGTCAATTAATTTGTGACGGATTTATCTCCCCTGCAATTTATCACTTCACTCCATGGTTATAATCAACATTATCATTTTAGAATTTACAATGGCACCCAAAAACAAAGAGAACTCTACCTCAAACAAAAAGAAGAATAAGAACGTGGTGATGGAAGAAGATGATGACGACGAAGATTATCGTAGACGTAGAGACAGAAATAATCAGGCAGTTAAACGTTCCAGAGTAAAGAGTAAACTTCGAACCCAACAGACTCTGGAGCGAGTTAACCAGTTGAAAACCGAGAATGAACTCCTGGAGGAGAAGATTAAAATGCTTACCAAGGAGTTGGGCTTCCTGAAAGACCTATTTCTAGCTCATGCAGGTAAATCCGGACTAAATTCGTAAAAAAAAAAATCCAATTTTACGTAGGGGAGGGTGGGGTAAAATGGACACAAAAAATTTGCAAAAAAAACATTTTTCTTTCATTTAAAGTTCAAATTTTTGAAAATTGTTTCATTGGACTATGTGGACACCTGATAAATCCATATAGGGTAGACTAAAATGAACGCTCAAAGAATTTGCAACAATGAAAGTTTAAAAAATTGCTTCTTGGCAAAGTCCACAACCGAAAAATTATTCAAGAGTGGGGTAAAATGGACACCCGAATAAGTTGGTCCTATTCAACTTTTAATCAAGAAAATTTTCAACAGATATTTTCCAACAGAATCCTATCAGTATTTTTTTATAGAGAGAAATTAGAGTTGGAAGTGATATTAGCAAATAAACTTCAACGCTATTTAATTTTGCATTGAAGCTGGAAATATCGAGTAGCTTTGGATTTCCTGTTTTACTATTGAAATAACTTTGAAATTATTAATTTTTTTCAATGAACAATTGCATGCTCTACGCAACTGACCTTTTGTTCATTTGCGAAATTTGTAAGATGGCTATTTTTAAAACAATGGGAAGAGAGGAGAATGAATGAACAAAGAAAAATTTGGTTTACCACCGCCACGACATAAGTCAAAAATGAGTTTTTTCTACAATTTGAAAATCGCAGTCATAAGTAATGTTTCAGAAATTAAACAACATTGTTGAAACATAAAAAAATTGAGGAAGAAATCGAAGTGTCCATTTTACTCCGTTTTTGCTTTATCTTACAACTCCTACGACGCACTCTTATGACAATTTTTTATAAACGTTTTTATAAACTTCATATGAAGTCGGAACAGTAGATTTTACCCAATCCAATTCATTATTTAAATCTGGTGTCTGTATTGTCCCACCCACCCCTATCTGATAAATTTTCACTAAATATCTCACAATTCAACGGAGATAACGGAATTTCCATGGAGACCTTTGGAACTCTTTGCAGTTGACAAATGAAAAAATTTCTGTACAGATTCTTTCATGCCGGTTACATTCAGAAATATTTATCAAGGACTCCATGGACTCACCAATACCGAAACGATTGTGTTAATAACTGTCAAAAATTCTATTTCAGGCTCAAATCAACACACACTATCAACAATCCAAGACATAGACCTCAACGCTCTACTCGCCGACGAGTCAAGCACAAGCCAGAAGAGCACAGCGAGACTCTAAATTCTCCCAAGCGCCACGGTTTAAATTAATAAATCAGTGTGTTTGAATTATTGAATCTCAAGTGAAATTCAACGGTGAGCGGCAAATGTCGGACATCTTGGAACGATGCCAACTCCGGAGCAATATGCCTGGCGCTGCTCAAAAATTAAGAACAAACAAAATAACGAAAAAAAAATTATAAATGTTTTTTCAGCCTTTCAGCAGTTGCAAAATTTATGCCATGCGAGAGGGAAATGAATTTACAATCAATCATTGAATGACAACAGCCATTTGGGAAGCACATTCCAATAAAATACAGTAGATTCCCTGACATCAAATATTCCCACTTGGAACATTTTCCAATAAGATGTACACAAATTCTCCAACTAGAAATATTTTCTAGAGGTCGCAGATGCGAGAATATTCCCTGTTGGAGTTTAACTTTTCGACGATTAGTTTGCTGTAACAGCAAAAACGTAAATAAACGTATGAGTCACTAGAGCGTTTCAAATGTACAATACAATTATAAATTTATAGTGTCGAGCAAATCGATTAATTGATTAATAAAAAAAAGAAGAAAACAAATCTCGCAAAAAGTTACGTTGAACCTTTTTTTCCCCGATAATGGCGCAGCCAATGATAGATAACGTCCACTGGCGACGGGGTGGGGGTGGGGTACGATTAGACCTTGCAATTGCATCCACACACACCTGTAGTTGTCCAATTCCCGAAAAATGCCGATCGATCCTCGGTCCTCAATTCGTCGACAGTGCCGTACCGCTCTGGATTTCACTCGCTGGAGAGATCTTTGCCACGTGAGGAAGGGACTAGAGCCGACAGAGCTGGTGGCTGACGATATCCAACGTTATTTGACCATGTCAAACGATACCAAAGGTATCAGATATGAGTGGTAAGCCGTTACCAGCAGTTACTAGGGCATGTGGGGAGAGCCAGAAAAGGGGCAAAGGGGTAAGTAATGCTAAAGCGAACTAGAGAGGTGACCCATGTCATGCGCACAAAGCTCCAAACAGTCGGAATATTCGAAATGTTGGCTGTAATATCCAATATCCAACACTCAGCGGCTACAATACTCATCTAAAAACAACAAAAACGCTGAAAACCCACAGGGCACTCGGTAAAATAAATCCGGTACTGAAAGTCATAGAGGTGGAGGGCTGCCGCGGTGGTGAGCCATTGGTGGGTCCTAGCAGAGCAGAGCGACGACATGTTGGCTACAGGGAGCACCTCGGCTCGGACGTTTCGGTCGCGAGTTACCTCAGGGTACATTGAGTGAGGGAGGTGGGTAAAGGGAAAGAAAAAAATTCTCTGCCTCCCCGTTTCAAGTGACAACACAAGGACAGTTTATAAAACACTTGAATCAGCCATTCATACAAATTAATCCACTACTCATTTCTGGATTAATCGTCCAAAAATTAATGGACTCAAGTGTCAGAATTTCTACGAGTGACGAGTTTTAGGATTATCGCTTGTAATTAGCCCCAGTGATTACAGTGATTACCACGGGCGAGAGGAGATTCGATTTTCGTGTGGGGGCGAGTTCTTCTCGGCTAATAGTTTGAGTCCCGATTATCAGTCGGTATTGTGCCATTATTGTCGTCTTGTTCGTTTCATCAGCGTAACCTTCTTTATATTTTTTTTCTTCACTCCTTCGGCTGTTTCGGTTCTATTCTGGTCTGTGTGTTGGTTCTAGTGGTTCTAGTTGAGCCGGAGCGCGGGGAGAGCCGGGAGTGAACGGTGGGAGGATGCTCAGCCCGGCTTAGCATTCCATTTTAAAAAGTTTATCAACTCTCATGGAAAAACAAGTGAAGATTGACGAATAATTGTTGGTGTCAAAGAGTTACTGAAACAGTCAAATTCACATCGGTTCACTAAATTATATGAGATTAATATTGAAATATATGTGAGTACAGGAGTGCATTTCTGTGCGCGCGCGGATCCTTTTAAGTATACGTATCTATATAATAACCCGTATATATGTACAATCGAAACCAAAACGAGAAGATAAGAGACGAAAAAAATGAAAATTCACGTGAAATAACCAGAAAAACTCCATAATCCACAAGTAATAATTAATAATAACAGTAATAATAGCAACAATAATCCTAATAATAATAATAGAAGAGCGACGAAGATAGAGATTATTCCTCAAGGAGAATTGATCGAGTTTGATATGAGGATGGTCTGTGGATCAGACCAGACAAGATCATAAAGCTAAACGAGTGCATAAACTGGAGTTTGTTATCATTATTATTATTTTTTTAATCCAATTCGTTTCTTTCGGTTAATCCGTCTCTCCCATTCTCCGCTCGATCTGGCAGCTACGAGTATATACCGTCAGCCAATACGTGAGGCGATCTATTTTAACATTTCGTCGTTAGTGACTTGGGGATTTTAGTGTATAATATGCATTGTGAGGTGGGTGGTGGTGGTGGAGAGGTGTAAGAAAGCGACAACGAGGCGAGATTGTATTTCTCAGGCGAAACACGCGCCTCCCTGTGTCATCGCCGTCGCCAGTGGATTCAACTGTCGTGTGCCCTTAAAAATTGACAATTTTCAATCGTAAATTTGTCTCGAAGGCAGAACAACAAACGCTGGGTGGTATTCAATTGAAATTGATAAAGTTTATGCCTCCGGAAGTTCCATTTAGTAATTTGAAGGATCTCGATTTTTCGTGCAATTATTTTTTCTGATAAAAAAAAGGATACATTCGCCTAGTCATCAGTGTGCTGAGATCGGCCAATTTCTGCCGCTTCAAAGTCGTCTAGATATAGATATTTAAAGAGTTTCGAGTCAATTTGGAAATAATTATCTGGTACAACTAATCGTAGAATAATTAGCCCAGCACTCGGCAAAGTGCATGTGGCTTCTTGATAGTTATGACACGAAAAACGCCGCGAGGTGAAAAGTAAAAGTAGAGTTCTTGTCCCTGAGTACCTAATTTCTTATTCAGTATTCTTATCGTCCTTGTGCTTCTCCCCTGGGTTTATTCCCTCGAAAGGGAGCTCAAGAGCAAGAGTAATTCCCCTTGACTCCTTCGAAAAAGCAAAAAATCGCCTCAAGGACTTGTAACAACGCATAAGAAATTACCGATACCGGATTCCCACCGTTGATTGTTACAATTTTCTTCAGTGGAAGTGGAGGAAAAACAGGAAAAAGGGAGAGTGGAGGGGCCGGGGGAGGAGGACGAGGAGGACGAAGAAGAAAAGGTGGCGAATTATAGGCGGCACGAGAAGAAGAGGGAACGTAAGAAAAAAAGACAAAAAGCTGGATAATCGTGAAATATACACGAATAATGAGACATGGATTCATAATAGAATCGGAGGGATTGACATTAAAAATTCATTGCACGAAGACTCTTTAATATCGATACAAGAGGCTATTAAATATCGTATTTTGTATCATAATAAATAAATAAATAAATAAATAAATAATTGAGAAGAAAACGAAGAAATAATAATAAAAATAATAATAACAGTGAACAACCAAAAAAGGGAAGAACAACAATTTGTTGTGCGGCTCGTGTGTCATGGGGTGTTTCGGCAGCCAGAGCAGCAAGGCCAGCCAGGATGACAGCAAGACCCAGAAGAGGCGTTCAGACGCAATCACGAGACAGCTACAGAAGGACAAGCAGGTCTACAGAGCAACACACAGGCTCCTACTGCTCGGTAACAATTCATTTTTTTAAATTTAAACTCTGTCAATGCTGGATGCATTATACAAAGTATAATGTGCAACTGGCAGAATGTCAGTATTTTCTATTTTTGAAAGTTTGTATTTATGTTACATCGTTCCAATTGGATCCAAGGGTTTTACGTCTTGTATATGCATGCATGATAGGAAAGACACTGGTGTGTGGGCAACGAGGTAACAGCTGCCGACGACATTAGTTCTCATCCATAATTATGATTATCATGATACAGAAACAGACAGCAGTTGTTATTAATACTCGGTTTTTTTTTCTCTTTCCATCCTCATTTATAATGAAATAAATACTGGTGTCTTTCAGGGGCTGGTGAGTCTGGAAAAAGTACCATCGTGAAGCAAATGAGAATATTGCACGTCAACGGCTTCAGCGAAGCGTGAGTGGTTGAGTAAATGCAAATTGTAAAATTTTTAATCTGTTTGTTAATGTTGGGTTCCCTTGCAGAGAGAAGCGCCAAAAAATAGAGGATATTAAGAAAAACATCAGGGATGCCATCTTGGTGAGTTTTTACATCAATCTGTGGGTTTAAAAATAGCTGTTAACATTAATGTAGCAGTTTTTTCAAGGGTTAATGGTGATTGACAATCGATAAATTTATTCTAGACGATTACAACGGCGATGAGCACATTGACACCACCTGTAACACTCGAGAATCCAGCAAATCAGAGTAAAGTTGATTATGTTCTGGATGTCTCGTCATCTCCAGATTTCGATTATCCGACGGTAAGTCACCATTGTTGATGATTTATTTGCCTCCAGTGAATATAGAAACTGTCATATTTCTGTGTGATGCATGACAATCACTGATGAGTTGCAATTTACCATTAGTTGGAAAAGACTAGTTGACTCGGTCATTCCGAAAATAAATACAAACTCATAAAAGTAGGAATACCTAATACATAGTATTAGACACAGTGTAGTTGAACATGACATGTGAGTGACAAGTATGACCGGTCAAATGACCGTCAATGACCACCGTCATGACCATAAGCATGAAATGACTAGATCAATTTCGACCGTCAATTTCCATCTATATAGATGACTCTCAACTAGTTCAGCTATTTCTACACTTTTAAAAATCTTTAGCTGAAATGTCCAGTACACCTCCGAAATTTTTATCACATGCAAGTTCCACTGAAATTTCAACGAATTTCGTCATTGAAAATTCTGAATTTCGGGGAAAAATCAATGAGAACTGCAAATTTGAGTTCGATTATTCCCTGAAAATTAAGAGTAATTGGGCACTGAATATTCATGTTTTCATTGAAAATTCAAATAAATTAAAAAATCTCGTCTTTATGTTTCTCAAAATTTCGGTATTTTATTAAATTTTCAGTTGAATCCGAAATTTTATGATTTTCTCTCCCCTTAAATTGCATACCGTCTTAAAACCTACTAGTCAATTGCCCATGATATTTCATTTTATTTTTTTGACAGTGTATCAATCAGAGTACGGCCATCGATAATAATTAATAAATAAAATAATAAAGGATAATAATTCAATTCTATTAAAAACTTTTCTGATCGAACCCTTAAACAGTGATTCAAAAAATGACCAACGCAGCTTAACTGTGACCGTCATTTTACATATAAAAAAATTCGTTCAGGATCAGAAAACCGTTAAAAATCAGTCATTTACGTCTGACCTGACCAAAAGAGAAAATGACGGTGATTCCACATCTCTAGTTGAACATCTCCGCCTTCTTTACTTGTCTGGAAAGAATCTTGAAATAAATTTAACGCTAGCTAAATGAGCGTACTATTTGCGTCACAAACTGTCGCAGATGTTAAAAATTGCGCACACTACCTCTCCCCTTGGCGTTATTTTCCTTTCATTCTGTGGTGACATTGAATTAGTTGTAGGACTATTCAGTGATGTTGATCCATGGAAGCAATGAAGAATAAAGAGTGCGTCAAATTCCTCTGTATCGCTCCGTTAATCGAAGGACGAAGCCAATGGCTGCCAGAGAGTTCAATCGATTAATCGAACTAACGTTGAATCAAGAGAATTTATTAATAAACGTGTGGTGAAGCGCTCGCGCTGGCGCGTTATGAAGCCGGTCAGCCGACACGTTTCTCCCTTGGATCAACATACTCGTTCAGTACATAGAAAAAAAATCTCCAACAGTCAATAACATGGTTGATGCATTTTTCGCAGGAGTTTTATGGAATTGTCGAGACCCTTTGGAAAGACCGAGGTGTTCAACAGAGCTTTGAGAGGAGCAACGAGTATCAGCTCATTGACTGCGCCAAATAGTGAGTTAATTTTACATTAATCAATTCATTAACGCATTAAAAGGGATGATTCTTTAGCGTTTGGTTCCAATAGTACTCGTTATCGAAATAATTTCAGATCTAATCACGGAAGAAAAAATTGAATAGAAAACCCTAGCGAATTCGTTAGAAAATTCTATTGGATTTATATTGAACTTTCTATTAGTTTTTGGCTGATTCTATTGAAATGTTCAATAGAACATAGTCAAAAAAAAGTCAATAGAATTCGATTTTTCTATATAACTTATTCTATTGAGATATTTTCTATAGAATTTCTTCGGCTCAAATTTTCTACATTTTTTTGTTTGATTTTCTTGATGAGAAGAAAAGAAAAATATAATGAAAAAACTTAGATAGAAAAATAACAAGTTAAGTTATATAGAAAAATTGAATTCTGTCAACTTGTTCTATGGAATATTTTCTATTGAACATTTCAATAGAATTGGCCAAAAACTAGCAGAAAGTTCAATAGAAATCTAATAGAATTTTCTAACGAATTCGCTTGGTTTTTCTACGAAATCTTTTCGTGTGTGATAAGCTCGAAGAAAAACACATTCTTGGCGAGACTTGATCAAAATTTCAATACCCTTTTTTATTTGTGAAAAATTTGGAAAAAAATTTTCTTAAGATGAAATCTGCTCGTATTATTATCCAACTTGAACTACAAGTGTTGTTATACAATCAAATTTTGATCCTTCAAGAGAATGAAATGTGAAATTGATTGAGGAGCTCATTGCAATCGTTATGATGAATACCGAGGTAATACTGATTTGTATTCCGAAAAATGACAAATAGATAATGAAATGAAGAATACAAAAACCGAGTTGCATGTTATCTCGTGGCACGACACGCCAGTATCCGCGATCGCGATAAAAGAGTGATAACAGGAGAAGTTGTAAGGTGGTATACGATAGTACTCGGTGACAGATAAAAAGAACTGGTGCACACAGCAGATCAATTAATGGAAGGTTTCAGCATCAGTACAGTATTAAAAAGCGGAAGGCATTATGCAAATTTCAGATTTAAGGAATTGTGATGAGAATAGGATATAAACGATTGATGAATCTGTTTGAAGCGGTTAGAGTGGAGGAGAGGCCGTTTGCGTCAAATAACTGAGACAATGTACCTCAATGAGGTAATCGCTTTGCGTAATGTGAGTCAATGGATGAATCTCGTTCATTTTGCCCCTTGTCCTCGAAAAATGTCTTGATTACTCGGATAAATTTATACCTAGTATCTGGGATTCATCGATCCAGTTGATTCACGTGTTATATTCACGTTGATTTAACAATTGTATTGGGGAGTTTGTTAGGTTGAAGAGAGAAGAAGTTTCTAAAAAGCATAGTGACTCTACCTACGGTTTTTCTTCTCTATCGTGCAGTGCTTTCGCTCTTCTCATATTGTTCAACGCTTTAATTATACTAACGGTTGGACTATTTTTAGCATGAGTTATTCCCTCGTATGAACCCACGATAGTCGCATTGCATAGCGCGTTCTTCGTATGTATGTAAACACGTGTATAGGCTGATTACATGTGACGGGCAATGATGAAAAAGAATTTTAATGCTTTGAGTCGTGGTTTTCCGATGATTGTGAAATTTTCAATACCTGGAGATACATTATTTGGGTATTTTTGGATGGAAGGGATCGAGACGAGGGAGGTGATTCGAAATTTTCATCAATTTCCGATAGGCTTTAGGCGCAAACTAATATTTATCTGTCACCGTTGGTTCACGATTGTCGCTATACTCGCTATGAAAACAGAAAGGCTGCTCTTATAAATAGCAATAGATATTTTTAGGAAGCGTCGAAAATGCTGGTTGAGAAAATGTGTGGGGGTACAAGTATAGAATTTAACTACTGGCCAGCCGGCTTTCACTCAGCGCGTTTGTCATTGTTATGTTTTATTTCATTCGTTTTTCATTGAATTTCCTTTTGAGAATGAGAAGAAAGAGGTGAAGGATGATATCATTGGAGAGAGGTGTAAGCCTTCATTTTGAATTTTTTATTCACTGGCTTTTTACTGAAAGAGAGAAATCCAGGAGGTTGTGAGGGCGTCGTCCCCTTGTGATTCTGCCTAGCCAGCGAAAGTAATGGGGGTATGGTGTAACAAGGTTCGGGGGTTAGGGCAGGACACACCGTTGGCGGTGCCGCAGCTCTCTCGCCATGCTCACCACCGATCGATTTACCTCCTCGCCCTTCCTCCTCTTCTCCCCTTCAACCCCCTCCCCTTTGCTGTTCTTCAATTTTATGCTCCCACTTTGACTGGCTTATAGTCCATTTTTTTCGACTTTTCAATTCTACCTTATGCTCCATTTTCCCCGTTTTATCATTGAATATGCGGGACTTACTGAAACTTATTCTTTGGGTTTCAGTTTCCTAGATAAAGTCGCCATCGTTAAGCAGCCCGATTACACTCCAACTGAACAGGTGAATTTAAATTCGATTTTAAGGCCCCGGTGGATTATTTTTCGAACGTGATTTTGGTTGTTTTTTTATTCTGATAATCTGAAATGACACTGTTTAAAATTTCCGTCTAAATTTTCCGTGTCAAATCCCGGAAATTTTTATCATGTTGAATTTCCACTGAAATTTCAGGAAACCTCGTCATTGAAAAATCTAATATTCCATCGATTTTCTGTTCGAATGATCTGAAAATCAATAAAATGCTTGAGTTTTCAGTTCAATTATTCCGTGGAAATTCGGAAAAATCATTCAAATTCAGGGAAAAAGTGAAAATTCCTGTCATTTTGTTTCTGAATATTCATGTTTCATTGAAGATTCAGTCAACTTGTGAAACTTCTGTTTCACTGCCACTGAAAACTCATGAATTTCCTTGAATTTTACCTAAAGCTTGAAATTTCATAACCATTCTTCCCCTAAATCGGATTCAACGTCACTCCCATGAGAATTACTACCACATTTTCCATGAAATGTCAAAAAATTTCTAACAGTGGATCTCCTATTGCTATTCAGTTTTACATAGTCCTGGAGTCTCCAAAAATTATGACTGTACAATCAAAAAAACATTGAAACAAAGCTAAACATTTTTGAAGAGCGTTGTTGAATAATATTGGGAAATTGACTCAATAGAGGGGAAATTGTAAATTCATAATTTGATGTATCTAATGGCTGTTAGGTACACGGATTGCCGAATACCATACACAGATCTTAGGGCCAATTATAAATATAAAGAAAAACAAAATACGATACGAGAAATAAAATACCAGGCTGAAGTTAAACTGAAAGGGATGGAATTCTTCGAAAAATTCCGTAGAGAGTCTTTCAAGTCATGGTGTAAGGGCGCAAAAAACCCAAGAGCCTTGATTACATGGGTCAACCGAGTCAGGACTAACCATTATCACTTGAAGCCCTCTCTAAAACGAACACAAATAATTGAAGATTCAAACTGTACTTGTGGATACGAAAGCCAAGACATTGACCACATTCTATGGCACTGTCCCACCTTGAGTAAAGAAAGGACAACACTCATTAGAGAATTGAAACAGATTAAAGTTCCTCTTACGAACTCAATCACCCTCTTATTGAAAACAAAAGATCCGAAAATCCTTAAAATGCTACACAAATTTATCATTAATAGTAGATTAAATATCTAAAATCAAAGATTGTAAGAAGTGCAAATATTTAGATTAAATCAATAGAACATTACTGATAGTGTAGATAAATCCTGTAGATTTAAGCACGTTAAACAATAAAAAAAATGGCTGTTTGATCGTCATTTGTCACACTACTCAATGGCTGTCAGATGGTTAGTTATCATGATAAATTATCTATTCACTATATCCTCTCTATCGGATTTGTTTCTTAATCTTCATTAAAAACGCTCTTTGAAAATGCTCCGTTTTTTCGACTTTTTTTGATTGTACAATCATAATTTTTAGGGACTCCTGCGTGATGTAAAATGCAATGGAAATTGTGATATATTTTATATTATGAAGATGGAAAACCAATCGAGATAACGTTCGAAAGATAATCCACCCGGGCTTTCAATGCTTCATTTTGGTTCTTTTAATTAGTCTCATACGATGAATAACGATTTTTTAATTGTGCAGGATATTTTAAGGTGTCGAGTTCTCACATCCGGTATCTTCGAGACTCGATTTCAAGTCGACAAAGTCAACTTTCAGTAAGTTATCTGAAAATTATTTCTATTGAATAAAAAGTCTTAATTTTGAACAGGTTGAAAGCCCTTCACGAAATGCAATTTTTCTCCACCATTTTTAGCATGATTTAATGGGTAACTTTGTTATTTTTTGCAGTATGTTCGACGTTGGAGGCCAGAGAGATGAAAGAAGAAAATGGATACAGTGTTTCAACGACGTGACTGCAATAATATTTGTTACCGCTTGTAGTAGTTACAACATGGTGCTCAGAGAAGATCCAACAAAGTTGAGACTCCGAGAGAGTCTTGATTTATTCAAAAGTATTTGGAATAATAGGTAAACTTTGCCCTTTGACTACTAAAACCATTAAAAAAATCAAAAGATTGATGTAAATTATTTCAATCAAACTGATCAATTGTTTTCTATTTTTGTCAGGTGGTTACGTACAATATCTGTAATCTTGTTTTTAAACAAACAAGATCTCCTAGCTGAAAAAGTTAAGGCAGGTAAGCACAAATTGGAGGACTACTTTCCAGAATTTTCACGATACCAAACTCCAGTCGAACCTGGTGTTGTAACAGATCCTTCAGAACCTCCAGAGGTTATAAGAGCTAAATATTTCATCAGAGATGAATTCCTTGTAAGTATCTACTAATACATGGGTGAATTGATGAACCAATTCAGTCAATTCTTCCTGATATTCCTTTTTGCTTCCGAATGGAAGCATTGTGATCGTTCAAATTTAAGTTTCGGATTTTTCGTGTCGTATCGACCCATTATGATTCAAAAAGTCCGAAAGTGCAATTTTTAGACCGTGTCTGTACGTATGTATGTATCTGCGTACGTATGTAAACAAATTTTTCTTCGCTTGTTCGCTAATGAATCGATGGAATTGAATCTTTTTTTCCCCTCAAATGTAGGTATTATTGAGCCTTATCAATCGCCATTAATTAAAATTTTATTCATTGATTATTTTCTTTAATTCTTCAAAAATTGTTTTTTTTACGATAATTAAAGAAAAATCTTTTGAATTAATGGAATGATGGATTAAAAGAATTGTTTGGGTGTCCTTTTGACCAAATTCGAAGATGAAGGCGATAGTAATAATCGTTATTTTGATTTATCTAAAAATTTGCAAAAATTCTGTATTTTTTAAAAATCAGAATTTCCGGGATTTCTTTACATTTCATGCTTCAAATGAATCATACCTTAAAATGATTGTTTTAATGCCATTAAGTCAACGTTAAACGATTATCACAATAGCTATATTGGTTGATTTGATTTTTATGATGATTGTTGAAAATTTCAAATTTTTCATGAATGTCCCTGAAAATGAGCTTTCTGATGGTTTCTTCAAATGTTATGTTTCAAATTAATTCAAGTATGTATAAATAAAAATTTTCAATTAACAACGAATTATACATGATGGAAGGAAATGATGTGCAAAGTAACCATTCGGAAGCATATTGCTAATTTATTAGCAAAAATAACTATACTCTATGCAATACAAGAGCAATTTCCACTTTTTTTTGCGAATATCTCGGAATCCAACACATCCCAATTCTGATGGAGACATTTTTGTAACTATCACTTTTTCTCAACAAGAAAAGTCCTCTTAAGTATCAGTCCATTCACCAGGAATTCATGGAAAATCATAGAGTATTCGAGTTGAATTAACGTTTCATCCTTTCATAACTCAACAAACTCTCTCAATTTTTATCTTTTTATTACACTAACGGTTTCGTTAATATTTCACAGCGTATCAGTACAGCTAGCGGAGATGGGAAACATTACTGCTATCCACACTTTACATGTGCAGTTGACACAGAAAACATCAAGAGAGTATTCAATGACTGTCGTGACATAATTCAACGTATGCATCTGCGGCAATATGAACTCTTGTGACTTGGTATCAACTATTGCCTAGTATTGTCTGTCCAATTACTATCATTTCCCTTTTCTCCACTTCACGTTGGTAAAGAAAAACTTTGGTGCATTGCCTTTAATTTTAAAAAAATTAAAAAATGCCAAGTACGTGGGCAATTATAACTCATCCACGAACAAGTTGAAGGAAAAAAAATGGAGATGAATCGATTAATTTCACTGAAGAGTAAAAAGAAATTGATGAATAAATTTAGAACATCAAACGAAGTTGTCTCCGATGTGGAAAACTTCACCAAATCAAATACGCAGAAGGAACAAATTATGGCTTTGATTGGTCACTTGGAATTTTATTTCCCCGCGATAGGCCGGGATTGTTCAAATTCTTAACATCATCCTTCTCCCTTCCTCCCTACCTAGCCCCCATCACCAAATATCAATTTTATTATATTTACACAATTCTTTCCAATGTCACTCGACGCACTGTGATCCGTTACCTCGAATCTTGTTTTTTTTCTTCCTTTTTGTTTTAAATTTCATTGTCTATAAGATTTGATGATACTGATGAAAAGTCACAGGAATCTCCTTGAATGTTACGCGAATAGAGTCTCACAATCCGTCAGGTAATCTCTTCCTCGAAGAAGCACACGAATCTCTTGAACTGTTGTAAAATCGTGAAGTGTCTTGTTTTACGAATTTCTATTGTTTATCACGCATGTCCAACAGCACCAAACTACTACATCCCTACTGTTAAACTACAAAAAAAAAGTGTTTTTTCTTTTTTCTTAATTTTGTGAGATTTTACAGTATTTCGAGGGAGCTTTGTTTTTAATTATACAATTTATGTATGTATTAACTATGTACAGAGGGCGTCAATCTGATTCGAACTTGTTTTTAAATAATTTATTTATCATTTAGTAAATAAACCAGAGGCGTTCTTTCTCTACCCCCACCCCCATCGTCAAATAAGAGTGCTCGATATCGGAAAAAAGGAAAACGAAGGAAAAAAATTTTTTACACATTTGCTCTCATTGTCGCAGTTCTGCTCTGAGGGCGTCAATTGCTCTCATGTGAATCATCAATTCATAATTGTATACACAATCTGAATAGTGAGTAAGAATAGTTTGTCTTTGGAGTATAAAAATTACGTGAGAAACACTCATTCGACTATATCGAAAAAGGATATATGTATAGCAAAAAGAAGAAACAAATTATTATCTATACATTATGTGAACATGGGTGGACAGTCGTACACCTGTACGTGAAGAATGGAAAGTCCAATTTAAGTAATTTTCCTTCTTCTCGTTACCATTATATATTATTATTTGAGAATTAAACACCTCTTGATTCAGATGAAAAGCAATATTAAATAAATAATTAATTAAAAAATCTAAATGATAATAAAATGTACGTAGCAGACAAAAGGCAAAGGGCTGCGCGCTAGACGCGGTAAAACGGATGATTTAAATGTCAAATTTGTTTTTATACGTGCGGAGAGTGTTTTATCATTGCAAAACTCGGTATTAGTCATGTGTAAATTAAATAGCAGAGTCACAATAAGAGTTGTGAACGTTAGTCATACGATGATGAAATAATGAAGAAAAATTGATGTTTTTTTTAATAGAGGCCCTCCTGAGTGGAATACAAAGGAGGGCGCGTCATGCACGTATTTCACGCACACAAACATTTAAAGGAAAAAAAACAAAATAGGGAATCATATTTATGTATCTGTCTATATCGTAATAATTGTCTTGCGAGGATGCCACACAGACTTTTTTTCGGAGTATCTCATTTTATTTATTATCAACTGATTGAAAAATTCAAATTATACGTAAACAGTTGATTGAAAGAAAAAAATGGTAAAACGTCAAGTAACGTGTGCACTTTTTAATAACAACGGATAAATCAGGGTGAAAATGGAAATTTAATATATCATATATCAATGTATTATATTATTTTGGCACAAAAGAATATATATAAATATATATGAAATGTGAAATTTATCAATTTCATGTTTCGTTCCTCAGTCTCAGTTTCCCTTTTTTCCTTTATCAGAGAGGTCTGTGCGGTGTCGTACCGGCTCATATATATAAGAAAAAAAACTACCATACAATTAATATAATGTCATAGACATTAATGATCGTATGACTTTATTAACTTTATCGTCGATGCCATTGTTAACGAAGATGAAAAAAATTCAAAGATAATCGGTAATAATCATAATAGCAATAATATCCAACAAGTTACTATTGTCATTACGGGCGCACGTCCCTTTGATACATTACCTGATTGATTGATACCCGAGAATGTCACTTAAGAATATTTTGTGAAATTTTCAACAAATGCAATTGCGTCTTGGCAATGAAAACCCGTTACACGAACATTTGGACAATAGACGTATCTGTGCTTACGACCGCTTATAATTGATTGCACTCATTCATTGGGTTCAAAAAGTACAGAATTTGGTTGTACGTCACTCATCCACTCGTACAATAATTGCACAATTTGATTTCTGAGGAAATTTCTTCTCAATCTGTTGGGTGGAATGGTGGAAAGGGACCTCATGTCAACATGTTTCTTATTTACCAAAGTTTTCTGAATTTTTCACTGTTTTTTGTTGAGGATATCCAAGTATCTATTACAGTTTAGTACAGACCACACTATAGATTCAACTATATTCAATCATCAAATTTGTCAATCAAATTGCGTGAGAAGAATTTGAAAAAAATCATGAATATTCAGTGTCATTCAAATTTCATTTTGCACAGAATTATTATTTTTTAAACATTCGTTCTTTATAAATAAATAATTAAAATTATTCAAACTTTCGGGAACCTTTTTTTAGGCATGAAATCAATTTATGGTAAAATTCTGAATATGAATAAATTTGTTACGATTCCGAACAAATGATTTTTATGGTAGAAAATTGATTGTTTATAAATTATTTATATAAAAGGCTCATAATTTTCAAAAATTGCAACTTTTCAATTATTTCATCAATCTTCCTCCAAAAGTAAACTTTCTAAAATTTCTTCAGATTTTTATAATGTTTTCTAACAGTTCAATATCAAGATTCAAATTCAGACCTGCAAAGCTTAAATAATAAAATCTTTGTAAAATGTCTGGAAACTTGGAGTCAAATGGGGCTCAAATGAAAGCTGTGAGGCTCGACTACAAAAGTAGAAAAGCATTTCACTGAAGAAAAAATAGTCAAAGTACTTGGATATCCTTAAGCTCCCTCTATATGTACATGGAACGATCCTAAGAGAGATGAGCAGTCTTTCTTCTCGCGTAGAATGGTTGGGCTTCAGTAAATCACTTTAATCGATCGTGAGATTGTTGTAATTGATACTTATCTTCCTGCTGCATCATCGAGCACTATTTACGAATGTCAACTGCAAACAGAATGAAAAAAAAATCTATATTCACATATGAAAAACTGCTATGGATAATTCGAACATTGTCTGTAGAATTTTCCAGATAGTATTTCCTATAGGATTCCTTATTAGGTTTTTCCTATTGTATTTCTTATAGAATGTCCTATAGGATTTTCGATAGGATTTCATATGAGATTTTCAACAGGATTTCCTGTAAAATTTAGAGGCACAAGGGTCATAATGAGGCTCGAAAGTGTCATGGGGATCATTGGGGGTCATAAAAGGTCAAAGGGGTCATCAGAGTTATTTAAGGATAATATGAGGGTCATATAGGGGTTACACGGAGGTTATATAGGAATTATATGGGGGTCATATGAAGGTCATTTGATCCTCATATGAGCCTCCTACGACCTCTGTATGACCCTAAATTTCATAGGAAATCCTATAAGATATCCTGCGGGAAATCCAACAGGAAATGTTCGAATTCTCCATAGGATTTCTTGTAGGAAATGCTATAGAATTTCCTAAAAAAATCCTATAGGATTTTTTCGTACGTGTAAAGTTGATAATCTATGCGGGAATAAATTTACTTGTCATTGTATCCACTTTTTTCTTCTTACGAAACCAGTAGGGAAGCGGTAAAACGGTTTATGTCGATTTCGACTATTGACCAGTTTTCAATGAATAGGGGAGGTCGGGGTAAAACGGACACTTTTGACTTTTTTTGAAATGTTAATGGGAGTTGAAATGTTGATAATTGCCTTTGTGACGAGCCTAAACTAAGCTCAATTGATCAATTTGTTTCTGAGTTATGAATAATTTTTGAAAAAGCCTAGTATCCGTTTTACCCCACCTCTCCTATCTCGAAATCTAAGGGAGTGAGCAAGATTTTCGAAATTACCTTTTTTGTCATTAGATTCAGAGATATTTCTAGAAAACTCAGCTAAGGGCTAAGTCGACTTGTAGCGTTTTACCGCTTCATTACTGAAATTGTTCAGCTCTCATTGGGAAAGATCGGTGATCGGTGATCGAATGCGAGAGCAAAAATCCAGAGCAATTTATTCTGCCTCGCTACCACTAATGTACCACTAAAAACGGTGCAATCCTGGATTCAATACCATAAATCGAGTGTTGGTGGTTGTTGAGGTGATCCGATTACAAAGTTGCCTTTTGTCCTCTTTTAGTGAAACGGAATATCCACTCCATTGGTATATATACTTTTAAAACACCTTTGATGTGGGAGCCCACAAATCTCGCATACCATCAACGGTAGAATTCGTAAACCAGTCTTCAAAGTATTCCATATGATGCTTCTACCCTTCACTTGAACGAGTAATTCCTGACCAGCACATGCTTCAGGCCATATTTGGAGATTTTGTTCAATTGGAATGAGAGCATTACTCTTTGAAGCTCGAGAAAAAAATCAAGAAATTTCTACCAATTCGATTTCTGCTGTCGGAAATCCAAGTGGGACCAATCTTTGACAACAAAAACACCACCAAGTTGTCATGGAATGACATTTTCATTGAATAATGCTCGACTAATTGCCACCGATTCCACCACGTATGAAAAAATTCAATAGAAAACCTTGCGAATTCGCTAGAAAATTCTATTGGAATTCTATTGAAAAATTCTATTTGTTTTTTGCCTTTATTGTATTGCATATTCGATAAGAAAAGGTCAATAGATCTCGAATTTGTTTGAATTTTTCCCTGACATTCTTTCTATAGGGATGCTTGACCATCAATTTTCTAAGTTTTTTCCACTCGAATTCAGTAACGCAAAACAAAACAAAATCCAGCGGAAAAAACTTAGAAAATTTGTGCCCAATAATTCTCATGGAAAAGGTCTCAAGAGATAAATTCGAACAGCGATTCAAAATATATTGACTTTTTCCTATCAAATATGCAATAGAATCAGCGCAAAAAAACAAATCGTATAGAAACTCCATAGAATTCATATAAAATTGCAGTAGAATCAGGAATCGGAACAATCATCAATTTCAAAATAAGTTAAATGTAGCTCATGTTACCTGATAATATTACCCAACAATTTTCAATTATCAAATTAATCATTAATCGAATATTCAAATTCCGAAATAATTTATCACCCAGTAATCGTGTCAGAAGATTGACCATTACATGTCTAATCGAAAAATCCCTTTATGAAATTTAGAATTATTTACAAATGTAATGAATGTCGACCGATCGCTGAATAGCGAATTCGTTAGGTTTTCTATTGAATTTTTTCATGCGTGTCAAGTAGAATTGTTCGCGGCAGGAATGAGCGTAGAGAGCTCTCCCGGAAAATCCCAAATCTGGCTTCTTTTCCCTCGATATCAAATTAGCAAGCACTAGAGTTGAGCAGACACAACACGTATTCTTATAAAAAACTGGGAAATCAAGGGTACGTCCTTTCGAATAGCCTTGGTCATCTTGGCTACACCTACAGCACTGGTTGAACCCCATTTTCATTGTTAATCATCAATTGCCCAGTCTCAATATCGTCAAAGCCATGTCTCCTAGGCTACACACAAGGGACAATCTTTTTGTATACCTACAAGAGAAATAATGGCTTCTTTAATGACTTAGTAGCCCCTTCTTAGCATCTCCCTTATATCTCTTTACCATATCAGCGTGAGAGTAGAAAGAGCACCTCTCTGGGATCGATTGGCTCACCTACTAATGCTCTTATCGCAAAAATATGGACTTTTTCTACTTCACATTTATGCGATATACGGTCATTACCAATCATCATTCTTTTCCCCACGAAGAAACTAAAGTTTCGGTGCTGGCAAACATGAATATCTTGAATTGATCAGCATCAAATTTTTGCTCCTTGTTCAGTTTATCGCTGTCTTTCTATTTTTTTATTTTTTTTTGTATTTCCATCACTGAAATAAGTATACATAAGATAATAATAAAAATGTTCAATGGTTTGAACGTATTCGACGATACTGCGTGAAAGTCCGTTCTTAGTTCCAATTGCTCCAAACATTAAAAACTATGTAAATAAGTGGTGCGAATTCGTCATTTCAAATGAAAAAAATTCGATGAAGATAGGACCGAATTATGAAAGAAGTAAAAAACAAACTGATTAACATTAATTGAATCAATAAAATGGAATTCATGAAAATTGTCAATATTTACAATTTATTATCAATGTACCATTGATGGGAAGTGTTTATTGATTATTCTTTCTTGGCAAAAATTTTCTTGTTGTTCCAAAACCACTGATGAATCTTCCAGAGTGTTATGAATTAATATTGTGCGGCCTCCAATTAGTTCTCGTGGTAAAATGCTCGATGATACATTATGATTCTTCAGCAGCTATTGATGGTCATTCTAGCCAGAAAATTAGTATAATGCTCTTGAGGGGAGATCGCGATAAAATTTAAGTCTTCGCTTGGCCTTAAGAGGAATTGGACAACTTTTGGTATATGAAGAGATATATTAAGGGGAGACTACTGAGTTTTTAAAGTCGTGGGCTATTGGAGTGAGATTTCTCATGCATTAAAGATCGATTATACGTGTCTAAAAACGAGTAATTAGTGCAAAAAAATTAATTGTTTATTGTTCGTTTGCCCCGCCGACGCGCAGAATGTTGAAAATAGTCCAGGACCTTCATTTTCTGAAAGAATGTGTATGATAAAAATTACGAATAATTTTTTTTTTTAATTCGACACCTACACAGCTAATTTTGTTCTGTTTAATATAAAAATTTGCGTCATTTATGTAGAATAGAGGCAGAAAAATTATGCTATTAATATTTAAAATATATTTTCGATTCTTTCAAAAATATTTTTCGGGCTATTTTATATGAATGGTGACATTTCTCATTTAAGAAGATGAAATTATCTGTGTAGTAGTTGAATTTCAAGAAACTAATTCGTAATTGTTATTGTACACATTTTTTTAAAAATTTTGAAAAAAAAACCTGTGTAGCTGAAAAATTGGAGGTCCCGGACTATTTTCAGCTTTTCAAGCGTCTACGGGGCAAACTAACCATAATCAATTAATTTTTTTGCACTAATTATTCGTTTTTGGACTAATATAATCGATCTTCAATGCATGAGAAAACTCATAGTAGTGTCCCTTTAAAGAGGAAGAAATTTTTTTGGATCCGACCTGTTTTGCCCCGCATATCCATTAGAACCGGCATTTTTCTCGTTTTAGCTTAAAAATACTTGCGCCACAGATTTTATGCGACTTCAACATTTTTTTAATGTTCGTTATACTCCAACAAACAAACCCAAGTATCCTTTTTACTTTATTTGTATTAAATCATGAGATAATGATTTGTCTAGTTTTCGATTTTTTTCTTCTTCGTAAATCCTAGTAGTCGGCCGAGCGAAGATTTCAATTTCACCCCGGTCTTCCCTTAATAATAGTCCATCGTAGTTCAGCTGAGGCAAAAGAATACAATAAATATGAAAATTTCATTTTTTTTTCTCTTTTTTCTTCTTTATGAAAATGAGAGTGAAAATAAGAGCATTGACATCTCATCAGTGAAAGTAAATGGTCTATGTGCATGGTTCGTCTTTTCGTATTTTCGTATTATATTTCAATTGTAAGTACTACCTCTTTCATGTATATATCTATTACGTACACGTATGTATAAATATATTTAACAAAAAAAATATATATATTGAAAAAAAGGATTAAATTTTTTACAATTTCATCATTAACAAGCTTTACAATTCCGCCATAAATTAAATTTAGATTTCATTGAACTTTCACACAATTGATTAGTTATAATAAGTGTGAAGAAAAATTTTGAAAGTAAGGTTTGGATCATCAAAATTGGGACTATGCACGGACAACTGAGTGGGTTTATATTGAGAGACTGGAAATATGTGGATAATTAGTGATAACATCAATGTGTTTAGCGATACAATTTAATTATGTGTGAATGGATGGAGTAGTGAATATCATGTCAAAAGTGACGTCGAACGTTACGCAAAATCATTGAGAATGAAAAAATAAAAAGAGGATAAATAATTCAAGTCTGTGATTGAAATCAAAACTTGAATGGCTTGTAAACGTGTCCCATGTGCATTAATCACAAAGAACGAATAAATAAAAAATTAGTCGATTGTGCAGTTTATTTTAATCCAGTGCAATTATATCGAAGAATATTGGTAATGAAGACAAAAATTTAATTCTACGGGTGTTTACTTGCCGTACAATCAAATGATAATGAATCACACAAATATAATTTGCGATAATTCAAGGAGGAGAAATAGACCAATTAACCGGATACAATACGAGATTTAACAGAGATGAAAAACCATGTGGACAAAGGAAAAGAAATTCTGGAACAATAACGTACATCATATTTTCGTGCATGAATTTCAATCTTAACAATTGACCTGTACACGAATGATGATCATTATATTTATTCATCCAACAATTTGAGAAAACTCCAGTGAAATCAATTTATCAGCGCAGGCTAGAGTGAGCGTGACTGTGGTAGTCGCCTTTTTTTGCAAATCTCAATGTACATAACAAATAATTTAACAACCCAGTGGAAACTATAACAATCAATTGGAGGCGAAAGCAATCTTGACGCATCATTTTTATCAATTAATCCGTCTTGAATAGATGATATCTGATATCTGCCGGATTCGGCGATTTAGAAACAAGAAAATCAGCATCGCTTGGATAAATTTTCATTTGCCATTCCCCTGTACATCAAATTACCTCAATTTAAAAAATTCACAATGAAAAATTCTTTGTTGCGTACGTGTCTCCTAAAATTAAAGAAAATGTGGAATAAAGTAGAAAAATTAGAAGACGCTAAATTAACCAAATAAAAGACGAAATCTTTAATCGATGTGAAGTGGAATAGAGAGTTGCATAACATTATAAGTCCAAAAATACGGAGAACGTGAAGGATTGGAGCCGCTGTCGATAGAAGAAAAAATAAATAAATTCAGTGTGATGAAATTTTTCGCATGACTCATGTACGTTTAGTAGTTCTTTACGGTCTCTACGATATCCGATCGCACATTCTCCTGGCGCAAATTGATCGCTTTAATTCAGTGGAGGAATAATTCAAAATGTGTGATCGTTTCATAGGTGTCGATGATTTCGTTAAATAAAACTTGTGTCATACACCAAAGAATAGTACACTAACAACCTGATTGATCCAAATAGTACCACAGAGCTACATCAGTTTATTGAACCAATCAATCAATTCAAATGTGAAGGCGTATCTAACGGCTCGGTGAGTGACTTATGCGTCTCTAGAAATACCCAAATAAATTAAGGAAAATTTAATTTAAAAAAATAATAAATAAACATAATTTTATTCTCATTCTGTGATGATTGTTTGAATAAAAAAAAAGAATGTTTATGTGAATAATATAGAAATTGAAAAATTAGCGGTGTTGGCGATAAATGAAGAATTTGAATACTATTCGTTTCGATGTACACAATTACGCCAAGTAATTTATGAATAAATTAATGAAGAGCGGAGGTTTACTTCTTTTAATTCTATAATTTTATTACATTATTAAATCGCTTGTATTTTGTCTACAAATGAATAATTGTATCATCAATTCGTTGCCAAATCTATTCCACACAATTCTTCTTCAATTGATTGAATTTTGTAAATGCATCAGATTGTTCCATGAATTTGATTGATTACATTGATTGGAGCTTGCGATAATGGAGTTTCTTCAGGGAATACAATTCCCAACTGAAATCACAATTCTAAGAAACCATCAGATGCTTTCTCACATAAGCGATCTGAGCCTTAGACTCAAGCATAGCGAGATCCTTGACAACCGGCGCCATTTGTTGGACATGATTCTGATAATTGGTACCCATATCCATCCTCTTCTGTCCATAAACAACCTTCCCATCGAATTCATTCATAGGTACTTTAATATCAGACCCAACCTGCTGAATAGTTATATTCAAGTGGTCCTCGATATCAGCAAGACACTGCGTCTCATTGTACCATATGCAACATCCCCCTTGATTGGTCAAATTAGTGTTATTGCAGTTTCTTCCCCTGGAGGCACACCACTCTCCATGATACCAGACCTTTTCTGGGACGGTGCTGACTAGAGAAATGGCTAGACCCATTCTCTCAGCTCTTCCAACTCTCCCAATTCGATGGACATAATTGGACTTTTCATCTGGTAGAGTGACATTAATAGCAAACGGTAGACCTGAGATGTCAAGACCTCTGGCCGCAACATCGGTACAAATTAAAAACTTCACCTGCTTCATTTTGAACTTTTCAAGGTTTGCTTTACGCTCCGGGGGCTTGCGATCCCCATGCAGACAAACACAAGAGAATTCTTTAGCGTCCAATTGTTTGAGGTATCTCTCAAGATTGTCGCAGTCCAGTTTAGTGCGGCAGAAAATGATAGCTCTATCCATCGTATGCTCCTTAATCGCTCGAACGCAATATTCACCTTTGAGGATTTTGATACCTTCTGAGAGAGCTTCAGCGGTATTGCGTTTCGATTTAGTATTGTCTCTGTAGTGAACTCCATCTGTCTCAATGTGTCTACTCAAACTGCTCCATAATCTGTCCTCCTGAGGATCGACCAACACCACAACATGATGAACCGTTTCGGGAACAGCGTCTTCACCTTTCAAATCCACCCAAGTCGGAAAATGCATCAATCTATCCGCCATTTTTTTAACTTCAAATGCATGTAGTGTCGCCGAGCACACGATCATTTGGAGTCTCTTTCCATCTGCAGTTATTTTGGGAATCTGCCCATGGAGACGATCTATCAACTCTGTGTATCCTTGTTTTAGGAGACCATCAGCCTCGTCAAGAACGAAAAATCTGCAGTGAGTTAGAGATAGATATCCTCCTTGGATTAAATCCTCCAGACGACCTGGTGTTCCAACGACTATGTCAATTCCTGAATTTAATGCAGCTATTTGTTCCTTAGCTGCAACTCCTCCGATAACTAACAATTGCTTGATTGATGGATTTTTTAGATGAATCCTGAACTTTTCGAGTTGATTGTAAGTCTGTTCTGCCAGTTCTCTTGAAGGTTCAATAATTATAGCTTGCGGAGCGTTGGCAGGGGGCTTGATCTCTTTATTTCCAGCACTACTGCTTCCCATTTCATTCTCTTTGCAACAATCTTTGGGGGCAGAGGCCACTGGAGTGAACCCACTTGGGGGAGGATACTTGAAAGGTTGATTTCCAAAGTTGAATGACATTTCAGCATTTTTTAGAACCACTGCGGGGAAAAAAGTCTGGGATCTCTGTTGAGCATTCAGGTCAAATGCTTTTCCAAGATCTGTCCCATTTTTCGTGAATCTTATTTCTCCTTTCGAAAGATCCAGAAGGCAACCAATGACGTCGTGCATTCCGAACGCTTCTCCGTAGTTGTCAAATTGTTTTGAGTTGGATTTCTTACCTGTACCTCCAAATCCCCACCCAAATTTATCAGTTCCCAAGTCCAAACTGGCTTGGGACGTTGACCATCCGACTCTGCAGAGGCCCTCATCAGTGACCACAGCTTCAAAATAGTATTTGCCATCTCCCTGGATGCCTTTATTCGCCCGGCAACCGTGCCACTCTCGTTGCTCTCGACTCTGGCAGCGCAAGCCATCAGGAGTTACTGCCATTGCTCGTCCTCTGTCGAAGAGACTCAGACCCCACGAGCCGGAGGCTGCTCGTTTACCGGATTTTCCGCAGGCTTTTCCGGTTTCGATGTCTTTCAGGGTCTCCCAGACAATCTGGAGGATGGGGAGACAGAAGGCTCCAGTCTTACCACTGCCTGTCTCTGCTGCCATTAGGACATCTCCTCCACCTAGGATTAGGGGGATTGCCTCTGCTTGGACGTCCGTTGGGAGACTCCATTCCATGTCCTCAATTGCTCTTGCAATTTCGGGCAAAACGCCCATTTCTATAATAAATCATTACAATTATTCTTATATAATTTTTTATAAATTATATTCTTTTTTCAGAAACAGGTCTTTTGGAATTCTCCCCTAAAATCACTCGTATTTAAGATAGGGGAGGATGGGGTAAAATGGACACTTTTGATTTTTTTAAATGTTAATAACGGATTGAATTGTTGATGAAATGGAATTTTTTTTGTCAAGGAAAAGGACAATTTTTCCTCTTTGTGATGAGCCTAAACTGATCGCAATTGATCAATCTGTTTCTGAGTTATAAATATTTATTAAAAAATTAAAAGTGTTCATTTTACCCCACCCTCGCCTAATTGGTGAAGTTGTTAATAATAAGGATGAATCGGAGCTTATGCGCGACCCTTTATAAGTTTTTCGATAATTGTTATTTTCATGTCAGTCAATTATTATGAAAAGATCAAATAATATTAAAAAAGAAATTGCGACCTTCAATGGAGCTTCAGGATTTTTCACTGAAGAATAAAAACGAGAGGAGAATAAGAAAATCGTCAACCTCAAAACGGAATTATTCATCTCACGTAAATTTCAAAAGTTGTGTCAAAAATAGTTTTTTCTCCATGTCATTTTCGATTCAATTTATTGCAAATAAATACGCAATGAGCGAGTTTCCCGATTATATCGACATGATGAAGTTTCATTTCTATGGTAGAAAAATCAAAATTAGGGGAGGGAGGGATAAGATGAACACTAGGCTTTTTTTTAAATTATTCATAACTCAGAAACAAATTTATCAATTGAGCTCAGTTTAGGCTCATCCCAAAGGGAAAGAATTGTTTTTTGCAACGAAATTATTCTATTTCATCAACATGTCAACCCGTCATTGACATTTAAGAAAAGTCAAACGTGTCTATTTTACTCCACCCTCCCTTATTCCAAAAACAATCTGGTCTGAAGGGTGAATGTTCTAGTGAAGAATAATATAGAAATGTAAATTAACCAAAAAAAATCTCAAGTGAAAATAATATACGCAACGACAAAGGAAGGAACAAACAGTAAGAGAAATCAGAATCTTAATATTGAACTGAGTTCATAGGAATTAGTTTTATATGCAAGTAGTTTGAGAGATTAGTTTACAAACCTTCAAACGCTGTCATGCCGTTTTGTGTGCTTTAGTCTCGGCTCTGAGCAGGGAGGTCGTATATAAATTGTAAATAACTCATCTATGTAAGTACTTCTTTCTCTAACGAAAGCAGTTTTGTCGCTGGGCTCATCCGACTTTCTGATTGGTCAGTTAATCCGCTGGGCTTCGTTCAACCTGATCTAGTAACATTAAGGGGTAACGGAAGCCTTCGCAAAAGTTTGTTTTTTCAACCCATTTTTCTCCGACTATGTCCAAATGGCTGAAATTTTCACCAAGTATTGAGGGGACTCTCTAAGCGTGTCGTCCTTCTATTATTTTTTAACATCAGCTGCGTCGTTAAGTTTTCTGCATTTTTTTTTTGCGAAAAATATGAAAAATAATAGATGGAGGACAACACTTTGTCTCCCCTCAATACTTGGTGAAAATTTCAACCATTTATATTGGACACAATCGGAGAAAAATGGGTTGAAAAAACAAAATTTTGCGACGGCTCCGTTACCCCTTAAGCTTTTTTGCTCAAATATCCCCACTCTACGCAACGACCCCTTGTACTCTTGCTAGAGTCTTGCTCCCCACCATACTCAAATCTCTGGGCTAGTTATTTTCAAGACAGAAATTATGCCCTTGTTATGCTGCACCAGCGCCAGCCTCACTGAACTACCAACGACAAATATGAGGAGAAAAAAAACAGTGTCGTCGCCAATGAGGAACACACAACTGTACACAACTTTTGGACTAAAAATAAATTAATCCAAAACTGAGAATAAAGGAAAAAAGTAAAGTTGTTGAAAGACAAAGCATTTCTGTGCCAAGTGAGTGATAAAATCCTGGCTCTACGCAAAGTAAAGTGGTGGTTTGTGGCGGCATCGGTCTTTAGAATCAGGACCGAGGGCCCCTGAGTTGGAGGGCCATGGCGGGTTTGAAGGATGAGGATAAAGCCCTCTTCCCTGTACGAAGTATATCCTCTATTGTTCAAATATTTGAAAAACAGTTGGCTAATAATAATACTGAACCAGACTTGGCACTACTGTCGATACTTGTTGGTGCTGTGGAGAATTCGTTAACCTGCAATCGCACTATTGCGTCGCAAGAAAGCACTATCTACGATGAGCCGAAACTTCCAGCGGTTGAGTTCAACATTGCTGAGACACTTTATTCGAAATTTCATGCTATTATCAAAGGAGCTGTGGATCTCTCGATTTATGATCAGAAGTATGCAACCCGAGAATTGGTTAAAAGAGTCTCAGATGTCATATGGAACTCACTGACCAGAAGTTACTACAAGGATAGAGCACACCTTCAGAGTCTGTACAGTTATCTCACTGCTAATAAGTTGGACTGTTTTGGTGTGGCTTTTGCTGTTGTTGCTGGATGCCAGGTGCTGGGCTTCAATGATGTACATTTGGCCATGTCTGAGGATCATGCCTGGGTTGTTTGTGGCGAGAACGGGGATGAGACTGTTGAGGTTACGTGGCACGGTATGTTTGAAACTGTAATTTTTAATATAGTTTAAGGCCCGAATGGATTATCTTTCGGACATTATTTCGATTGTTTCCATCTTCATAATGTAAAATATATCACAATTTCGATTGGATTTTACATCACGTAGGAGTCGTTAAAAATTATGATTGCACAATCAAAAAACGTAGAAAAAACTGTACGTTTATAAATCAGTATAAAAAATTCTTATAATTTAAAAAAATTGCAATTTTCAAATTATTCCATCAATCTTCATCCAAAAGTAAACTTTCTAATTTTTTTTTTCAGATATTTAAAATGTTTTTTAACGATTCAATATCGAGATTCAAAGTCAGACTTGCACAGTTTAAGTAATAAAATCATTGTAAAATGTCCGGAAACTTAGGGTCAAATGCAGCTCAAATGAAAGCTCTGATGTTCGACGACAAAAAAAAGCATTTCACTGGAGAAAACATAGCCAAAGTACTTGGATATACTTAATTCTTCAAGTTATCAAACTATCAAAAAGCAGAAAGTCAAAATTAATCATTTTACATAGTACTTTGAAATAGTCGTTATGAAAGATTAAAAAAATGATTTTATATTGATTTAATTGGCATTTGACGAGGGAAAAGCGTGAACCAATTGACTAAAATTTTTTTTTTCATTTCTATGAACAGGAAAAGGTAATGAGGACAAACGCGGACAACCCGTGGAGGCCGGGATAGCTTCTCGTTCGTGGTTGTATGTTAATGGGAATGCTGTTATCTGCAACAGAGCGATGGAAGTTGCAACGATAGTATCAGCAATAAATCCTAGTCTGAGTGCGACTGCAGATGCTGCTGAGGTGGCACTTCTGCAGCAGGAGCTCTTGTGGTTGTTGTACGACCTGGGGCACTTAACAAAATACCCAATGGCTTTGGGAAATCTTGGAGACTTAGAGGAGGCTGCTCCAACGCCTGGGAGGCCTCCTGCAATTGTTCTCTTTCAAGAGGCTATACGCTCGGCAAGAAAATTCTATGGCAATGCTCATGTTTATCCTTATACTTATCAGGGTGGTTATCTCTACCGACATGGACTCCATGCAAATGCACTTGCGTCGTGGGCTGATGCTGCTGATGTGTTGAGAAAGTGAGTAAAATTATTCTGTTGATAGTGGCTGCACTTATTATTATTGGAAGTAATCGCCAGGAGCGATTTCTTGTAATTTACAAAAATACTTAGGGGAGGGTGGGGTAATATGGGCACCAGATTTAAATAACAAGTTGAATTGGATCAAATCTACTGTTCCGGATTCCACGACTTTATTCCCCGATAAAATTTCTCCGACAAAACTCCACCCTCTCCCCAAAAAATTTCCTCGTGCCATTTTTTCCTCATTTTTTTTTACCACGACATTTTTTCCTCAAGACACATGCTAACCCCTATTTGTCCCCCGTCCATTTCCTTCCAATTTCCGCAATTGAATTTATTTACGAAGATGAAAGAAATTATTCAGTATTTAATTTCAGTAACAATCCTCAATGTGTGGCTATAACATTTTCAATGAGCAAAATAAAAATTTCCCTACAGCTACATTTGGAAGTTAATTCAATTGATAGAAACAGAACAAGGTCTTACAGAATTGGAAGTAATTCAAGTGGGGGCTGGACGTGAGGCTCCACCCAGGAAGAACTATAGAGATTTTGGAAGATGGAAGAAATTTTTTTTTTGTTATTCTTTGTTTATAAAATTAATTGAAAAAATGGAAAAAAATTTGGAGGGAAAAAAGAGCGAGGAAATTTTGTCGGCTAAAAAAATATGGGCCACCCTGTTCCGTCTTCATTTGAAAGTTATCAAAATAAACACATTGTCATACGACTGCGTCGTAGAAGTGTAAGGTAAAGCAAAAACGGGGTAAAATGGACACTTCGATATCTTCCTCAATTTTTAATGTTTCAACAATATTATTCAATTTCCGGAATCGTAGTCATGACTACGATTCCGGAAATTGAAAAAAAAAATCATTTTTGGCTTCTGTCGATGGGGGTGGGTGGTAAACCAAATTTTTCGTTATTCACTTATCTTTATCTCCCCCCATTACTTTATGGTGATTTCCTTTGTAAGTAGAAAAGTAGTCATCTTACAGATTTCACAAATGGACAAAAGATCAGTTGTATAGGGTGTGCAATTGTTCATTGAAAAAAAAAAATAATTTCAGTTATTTCAATAGTAAAACAGGAAATCCAAAGCTAGAATAGCTTATACTTCAAACTTCAATGTAAAATTTACTAAAGTTGAAGTATATTTGTTAATATCTCTTCCAACTGTAATGTCTCTCCATAAAAACATACCGACACGATTCTGTTGAAAATTCTCTTGATTAAAAGTTGATTAGGACTAACTTTTTCCGATGTCCATATTGCCCCACCCTCCCCTATATGAATTATTTCTCAACCTTTTATAAACATAAATTATAATTTTTTAGGTATGATTATTCCCGAGATGATGGAGAAATCTACAAAGAATTACTAGAAATAGCAAATGAATTAATTCCTCATACAGTTCGAGCTGACGAGCGTCTGCTTCGTCAGCCCCGTTGTTTCGCCTACCTCTTACGTTTTTACGATGGCATTTGCCAGTGGGAAGAGGGTGCGAACACCCCTGTACTCCATATCGGCTGGGCAAGGCCGCTGGTAAACACAATATCCAAGTTCGATGCGAGCATCAGAGCTCAGGTAATCATCGAGTGTCACGAAACTGAATTACAAATGAGTTACGTGCACGACGAGGAGAATCACCACACCAGAGAGTTTCGTAGGGACTCCAATGTGGATGAAGGGAGTCATCATAACAATAATAACCACCACAACAACAATAACAATACAACAACGAGCAATAACAACAACAACAATTATTGTAAGACAAAGGAGAGGTCGAGTGCAGCGAGAGATTTGATTGCAAGTCTAGAATCAAAAGTGCAGTCGACGAATCCTGCACCAATGCATCCAGGAATTCAGGCGTTGACAGCTGCTTGCAGTGAAAAAATACTCAACCGTGATTATTTGTTGCAAGGTGATGGAGAACCTTTTGTGGCACCTCAGGAGAGTTCATTACCCCCCACTCCATCAACATCTCAGGAAACCCTCGATCCAGAAGTTGAGGAGGACTCTGAGAATGATAGCCCCAGAATAACTCTGTACAGCGAAAAAATGAAGGGGCTTAAGGATTTACTTCTTGCTGAAAAATTGAATACACATGCAATTTCTCTACAATTGACAGCACAGAGTCAAGTTCAAATTGGAAAGAAAACCAGAGGCAATGATGATCTTGGTGTTCATCAACGTCCCAAGAGGACACGACGAGAGTGATTTATTCCACAGGGTATTTATGATCAACTATTTTACGTTTTTTTCTGTAGCAAAGTGGTTGGGAACAGGAGGCTGGTCCAAGAGGGAAAATATATCGTGGCAATTTCTTTTAGTACATGCAATTTTTCATCCTCAACATCTTTCAATTTTTTTCGTCTAAACCTAGTAATTACTAAAATAGTGTAGAAATCTACAGTAGGTGACTGTGAAATTCGCTTGCAGATAGTTTCGGCGATATCTTTAAAACTAGTAGGCTTGAAGAAAAATGTCTCGATATCATTTTTCGTGGCCTATGGAATTTCTCCAAAACCTCTTCCTTCCAATCCCTTGTTCTTCATCACTTTACCGCTGATTTTATTTCGACTTCTCATCATTTCGCAGGGAATTCATCCCCTTGAATTTTCATTTTGGTGCTCATCTCTCCTGAGACGACAGAAAACTCGCTTCCGTTATTTTGCCAACCAGTATAATAATAGGATATTTCGATACAAGTGCGGAAAAATAGTTTTTGACTTTAGTGGAAGTGAGTACCCTCCCACGGCTCTAAGACTGCTTTTTCGATGAGTATCGAACCCTATCTTTCATCACAATGCGTTTCAAGAGGGATTTTATGGACGCAAGACGTGAGTAAAACGTAATTTTACACTCAGCGCGATGAAAATGAAATAATCTTTATCATTGAGTTTAGGTATGGGGACAAGGCTTAGCTGTTTGTTAAGAGTTAATTGTGTGTAGAAAAGTACAAAACATATTTCTCTTACTTTTTTTAATTAGTAATTTAAAGAGATGCGAAAAAATATGAGAGCAAGTTAGTCCTTAAAATTGAGATTTATTTTTTATTGGCTATATTTATTGATGAAAAAAAAATGATTCTATCAACGTCAAAATGTTTCTCTAATGATTATTTTTTAATAACTTATTTATTGAAGGAAAAAATTGACTTATAAATAAGGTAGTGAGATTTTTTTTACATTCCGTTCGACTAACCAACTCGCAAAAATCGTGAGTGTTTTTTAGCTCATAAACACATTTCATTCAATTAATTACGAGCATTAAAGTTCATTTTCTCTCATATTTCTATATTTATTAATTAAATCATTAATACTTCTTTTAATGGCACATCGGTCAAGTACTACCCGCATTTTATTGAATACGTGTATTCACGTATTAATTTGATTTATCCCACGCTTGAAAAAAAATATACGTGCTTTTGCGTGCGTAAGTTATTTCATCAATTAATTTATTGCTACTTAATAATTAAGTTATAGCACTCTTTCCCTGCAGAATCTCGTGTATCAACAACCATCGCTATTTTTTAGGTTCTCGACTGTAGGAAACCGTTTTTTTCTTTTTGTCAAATGAAATTGACCCCCCCCCCCTAAAAAAAACAATTAATTGGTTGTAAGTGGATTGTTGTAGAATAGCTGTTGAAAGAAATCGAGGTGAGAACTAATTTAGATGCTTAAAGAAAAAAACTCTACAGAGAACACACTAGTAAAATGAAAAATATTATAAAAATTAATCCACGGAAGCAGTGGATTAATTAAATGCGTTACAATGAAAAGGCGCTATCTTGCTGTGATGCTGTTGATATACTGGACGATAGTACTATTGATATGACTGAGATATTGCGAGGCGCAGCGTGGCTGAGAAAAAGGGAAAAAATAAAGTAAAAGATGTGAATTGCTATAAATTGATGAATAAAACTAAAGAAAATTGTTTAAAAGAAATTAAATATATTCACTCTCTGGAAGAACACATAGTTGATTATCTCGTGTGCGACTAATCTAACTAGTAAATGCGTGTACCCATATACGTATACTATATAAGTGTAATCCTTCAGTATGGATCTGTTTAAACTGATAAATACCATTTTCAGTATTTAGAATGATTTATAAACATTGAAATAATGAATAACACATGAAACGTACAGGGAAAAGTATTTTTCTATTGGTAAAAATTGTTGTGATTCCCATGATTGCTTCAAAATACGTGTGATATCCAGTGTGGGAGTTTCATTTTTCATAAATCTTCATTATTTAATTTTGTATGCCTTCGCTGCGTTTTAAGTAACTCCAGGCTCCTGATTTCCTTTCTCCTGGACAATTGTGTAGCAAAATACTGTTAAAAAATTTTGTCTGAATTTTCCGTGCTAAATTCTATAAATTTTTATTGTGTTCCAATTCCATTGAAAATTCAGAATTTCGTGGAAAAATCAAAGAGAACTATAAATTTCACTTCTATTTTTCCCTGAAAATGAATAGAAAGTCAGAAAATTCTGGTAAATATATTTTTGAATTTTCAGCTCAGTGACACTGAATGCGAAAAAAAGCGAGAAAAGGGGGAAAAATGATGAAATTTCAGATTTCACTGAAGATTCAATGCAATTTGACACTAAATATTCATATTAAATAGGAAATTCAAATAAATTAGAGGTATTCTCGTCTTTATGCCCTTAAAAATTCTGGATTTTGAATTTTACTGAATTTTCAGTGGAACCTGAAATTTCATGATTTTTTCCCCTTAAATCGCATTCAGTGTCACTGTCCTGAAAATTAGTAGTGAACTATCCGTGAAATTTTATTTTTTTTAGTAATTTTAATTTAGTTTGACATTTTCGCCAAAAATGATTCATTATCAATATAAATTCATATTAAATGATATGTTGGAGAATGAATTGTTAGGACTTACCACTTCCATGTCCAATTGATTTTCCAATAATTGAAAATCACGATATCAATATGAAACATCCTCAGTGCGTGCCATAATGAATCATTCGCACAATTTGAAATAATAATATTTTCTTTGACAGAATTAGATTCCTGCTACTGTTTTCCGCTCTATTACGAAACAATAGAAAAAACCTACATTTCTGATGATAAGAAAATAGTTGGAAAATTAACAAAGCAATAAGTAGCGATAATAGAGGTGCAAGAAAGAATTTGAAATTAATCTTTTGTCGGCATAATAGCAAGTACTTAGGAAAAATGAAAAGGAGAAGTATATTTATAAATTATTTGATTCACATACAGCACCAGTGATATATTTCAACGATTATAATGCGAGAATAATGAACTCTGCGTCATGTATAAGGATTAATGCAATCAAGATCTTACTATACGCCATTATGTGTTTACAAATTATCACTATTATGTAACATCTGGTGATTAGTGACTCAAATAATGGAAATATCAGAAATCACTACAAGTCGGAAAGGAAATTTCAAAGAAATGTTGCAATTTTACAACAATGAAACATTCATTGAAACTACATAATGCAGGATTAATTAATCAAAAAATGTTTTATTGAAAAATATTAATAGTGTTTTCTTTATTATGCTTATGCAGTGCATTCACGCACTCACACACTGTTCTCCAGGAATGAAGATTCCAGTTAATAATTTCTATTGTCACTCAGCGACAGTACAGTGATATATGTAAAGGCATTATAATAAAAAAAGATACAGATGTCTGTTTCAATTTTTTTCCTCTGTGAACTATAATAAACTATTTTATTATTCAAATATTTGAAGTACAATTATTTCGTCCGTTGTTTCTCTTTTCACTTAAATTTATCGAAAAAATAAATTTTTACTCAACAAGTATTTCAATGAAAAAAAATATACGTTTTATTATCTAAATGCAAATTAATTTTAAACGAATATAAAGCATTATTACCGTCGAAGTCGTGTATAAATTAACAATGTTTTATTACAATTAATCAATTACTTCTTAAATGTCCTAAAAATATTTGGTCGGTTCATAGCGCACCTGTCCGCAATTTTCTCTTCGTTGTTTTGTTCTCTATGCCTTCAATATTCTAAAACTGATAATGAATCTAATATGATGGGGGGTCCAAATAACTTCATGGTTTTAGAATCAGCCTCTCTCTCTTGCGCCATTGAAAATTATCAACAGTTTAATACTCTTTTGTAAAAAAAAAAAACAAAACAAATGTTTGGTTGCAATGGGAACGAACGTAATTACCGTCATCAATAGAAAAAAATCTAGGATCATATCTGCTATAGTGATTTCCGATTCGAGAAGAAAATATTATCAAATTGAGATTTGGAATATCTTTGAGTAAAAAATTTGACTTTTCGCGATCGATTTGATTATAAAGATATTAAAAATGACATTTTTTATTCTAATTATGTAAGTAACGAAATTAGAACAAAAAATAAAATATTACTGATGATCGATAGTCTGAAAAAACCACTCTGTAAATCTCCTCAACTGCTGTGCAGCGGCATGATTCTCATCCTGCAGTCGTCTATTCTCATCTCTCAACTTCCTCACCTCCTCCTCCAAAGAGAGCCTCCTTCTCGTTTCCCTTGCAACCCTGAGTTCAAGATTCGACAAATGACTCTGTAAATCCGTAAGCGAAGTCCCAGTCTCATAAACAATTTCCTCATTACAATGTGATTGGTTATCCTCTGTACTATCCCGTACACTCCCACTAACATTTGAGACTTTCAACGGAAATAGAGTCTTAGTAACCCTTGGCGACAATCTCTCCTCCTTCGACAATTTATTCTCACTCGGTGCTGGACTTGAATTTGTACTTGTATTAGAAATAACAGTTGCTGGTCTCGCCATTGTTAAAATAACTTCTGATCCAGCCGAGTTTTCCTGTCGATTAGAGGTTGATAAGACGCTCAATGTCGTCGCACTTGTTCCACAGAGATTTTCCCTTGACCTACATCTGTTCTGGATCTCCAATTTATTACTACTCTCATTTTTATTATTCTCTCTGTTGTCAAGCACCTTATCAACACTTGTGATTCCAGACTCATTATCATTACAGCTCGTTCCGTTCTCTTTAACATTAACATTATTATTATTCACTTGAGAATTGTCATTACCAATATAGTCTGGATTAATAAGTTTCATCAAATCCTCTTGCAAAGTACTCGAAGAAAGATTTGCCGAGTTTCTGTGTGGAGCTCTCACTAGTGACTTGGGCCTGGGGCTCTGATTCCTCGGGCTCGGATTTCCAGCCCCAGATCTCTGTTTATTCGACCTCTTTAGACCCGGAGACTGATTTTCACAACTATTAGCGAACTCATCCTCACTAGGAAGAGCAGAAGCTGGAATATCAGTGCCATTTCCCTCGTAAATCTTAACCTCCGGTGGTAAACTTGACATTGCATAATCTTTTCTCGTATACTCAGCGTGAGCGAGTTTGCGAGTAAGAACTCTCTCTGGTAATTCACTTTTTAAGCAAGTCACTTTATCACCGATTATAAACTCATGACTGTCTTTGCTGGACTCATTAATGTCTTGGTGCGTCGATTGATTCAATTGATTCTGCTGATTAGATTGATTAATGTCCGAAGTTTCAGGATCTTGCACAAATTCATAGGAGCTTACTCGTCTCTCTGCCATAGGCTTACCATCTCCACCATAACCTTCCTTTTTACTTCTCATTTGCACTCTGGTGGATGCTTCAGTATCGTAAATATTATTATGCTCTGCCGCTTCAAACTGATTTATCGTTTTGGCAACACTATAGCTAGAGTTTTGTGCCAATGGAAGAGAAACTGAGGCCGTCAGTTTTTGATGTACGTGATGTGTATGACCATACAACTGTCCCCAATTATTTCTATTGATTTCGTCAATTCTCTGATAATTACTTTCATGTAAAACTCGAGGTGACACGTAATTGGATTCTTTAGTATAATACTCGTGGTACTGATGCTTAGAATTTTTCGAGTTTTTTGGCCCTTGTCTAGCAGGAAGAGGAGGAGGTGGAGTTCCATCAGACTTGAGATTATTCAACTCTTTGTCATGTGTTTCCAGTAAGCCATCGTACCATCGTTCATCATGCCCTCCGGTGGTATTTTCCTGCATAAATCTGGGATCGGCGAATGATCTAGAACTTGAGCCAGTCCCATATCCAGACGAATTGCTTGATCTCGGTGGACTCATTGATCTCTCCTGATTTTTCTGATATTGCTGGGCCTGCTGTGCACTCTGTTGACTCGAAGTGCTTTCCGAATTAGTAACATTCTCATAATCACTCTCGTAATTACCAGACAGATACTCACAACTCTGGAGAGAGCAGCCTCTTCTTGGTTGTCCGTCGTTAGTAGGTGGAATAACGGTGACAGTGACTTGAGCACTAGTTTTCAAAAGATCGACCATCTGATCGTGACTGAGAGTAGACACAGCGACCTTACAAATTTCTACCAGTCTCGAGCCTTGTCTGAGACCAGCCTGCCAAGACTGTCCCATGCTCTCCACCTGGGTAACCACTCCATCAGGCTGCACGTGAAATCCCAATTGGCCTAAACTATTTCTCCTCAGGGACAGTTCAGAAGCCGGGGATCCCTGAGTCACAGCTCGAAGTCTAGCAACAATCTCCATTATCTCGTCCCTTTCGGTATAATCAGGTCTCACATGAATACTAATACACTCACCCTGATGGTAATAAAGCCTTAGACTGTTTGTCTGTGCGTGCCACCCCAGGATATTGACGCAGGGTGATACGAAAATCGTCTGCCTGGAGTGCTCCTCAATAAGCACAATAGTATCCACACTAATGCCAAGATAACAATCCGTATTCTGTGTACTCTCTTCCAAAATAACTTGCCAGCAAATGGCCCCCCTTTGCGTCGCATCACACGCCAATCTTGGCCTGGCAGTGGTCTTCTTCTTACTACTAAATGACATTATCGAAAATTTTTGTCCAGTGTCAATAATGGTTGTAGTAGAATAATTAACAGCTAAATCCTTGAGATACTCCTGTCTCGTTCTTGTCGCCATGGTCGAGAATTTCTCGGAGCGATGAGCTGCGTTTTCGGCGTTGATAACTTTGGCAAGAATAAAATCGGCGAATGATTTTCCTTTATTGAAAATCGCCCCTTTCGGCACTGGTGGGCCAAAAATAGGAACTTCTTTGCTTCGTGATACAGCAACACTGTATTGAGTATTTTCACTGCATGGATTAATAGCACGAACAATGATGAATACATGTTGAAATTGCGATCTGATGCGTTTTGGACTGAAGGGGAGAGCACCGGGTTCTTGAAAGACAATTGTTACAATGTCATTACCAATGTGACGTTTTCTTAGTAATTGTTGTCTGTTGTTGGGTGTAAATGGAAGCATTGTAGCGACGTGGAGAGTCACCTGAGCACCTCGATGAGTAGCAGCAACCGTGTGGGTTCCTGTGGAGTCCGTCCTGGTGTCCAGTCCGGCTTTGTATCCCTCGAAACCTTTTAACCTGACCCTCTGTCCAATTGTCTCCAAAAATTCAAGGAATGCAGGGCCTGAGTGCTGATTGTTGTACATCTCCTCTTCCGTTCTCTGACCAGCTCTGCAGTACAATACCCCGACTTTATAACGATTGGAGAGCCCTTGTTCATCAAGCCTGGCTAGGGCTTCCTCAGCAGGCTGAGTTCCCAGCTTGAGACACCCCAGTTGCACTTCCGGTGCGACGAGCTCCATTATCTCACGTGTAGGTATTCTACTTGTTTGGTTATTGCGCAGGCAAAGGGCTTCCTCCGGAATTGAGCCACGTAGGGTCAGGAGTTCGGAAGTGCGGACAATTATTCTATAATGATTACCGTCCCTGCGAATGCTGATGGCAACTGGGCCTAGCTGATCGTCCATACCGAACCAGTTCTGGTGGTCTTTAGCTAGGAAATACTTTCGGTAATAGCGAGCACCCTCGTCGATGCTTTCGATCGGGAGAAGACGTTTCCTCAGGGGGCAAGTATGTTTCCAGAGGGTTTCGCCGGGCAGGGGTTCTAGAACGGAGACACCGTAGGCTAGAGAGGGTCTGTGACCTCCTGGAGTTGACATTGGGGAACGTCCGAGAGCAACTTCTCGTTCGCCTTCACCACCGATCTCGTTTCTGAAGAACGGACAGGGCTCCAAGAGGTCGTTACTCTTGCCATCTCCTGAGTCCTCCTGGGTATCTGCACCTGGTGCTGAACTACTGCAGTCTGGCCCTTCGTCTGGGGTTGGAGCACGTATCGTGCTCGCTGCGGACGCCCCAGTTGCTGTATTTCTTCTTCTAGCGAGTAAAATTCCTCTGAGTTTAGCTGCATATCCTAGATTAGCTGTGAGAGACTGACAGTCGTAGTGGAGGAACGCCCTCCTTCGATGTCGCTCCTCTAGATCTCCTGGCACGACTGTCGAAGGGGTGCTACTAGGAGTGGATAAGGAAGACATTCCACCTGAGACACTCTCCTTTCCACCCCAGAGTCTGTTCAACTTCAAACGTAACTTTGGACTCGATGACGACGTGGGACCACAAACCTCGTCAGTGGAGACCATTCCTGTCGGGTTATCACTGTGATGATGGCCGTAAAGTCGGTCTGCTGATGTTCGTCCACTTCTGAAGTCCTGCAGCATTGCAAATAAATTATCTCCCCCACTTGCTGAATTGCACTGGCCACCAACGACATCGATGCTTCCTGCAAGCAGAATTATTTATTACTTTGCCCAGGAATAATAATGAAAATAAGAAAAAGAGATGAAAAAAAAACGAAGAGAATTAGCCCTTACCGTGAGAACCATATTCGCGTCTTAGTGGTTGAGCATCAACAGCCCGTCCCGTACGCTCTGGACTGTGGGGCAATTCGAGGCTGGAATTTGATCTGTGAAGAGTGAGACCGCCCGCACGACTGACACGACTACCACCGGTATTACTGCCACTTCCGCCCCCACCTATACCACCACCAGCGGCCATCACCGCCAACTGAGCGATCATCTCATCATTCTGTAACATAATCGTTTGTTGATCAACACACTATACGCCTAGAAAATTATTTGGTGAAATTTAACAACTAATTACTTAAAATTTAGAAAAGATTTTTCAATTTCACTCAATCAATTTTGCCTATCAAACTAGATTGCGAGGGCATATACACGTTTGGAAACAATCCTGCAATCATTTATATCGTGACAATCGATGAGTGTCTCCCTCAGAAGATATTTTCGCAATAATCTACAATTCCTTGTTAAATTTGATCCATCAAATAAATCGACGAACGTTTTTTGAAAATTCAACAAATGGTTGTCGAATGTATCTCTTTATATAATAAAAAAATAAGGGAGGGGGGAAATTCGGGGACGCTGAAATATGCGGGGTGTCCATGGGGGGAGGGGGGAGGGGGGGTCGTTGCTGGGGATGTTCAACGATTCCACCAAAACTGTATATGAAATATTTCCGCAAAAAATTTTACAAGTTCTGCTTTTTTTTCATCTGAAATTTGATTCCATTTAGGAAGCACTCTCAGCTACAACTTTCAAAAATATTCCCCCCAATATTATCCTCATATGTATAATAGAAAAAATGCTGATTACTTTTGGGACTTCTCTTGAATTCAAGGCAATTTTTTCAATAACTAGTAAATAATTTTCTCCGTGTACTGTTCTCCTCTAATTTCTTATTTTATTTCATCTCTTTCCTATGGAATGTTTAATTTATTTCGCAATGTCGTAACACCGCGGTGTAGTGGTATGTATGTAAAGTGAGAACATTCGGGGAAAAATCAAAGATTCCCCGACTGAACCAGTTATGCAAATACAATACAATTCCAGACATTCTTTGGAGAGCCCTATTGACTGAATCAGTGCACTACCGCATTTAAAATCTTGCATATTATTTTTATCTGTTTACTTTCATTTTTGTTTCTCTCTACGACCATTCGTAAATAATCTCTCGGGAATGTTTGACCTGTGTCGAACACAAGATAGCCAAAGAAGTATCTGTTTTCATCTTATCAATTTTTGTTTTCCTGGTCTTTGGTAATAGTGAGTAGTATTTTGATGGAATGAGTGACGGTGACAAATGCATTAGACTGCCGAGAGGCCCTGGCACAGCATTGGCGCCTAAGCGTTGGTCTGTCGCAAGGGGCATCGAACTCTACACGAGACTTCACAACCCAACTGCCAGGCCAACACATCTCTCGTTGACTCCTCGTGGTTATTCCACACCCGGCACTCTCTTCGCATCCACTCATCATTGCATTGCGATTCATTCCGCTTATTCCGGTCGATGAAACAAAAATTCAAACTACGCCTGCCTCTTCCTTTCACGCTGTTCTACCAACTGAGAAATGAAACACCCCATCCTTATCTCACCGGTGGTAGTTGTACATAGAGTAGTTACTGTTGCTTACAAAAGTAGAATCATTTGAATTTCAAGAGGATAGGACATTGAGTTGAGGAATTCTGGAGAGGTCAACTTCCGCCTCGTTAAGGATGTCTAAGTATCTCTTACAGTTTGGTACAGACCACACTAGACCACACTGTTAAAAAATTTCGTCTGAATTTTCCGTGTCAAATCCCGGAAATTTTTATGACGCTTAATTTCCACTGAAATTTCGGAAAATCTTGTCATTGAAAAATCAAATATTCCATCGATTTTCTGTTCGAGTGGTCTGCAAATCAGTAAAATACAGGATTTCTACTGCCCAGTAGATGAACGTTTGTTTTTTAGCAATTGAAAAAAAATTGATCGGAAAAAAATCGTCACTCAGGGGTTAAGAATCACAATAGTTAGTGAAAATTCAAAGCAACAATTCACATTTCAGTATTTTTTTGCGTAATTTATTATCCAAAAGTAGCTTGTCCATCTATAGGGCAGTGTCCATCTAGTGGGTAGCTTACCCTATTCCATGAAAATTCGAAAAAAATAGGAAAATTCAGGGAAGAAATGAAAATTTATGTTGTATGGACGTAGTATTCCATACCAAATGAGTTAACAGCTGACCCTTTCAGAAATTGATGTCTATTTCGTTCTCACAATTGGGGCCAGAAAAACTATCTCTCAATTTTTTTCCGTTTTTTTCGACAGCCCATTTCGGAGATATGATTTTTTTGTTTTTTCGTTTTTTTTTCAATAACTCGGGTTCCATTCAGCCGATTTTAATTTATGACGACTCAAAATTTTCCATTTTCTATCATTACAACCGATTGTCTGTTTTATCAGTTCCATCTCTCTAAAATGTTAATAGAAAAATTCTATTTACACATACTTGAATGCATTTAAAACATCACATTCGAAGAAACCATCAGAAAGATCGCTTTCAGGTAAATTCATGAAAAATTCAACAATCATGAAAATCAAATCAACCAATGTATCTATCGTAATAATCTTTCAACTTCGACTTAATGCCATTACAACAAACATTTTAAGCTATGATTGAATTCATTTAACCCCTTAAGATGAATTTCAATATCCCCACTCTACCGCCGTCAAAGCGGAATGCCAGCGTCCCCACTCGAGGGCGTTGATAATCGATAATCGTTGATAATCGAAAAGAACAGTTGGTTTTTTTCGATTATCAAGTTGTGTACGACAGCGTTGACATTCAATATCTTGGAAACTAATAGTCCAATGCATTTCAAACTTAGCTTGAATTTTTTCGCATTTCCTACTCGCTTTTTCTTTCTCTTTTGATCTTAATAAACATTTATTCTGTTCTATTCTACTTATAATTCAAATATGAAATCGGATTTGGCACTCGCACCACTTCAATATTATTTGCAGTCGTAATTTGGCAAATGCGCTATATTTCCTCCAGAAAATTATTGCCATTCATTTTCCCCACACTTTCTACTTTTAGTGAACTATTAATATTACGCACGTTCTCTCCCTCTCTCTCTCCATCTCGTTAATTAATTCAAACTAGAGAATGAAACGGAACATCTTATACGCTTTCTACTCAATCCTCGTATGGTTATTGCTCAATGCAACTGCACTATTCTTATATTTATTCCCCTAGAAATCGTATAATTTAGCCTGTTTCACAATCGAAACAGACCGATGAAAATTTTGGATGAAACTGATGCAAACTCTCGACACTTCTGGATTCCTTGAAACCTATCACTTATACATGAGGTATTCCACGTCAAACGAGTCAACGGCTTACTCTCACCCTCTTGGGAGTTGATCTCGATTTTTCTATGATTGGGGCAGTAAAAATACTATCTCTCAATTTTTTTCAAATTTCTTTAACAAGCTATTTCGGAGATTTGATTTTTTTTGTGTTTTCGTTGTTTTTCAATAACTCCAGTTCTATTCATCCGATTTTACTTTATGACACTTCAAAATTTTCTATTTTCTACCATCTATAAGACTTTACGAGTATTTTTTTTTTCAACCCCTAGGTACTCATAACACCGAATTTTCAACAAACAAAAAGTTGAAAAACTTGAATTTTAACAATTATGTCACGTTTTAAAAATTTTCTTCTCGTATACCCTTTCGGGTCTTTACGATTTGTTCCCTTTCCACCCCCCAACCCCTTGTACCGCATTCGCCGAAGGACAAGGGAAAACCTCATTTGAGGGAAAAACCCGCCCAGGTACAGCCGGGAATCGAACCCGGGTCTCCCGCATGCCAGTCCTACACTCCAACCACACAACCACCGCCGTCGGTTTATGTCACGTTTTATTTTTCTCGTTTTTTATTTCAGTAACTCTTGTAATCAACACAAGTATTTTGAGCCGTCATACAAGTTGGGTTTCGTCCTAGATCTATTTTATTTTCAATTTTTTATTCTCGAAAATCCACGAATTTAGTCAAAATACCCCAAAATGACGTTGATTGACTTTCATTAGAAACAGTATGAAGTGAATTTAAATGTATACTCATATGTTACATATTTTTTTGATTCATAATCGAAGTCGGTTGGGGGGTGTTTTCTCCAAATTCGCGGAATTTCAAGAAGGAAAAATTAAAAATAAAATAGATTCAGAACGAAACCCAATTTGTATGACAGTTCAGAATACTTGTTTTGATTACAAGAGTTACTGAAAAAAGATCCGAAAAAGAAAAGCTGACATAATTTTAAAATTCAAGTTTTTTCATTTTTTTTTTAAATTTAGTATTATGAACACCTAGGCATTGATAAAAAATTACCCAAAATCTTCTTACAGATGGTAGAAAATGGAAAATTGTGTGGCATCATAAATTAAAGTCGGCTGAATAGAACCTGAGTTATTGAAAAGAACGGGAAAACAAAGAAAAAATCATATCTCCAAAATGGGCTGTCGAAAAAATCTGAAAAAAATTGAGAGATAGTTTTTCTAGCCCCCCAATCGTAGAAAAAAATGGAGATAAATTTCGAAAAGGGTGAAGGTTAGCCGTTGATTCATTTGGCATGGAATACCTCATATCGAACCCCTCTGATGCTCTTTATCGCGGGATAAAAATTTTTTAATTCATGTAATGATAACGGTATGCAAACGTTCAATTGTGTTATTATCCACTTTCCCGGTGATCCGCAGCCATTTTGTGGCAGGTAGTACAGAATTTTATGGATTTATTCACGCATTACACTGAGGAATGAGTAGAAACTATTCTCCCCCAGGTACATAATTGCCACCATTTGTTATTAGTTTCCTCACTCATTAAATTCTCTTTTGTTACCGTCTACCTCTTACAATAAAAATTGTTATAAAGAGTGTCAGTACATCTCATTTTTCTTAGAATTCTGGGGAAAAACTAATTAACAAGTGACGAAAGAGAGTAAAATGCGTGCTAAAATTGAATTGGATATCGTTAGCGCGGAAGACACTCAATTGCAACCGGTAAACGGCTTTTGCCGTTTCCTCTACTATGTAACTTCCGGTTGGATTCACCGTGACAATGATTTATGATGCAAATAATCACGTAAATTGACGGAGTAACGATACTCAAAGTTTTGAAGATGCGATGGATAAACATTTGATAACCGAGAGGATTTAACGATTAACAATTAACGGTACTCTACAGTGAGAGATCATCAATGATTTTGCAACTACAACCAACTGTAAATTAAAATAAACCGACAAGAACTCGTGATAATCACTGAAATCTAAAACTACAGGACAGAACATAAAAATGAAAAAGCAAACCGGTCAAATGTTGAAACCTCAAGCAGATAAAAACAATCATTTGTCTCATTCTCTGGCAGAATGATCTGGATATAGTGAGTGTTGTTCTTGTTGCTGAATGGCCTCGAAGACAACGGGAACGCTGGTCTCTCGTACCATTAAAAAAAAAAACGAGACGCCAGAGACTACCAGTGAAGCATAGGTAATAAAAAAAATGTAATACAAGGCATGGCAGAAGCCTAGCCGCTGCAACGTCAAGACTAGTGTATACCTAGTAGTGTAGCCTCGAACACCTCGAAAACGCCTCGCTTTGTCCTGATGACCAGAAATGCTACAAACGGCGGACAGATACACGCACACACACACAGATTCATTCTTCACTGATCCATTGAAATTTACAGATACAGAGTAGAGAGACATGAGAGAGCATCGCAAGAATTGCATCACAATGGTGGACATAGGTGAGTTCCCTGAATTCATTTCGAAGAATACATAATGTATAAGTGAAAATTTACCAACCCAACATTTCTCCAGGGCATTGTTCCCCCGTAGACACTTCGTTGTTGATAGAACTTGTAAATTCCTATTTTTATTATCAAAGCACAAACGGTATTCCACAAATATGTTTACAACATAATCGAGGTAAACGAAGAATATATCACTGGTCTTCCACGTTTATTTATTTCGCTGGTGAAATATATTTAAGGCACTCACGTGAATCACACAGATTTTAATAGTGGGACAGTAAGTAAGTAAGCAAAAGCAAGGCAAAAGTGAAACACGTAAACGCGTCACTCAGGCGGGGTATATCTAGAGAGTTTAGCGTCATACACAGATAGACTGAGAATACACCAGCGAGTGCAGCCAAGAACTAAGGGGGGACCCTGACAAATGGTTTACTATGGAGCTTGAGCCGATGGTGGGGGCCCCAAGAGGGGTGGGGATACGTTCCGATGGTTTCGATGACCATGTTGGATCGAGGGATCGATTGTTCGTATAGTTCATTCATAATGTTTACGAACTGAACACTTATTTCGCGTTTCTTCAAGGAACACGAGAGCACGTCAAGATGCCGCTATTTTTTTTAGGGGAGGGCAGGGTAAAATGGACACTAGATTTTTTTTTAATTATTCATAACTCAGGAACAAATGTATCAATAAAGCTCAGTTTAGGCTCATTATGTGAATACTTTCCAGTTATAATGGAACTGATAACTTGGTAAAATGAGAAACTAAATATTGAAAATGGTTTTGACTAATTGTAATTAAGATTGTAAATTTTGTGGATAATTGTAAGATTAAATGGAACTATTAATCTGGTAAAAGATAAATTCTGATGGAACAGAGGCATTAAATTGCAATAGTACACATTTCGGTTGATTAATAATATGGAGTAAATGAATACTGTATGTTGACAGTTGAGAGGGATTGATCATTGTTAATTTTTCAATTTCGTATGCTGTGACATTATAACTTATTGAAACTTGCGCGAAAGTCAATAAGTTATTATATTATTAAAAAAATAAAAAAATAACATTAAATACTGTATTTTGTCCTTAGGGAATGTTCCATATGCCAGGATAATAAATAAAAAGCTTTCTATCTATCTATCTTCCTATCTATCTAGAGGAACACTGCCAGTTGGTACCTCAATGTAGCGAAGCATTTCAAATTACTCTACAGTAGTGGTGGGGATAATCAGGCTGACGTCTCTTCTATGTACGGTCGATACACACAAATACACCATCGCTTCAGTCGAAATTATTCCGATGACTACAAATCACACCGGTTGATCCTGTTCTCTGCGTCTTAGGTGTCTTGAATCAAACTCGCGATTCCAGGCATTTCCGAGCCGACGTGACTCACCTTCTTCTTCACTCTTCTTCATTCGTATCTCTTGGGTTTTCTTTTCTTTTTCATTTTTGTTTTTTTTTTTTGTATTCTGTACTTTTATTTTTTCTTTCCAAACATGTACCATGATTCATCTCAGGAATCTGTTGAAATTTGTATCTAACGCCACTGAAACGTTTGCCCCTGTCCCACATGTCACGCGTATACCCACGCTAATTGCTCCATCATTATTATCATCGTGGAATAGGTATTCATTTTTTCTCAATTTTTTCTCATTACGGGACTGAATAATTGGTGAGGATTTTCATGGGTGGAAATAAATGTCAATGAAGTTTTCCACTGATTTTGATGCGGGTATTTAATATAGAGTGGAGAGAATTTCTCTAATAAAAAGGGAAAAAATGGCAATGAGTATAGATAATGCCGGATGTGATGGTAGTGAATGGACGGACGGATGGGTGGGTACGGACGGCAGGTTTACATTTCCTTCTCCTACCAAAATTGCCGCAATTATTTGTTGAAAACAACTGCGGAAGGTTGAACTATTTTTATATAGAAATTTTTATTCAACGTCGATTATATTGTTCCATGAGTTTCAATATTTACATTTTATTAATAAAGTGGTACAGAACATGCGGATTTTTATATTATTCCCCGAGTCTTTTCGAAAGTATTTGGTTTTTGTCACTGAGTTTGTGAAGCACTTTTGCGTCCGTAAAACATCGTTTACGGACGTCGTGATGAATAATATAGTACATTTCGATACTAGGGCGCATGAAAAATAATTTCATGCCGCCGAAGGCCAGTGATGCAAATCATTTGAGTCAGAAAATTTTTCTGCGCCCGTGTGTCGAACAATATTTTTCATCACGCTGTGACGAACTGTGAACTCGCCTTCAGCTCGTGATATAAACCTCCCACTCGCCAAAAAACACTTTTTTGCACTCGTTACGAAATATACTATTTTGTCACGGGGGTCGTAGGCAGTGTTTTAGGCAGGTGTGCCTGCGGCACGCGCCTGGAACGCTGTCTTACGACCAGAGTGACAAAAATATACTATTTTGACAGTAATGTTGCGTTCAACAAGTGACCGACCTGTGCCTTTTTCGTTTGCAAGTAAAAGAAAAGACTTTTCGTTTACAAGTAAAAGAAAAGACTTTTCGTTTACGAGTAAACGAAAAGACGCTTTTTGGCACGAGGTGAACGTAGCAGCAGTGTCAAAATAGTATATTTTGTTACGAGTGCGGAAAAGAGTTTTTTGGCTCGTGGGAGGTTTATAGCACGAGCCGAAGGCGAGAGGGAGAGTGGGGTAAAATGAAACACTCAAAAAACTAATGTTTGACACAATTCAAGCAAAAAAAAATTTGTTTATTAAATACTTTTCTTTATTAACTTTTGTTTACCAACTTTTTTTATTCTTGGAAGAACCAATGAAAATAATAAATTTACATTCAGTAGAATGGAAAATTATTAAGAAGTTTTGACGAGAGAAGATTTTGTCAATGGATTAATTGAAAATAAAATGAAACAGCTAAATTCAAAGTCCAGAGTGTAATCGGCCTGATCTAATCAACTGAATGATAATCCATTGAATTATAAGACGAATAGAAAATTATTGTCATAAGGACTCCCAACAATAAAAAAAGTTAATCAACAGTTGATAACAAATTTTTTTTTTGCTTGAATTGCGTCAAATAGTCGTTTTTCGGCTGTACCATGTTGCCCCACTCACCCCTAACATGATCTATCTAAATTTCTCTTGATATTTCGACGAACTCTATGTACAAAATTGTCCATCCTTTTACCATTTTACTAATTTTTATTCATCTTTTGGTGCTGATTCCAGTAACTGCTTGAGTTCTGCGTCCATTGCTTTCTCTTGAAGCTGTTCCTGGTAATCGAAAATTGGTAGAGCTCTTCCTCGTCTCGCTGCTCGCTCGATTTTCTTTGTCAAGTCTATTTCGAGGGGACGGCATATGAAATTAATGACTCTACCCGCAGATTTGCTACCCACTCGGCCTGTTCTACCACACCTGTTATAATGCAAAGCGATTAATGCCAGTCACATCTGAACCGTTTGATAAATTGAGTATGAAATATGTTACTTACCTGTGGATATAATCAGCTGTGTTCATTGGAAAATCATAGTTTATCACGCAATCAACAGTTATTGTGTCTAATCCTCTGCCTGAAGAATTTGTGGTTGACAAAATGTGAACTCTGCCGTTGCGGAAGTCCCAGTATTTATCTCGACGAATTTCAACCGGGTGATTACCATTTAGGGCGACGGTTTTGACGTTCATCTGGTTCAGGAAGATTGAGACCCAGTCAGCTGTCGCGGCGTTATTGCTGAAGATTATTGTCCCTTCCTTGCGCAGAGCTCTGGGTTTGACGAATTTCAAAAGGGCTGCGGGTTTCTGGAGTGCACCAAGACGCCAGAATTTTTGGGGAACAAGGACTCTGTGAATGTTCTGGGTTTGGATTGGAACTATTGAAGCCATCTGGAATGAAATAAATTGAATTAATCACTATTTCCATCGATTGGTGAATATTATCCGGAATTTTTGAATAATCATTCCGTGCGATGTGCTTTAAATTTGGAAGGATACATGAAGTACAATTCAGTTCGTTTTCTACTGTAAATTCTATGAGTCTTTGGGCGAGTCTATTAGAAATTTCAGGGGGCATCCATTTATGAAATCATTGTGTCCCTCAGGACTGAAATCGTATAAAATCAGTGAAATCCTGGGATTTCATCACTTTCAGATGATTTCAAATGAAATCACTTGCAATCAGTGAAATCTCATGAAATCATGAAATCAGCAACTCATGAGATCCTGTCGAATACAGAAAAGAGAAAGAAACTTTCGACTTATTTGTGGTGTATCCTTCTACTTATGCCCATTTAGATGTATTAGCTTCAATTTAAACATTCTCGAACTTCAACCAAGGACTACTCGAGGTTATGTGGCTATTGGTCAATACCGCCAGACAATTTCTCCCCTGTGATTATCAAAAAAGGTTTAGAAATAGATGAGAAGATAAATAAAGAAGTTATTAAATGTTTCTAATTCCAAAATCCGTTCATGACTGATCAGAGTGGAGTTCATTTCGTTCAGTTGAATGCATGAAATGTACGTTGTTCTTTTTTTTTATAGAATAAATAGATATTTTATCGAATGAATGACAAAAAGAAATTATTTGGTTCTTATGGCTTCACCTTGATGCAGGGATGGCCATCAATAGTAAATTTCATCAATATCAAAGGAATTCGCGACTTCCATTGATAAAGGTTTAAATATTCTCATCAAAATATAAAAATAATATGATATTAATAATTTAAATTTGCGATTGATGATGAATTAAATATTTGATAATATGGGACTATGAATTTTCCATTTCCAAGGAAATAATTCCATTTCCTTAAAAGGGATTACCAATTAACTAAATAATCGGCAATCTTTCTACCTAAATTATTGATTAATAAAATAGTTCAGAATTTGAATATTTAAATTTGATTACTAAAATAATTAAAAATTTAAGAGTGATGTTAACTAAATAACAGCTTCAAAATTTAACGGTAATTACGATTTATGAATATGGCTATCCCTGCCTTGATGGTTTCATCCCTACATTCACCCCCTTTGTAACTCTCATGCTTAATTCCTCTTGCATTCATATGATGCATTTCTTTCCCTTCGGGTTCTATCCCCATTCCCTCCTACTGCATTCTCCTCTCCACCACTAAATAGATGAAATTGAAAATTTAAAATCACTCGGATTTCCAAATAAACGGCCCCTCGAGAAATTGTTGCAGTATTCCTGCACATTTTTTCAAAAAGACATGTTCAATAGGAAATATCTAGGTTCTCTTATGTAGTAATTCATCTTCTATAATCATTTTTCAGTCAACAACTTCCAAGGTTTCTGCTTTAATTTTTCGTGGCTTATTTACAGAGAGTTTTATCGCCGCGGCGGGCGCGGAAAGTCAGATTGCTCCCCGCAAATAAAATTCAATATTTGAGAGTATTATTAAGTAGATATTCAGAACCCAACTTGTATAGTGCTCCAATTGAGGCCATTTCAACATCGATTCGAAATTGATGTTGATGTGGAAGAAGAATTAAGAATTTTCTTTACAAATAAACTTACGTTCAAGCATTTATCCAGGTAATCAGGTAATTTTTCAGGCATTGTAGCTGACGCCATCGTCAACTGACTGCTGCCGGGAGTGTTATTAACACTAACATTCTGTTTAAAACCAAACTGAAAGGGAAGAGAAATTAAATGTGAAAAAAATAGAAATAAAGAATGCATCAATGAGTACTTGCAGGTTCTCACATTGATTCTCCTGAGGAAAATGGACAATTTTTCATCAAACGTTTCGTGAAATAGAGCATGAGCCTCGTCTAAAACCGTATGACGCACTTCATTCAATTTATAAATTCGAGTCGTTGTTACTTTGCTGGTGACACCAACAGTTCCAATCAATATATCAACGTTTTTCACTGTGGGGTTACGCATTATTTTCTTAGTCCTGCCGCCGATGAGAGTTTGGACGGAGATATCTAGGTCGTTGGCCAATTTTTTCACCTCTGTCTATTGTAAAAAAAGGAAATATTTCAAAAAGATTAAAAAGTATTTTGATGCTGCAATTAAGTAATAACGCGAGATGGCTTCAAGATGGATTCACAAATGATTTCCTGCACATCTATGTCTGTACTAAAAGAATTATTTCATGTTTCTTTCTAAAATTTTGGAAAAATTTGCAAAATGATCTACAAGTGTATTGTCAATGTATTTTCTTGGTAGCTAGACAATTTCCTCGGTCATTATTCCTTCTATTAAAAATTCCATCAACAGATTTTCATGATTACAGGTGAATTGTACTATTTCCGTTGATGCTGGCACCACCAATAATTATACTCACTCCAACTTGTAATACCAGTTCCCTGCTTGGCACGAGAATCAAAGCGAGGGGAGAGTTCGGCCTTCTATCAGGTAATAACCGTTTCCACCTCAAAATCTGATCAATGATTGGTAACAAATATGTCAACGTTTTCCCAGTTCCAGTTTCGGCCTGAATAATTGTATTCTGTCCGGATAATATTTGAGGGATAGCGATCTTCTGAATATTCGTTGGTTGCTCGAATCCCAAATTTTTAACGATTTGTTGAACTTCCGGGCCAATTCCCAACTGTTCGAATGTCGTTCCTTCTTCATCCAGTAGTTCATTATGATCATCCTGGAAAAACGAAGCTCTTTTCAATAATTGAAGCTCTGAATCTAGTGATGTGTGAGGAGCTAGAACTATTCCTTGATTTTTCCTCCACATGACAATAGATTTTTACCTTAATTTTGTTTTATTTCAACAAGAAAAAATTGATGTACTAGTTTTCGGATATCTTATCCTTTTATGGATAATTTCAGTGTCTTAGTTATTGACCAGACTGGAGGCGCAGTTTTTGAACACTTTAGACTTTTTTAAAATGATTTATAACTCAGAAACAAATTTATTAACTGAGCTCAGTTTAGGCTCTTCACAAAGGGAAAGAGATGTTGTTTGTATTGAAAAAGAAATTATTAAATTTTATTAATATTTCAACCCCTCATTAACATTTTTAAAAAAGTCAAAAGTGTCCGTTTCACCCCAGCCTCCCCCACACATCTGTGAAAATACTCGAAACAATTACCTCTATGTCCGGATAAATTGTAAAGTAATCTCCTTTTGATTTAAGATGATGCCAGCCCTGTGAGGCTATTGGTATCGTATCAAACTTTTTGAGGGTTGTGCCTTTATAAAAATTGAACTCCTTTCGCTTGCATTCAATTATGGGCGTCCGATTATCTTCCACCAGAGGTTCAGTATGAACGTCTTCGGCGTCTTTCAAGTCATTTTCATCGTCTTCGTAGACAGTCCTTACGGGAATTGTATGGGCATTCGATTGCATACGTTTCACTGTTGCCTGAAATTCAACAACCAATACAATAATGCACGAAATTTTCCCTCTAAGGCAGTGTACCGAATCCCTGGTTCTTCATTATGAACCCCCGGATCTTATACTGTCAAAATTTTTTTGACATTTCATAGCAAATGTGTAAGTAATTCTCATGGGAGTGATATTGAATCCGATTTAGGGGAAGAATGGTTATGAAATTTCAAGTTTTAGGTAAAATTAAAGGAAATTCATGAGTTTTCAGTGGCAGTGAAACAGAAGTGTCGCAAGTCGACTGAATCTTCAATGGAACATGAATATTCAGAAAAAAAAATGACAGGAATTTTCACTTTTTCCCTGAATTTTCCTGATTTTTCCGAATTTCCACGGAATAATGGAATTGAAAACTCAAGCATTTTATTGATTTTCAGATCATACGAACAGAAAATTGATGGAATATGAGATTTTTCAACGACGAGGTTTCCTGAAATTTCAGTGGAAATTCAGGAAACCAGAAAAAGACACGGAAAATTTGGACGAAAATTTTTAACAGTGTATTTCCCGTTTTTTTGAGCGAATGAATCAATATTTTTTGTAACTGAAGGTTCAAATGAGGGCTAAACCCCGGAAAGGTCGAACAAGGAAAGGTTAAACGAGGGAAGGGTCAAACGGGGCAGGGTTGAACAGCAGAGGCAAAACCTATGAGTATATTTAACTTCTTTTTTTTTCTTCGCACACAAAAAAAAGTTTGTTGTGCACATTTTTTCATATAAATCTCGCCTGCTAACCCTAACTAACAAAGATATGGCATTCATTATGAATAATTGGTGCTATATAATTATTATTTTTTATCAATTCCTTCGGGGAATAAATTACAAGAAACATTGGGGGTTTCACGGTTTATCGGACGAAAAAAAAATCAAAAACGTTTTGCATCGATTGAAAGCAATGAAATAGGAAGCTACTGGAAGTTAAAAATTTTTTTCTTACATTTATCATCAATAGTTAGACACTGAAAGTTTGAATAGCGGTCCTACAGACGGGGAATTCGGTGTAAAGGTCAAGGTTTTTGTTCTATTAAAATGATTCTTACCAAGAATGTACCTAAATTATTCGTCTGCTTTCCCGTTACTTGACGAACTCTACAAAATGTACGAAACATTTTCACTACGATTTAACAAAGTAATTACAAATTGAGGAATTCATTTCATTTTCCGCACATATTAACCTCTAACCATACACACATAATCTAGTGGAATTCCCGGGGGTTGGGGGGGAGGGATTCGTTCCTTCTTCCACACTAGCCCATTTCTACAGTAGCCCATGGTCTGGTGGAGAACGAGATGGTCCGAAAACTAGAGGTTATGCCGTCGAGAGTATGATCTCACTCCAAAAACCGTCAAGTGAACCCTAAACACCAAAATAAAACAAACTGCACTATCAAAAAAACCCAATAATCGCATAAGAGTGGCTCTCCAATGGAGGAGATAACGAAAGAAACCCTGGAGGAGCTCCGAGAGAAGTACCTGAAGGTTCGGAAGCTCCTGGACGAGCCCCAGGACGAGTCCAACCCCGGGGAAGGTCCTGACACAGCGACGAAGAACAGAGCAATTGTGATTCTCAACCAGATGAAGTCAAAACTAGAGAGCATTCTCAACAATTCGTCGTCCCCTCCGAAACGCATTCGCCCTAGTCTCGCAGTGGTGTGCCTGAACATTGGGCTGATCTGCATCGACAACGAGGAGCTGAAGGACGCCGAGGAGAGCCTGATGAGGTGCACAGAAGTCCTGAAGACCCTGGAGCTGACGCCAGAGGGAATTCTCCCCTTCCTCAGCACGATGAACCAACTGGCGATCATCTGGTTCCAGTGGAGTGATTTCGAAAAGGCGAAGACGTTCGTCGAACGAGCTGAGGACTTCTACGGGAAGTACAAGGCTCTGGAGCCCCCTGAGGTGCCGGTGGGAATGTCCGAGGTCTTTGGGATTGAAAATGCTGAGGAGCCGGCACCCAATCACGTTCTGGAGAAGCTGCACACACTGACCCTCTACTATTTGGCCCAGATCTATGGGATCAAAAAGGATCATCAGCAGTCGGCACTCTACTGTCACATGACCCTGCAGAAGCAGCTGGAACTTGCGGATCTGGACTACATCGATTGGGCTCTCAATGCAGCCACTCTGTCACAATTTTTTATGGAACGGAAACACTTCACACAGGCTAGACATCATCTCGCAGCTGCTTCGCATATTCTGGGGGTTTATGAGGAGAATTTGAAGGGCTGCGAGGAAAAGGGGAGCGATAGTGAGGAGGTGAAGGCTGCCAAGTGGGAGCAGTTTAGACATCGGAGTGCTGATGTCGCCAGGTGAGAAGGGGAGAGAAGTATTTTTTATTTAATTAAGGATATCCAAGTATCTTTTACCGTTTGGTACAGACCACACTATAGAGTCAACTATTTTCAAACATCAAATTTGTCAATCAAATTGCGTGAGAAAAATTTGAAAAAAATCAGGAGTATTCAGTGTCATTCAAATTTCATTTTGCACAGAATTATTATTCTTTAAACATTCGTTGTTTATACATAAATAATTAAAATTGTTTAAACTTTCGGAAACATTTTTTTTTTAGGCATGAAATCGATTTATGATAAAATTCTGAATATGAATAAATTTGTTACGATTCCGAACAAATGATTTTTATGGTAGCAAATTGATTGTTTATCAATTATTTATAGAAAAGGCTCATAATTTTCAAAAATTGCAATTTTTTAATTATTTCATCAATCTTTCTCCAAAAATAAACATTCTAAAATTTCTTCAGATTTTTATAATGTTTTCTAACAGTTCAATATCAAGATTCAAATTCAGACCTGCAAAGTTTAAATGATAAAATCTTTGTAAAATGTCCGGAAACTTAGGATCAAATAGGGCTTAAATGAAAGCTGTGAGGCTCGACTACAAAAGTAGAAAAGCATTTCACTGGAGAAAAAATAGTCAAGGTACTTGGATATCCTTAAGCCCTGGGCGGATTATTTTTCGAACGTTATCTCGATTGTTTTTCCATCTTCATAATTTTTAATATATCACAATTCTCATTGGATTTTACATCACGCAGGAGTCCCTAATAATCATGATTGTACAATAAAAAAAGGGAGAAAAAAAACTGAATATTTTTGAAGAGCGTTTTTAATAAAGATTAATAAATAAGACCAATAGAGAGGAAATAATGAATGGATTATCATGAATTAGTTACCATGATTTTTAGAATCATGATTTTTCGGGTGGAAAATTGATTGTTTAGCAATCATGTACGAAAAAGATCGTAATCTTTAAAGATTCAATAATTTTATAAATTTTCCGCAACAAGATTTTCTAATGTCCTTCAAATGGTAAAAATATTTCTTAATGCTTCCAAATTCGAAATTAAATTTTTAAAGTAAAAATAACAAAATCATTGCAGAATGTTCGGTAATCTAGGGTCAAATGGATGCACTGATATTCATTTATTTATGTATTTATTCATTGAGAAACCCAAGCCAATGATAAAAGCAAATCTTAATACCTAGGAAATTCCACGATTAAGCATATCCTACGTCATCCTTATGTCATGTAGTTTTATTATTCACCTGTGGTCTGTGGACTGCAGATTCTCAAATCCAAAAGACGCGAAAGATCCCGTAAAAAAAAAAATACCAAGGTACTTGGACATCCTGAATCCATTCTCCAACGTTTGTCAATTCCACTGAATCAACTCAGTAATTTCCTAATTTCCAGGTGTTGGGGAAAGTACGGAATCCTCTTGATGAGTATGTCCCGAGACCGACTAATTGCCCTAGCTGACAACGTTGACAACGAAAAATCGATAGACGTCAGTAATACCGATGCTGACGAGCCCGTGGGAATCGACGAAGACCTCCTCAAGAACATGAAATTCGAAAAATTAGAGAAGGAAATCCACCCCATCGAGGAGCAGATCACTGACAAGTACCTCCTGGACTTCAGCGACGCCAGGAAGGTCTTCCTCAACGTCCAGAAGTGGCTGGAGGAGGCGAAGAAGTACTACGCACTGGAGACTCATGCCTCTGACTACGTTCACATAGTCCAGGATGTCTCCCAGAGCTACAAGTACTTGTCCTTCTTCGAGGACGACGACGACAGACAAGCCAAAATGCACAAGAGACGAGTTTATGTCCTTGTAGAAGTCATCAAGGAGCTGAACCCCAGGTACTACCAGGCAGAGTGTCGACAGATCTGGATTGAACTGGGGGAAACCTCCTCAGCAATTCTGGACATTAAATTAGACAAACTGAGGGCCAGTGACAAACGACCGACGCCCCATGCCCTCAACAAAATCAATCATCTCGCTAAATGTGGGATCAATTACTACAAGAAGTTCCTGGACTCGATGAAGGAGAATGAGACGTCACCACCGGTCAGGGAGTTCCCTCAGGAACTCGTGAAACCTGCCCTGTTTGCTTACTTCCACATTGGCACGCTTTGTAACAAAATTATCACTCCGGATAAATTAACGCAACTGGATAACCTGAAGGCCAGTGTTGAGGCCTATAAGTTCCTCGTGGATTACTGCCAGCGGCATGAAGATGCTGCTGAGTTCATGAGGGCTGAGTTGAATGTCTGCAGAGATCTTGTTAATTTGTTACCTCTGAAGATTAATAAATTGACGCAGTCGCTTAGTGCATCGTAAAATGTTTGTTTTTTTATTGATTGATTTAAGTAATTAAGCGATTAATTCGTGGGATTTGAGTTAATTGAAGGGATTTGGTCAATTGATCGATCGTTGAGTGAGTTTGTTGATTCGTAATTATTGTAAAGTTGTTGTTAGTAGTGGGAAAATTTTTGGATGAAGTTGAGAGAAATCTCGAAATGTTTAAATTGAGGAGAAAATCAATGGAGATTGCAAATTTAAATTCGATAATTTAGGGAAAATTGAGGAAATTCGAGTGCATCGTGTTATTACTTCAATTTTCAGGTGAAATTTAAAATTTTACACTGTAATAAGCGTAACGTAAAATGTCTTATTTTTTAATGCTGATTGGTTGACGTAACTGATCAATTGATTCATGAAAATTAAATCAACAGGATTGAATAAATAATTATGATAGTTGCATGAATTGCAATTCATCAATTATCATTCATTATTATTCAATTCATGAATTGGTTAATTTATCGAGCGTTGAATTAGTTAATTGACTCATCATTATTTTGAGGAAGTTGTTCAGCAACACTAGTAGAAAAATTTGCTCAAGATTTCAGAAAATCTTGTTGGTGGAGAATTATAAATTAAAGAGAAAATGAATGGAAACTGCAAATTTCGATTCAATGATCCAGTGAAAAACAGGAAAATTCAATTGAATGTATTATTAAACTTCTAATTTATGATGAAAATTCAATTTCAATTAATATAAAAAATTCAACAAAACTTCATATTGAAAATGCACAGAGAATTGTGAAACTTCCTCTTATTTTCACTTGAATTTTCACCTGAAATTTGAAATTTCGTGAGTCATTACCCCCGATTTCAACTCAATGTCACTCTTTCATGACATTTTTCAACACTGAATTGAAAATGCGAAAGATGTCGATTATTTTTTCATGGGACCTCAGGATCTGTTAATGAATGATAAAAATGATTTTGAAAGAATCGATTTCTTTATACTCGTGATAATAATACCTAATTTTATAATGATAAGACAGTATGAAAGTATAAGAGGTTTTCAAAACTAATCACTTTAGCATATCTTTTTACAATTGACACTAGTATTGTTCATACCCAAAAATTATTATCGTTTATTCATAGTTTGTTATGATTTTTGATATACCAACGTATACATAAGCTATCGTGAAAAATATGCATATGAGAAGATATTAGAACAAAACAGTATTCACGAACTTCCAAGTGGAAACTAGAAAGAAAAATGGGCTTAAAGATATTACTGATAATCAAAGATGTTAGGTGCTTTCCAACTACTTCTTGATACAGAAATTGAACAGCTTCACGTTTCCATGGCTTCCATGGATGCATCCTGCATGGGGACGTCGACTGGAGTCTCCATTACAACATCTTCGATTTGGAATTTTTGTACTGTATACTGTTTCTTCAATTTTTCGTAATGTTTCTTTTCCTGCACAAATTTTAAATAAAAAAAATGATTAGCATCAAACAATTTCCAAGAATTCTTTTCATTCACAGAGAAAAAAATGTTTTGATTTTCATAATTATTAATTATACTGGACACTGACTAGAATGACATTGATCATTAGGGATTTTTATCACTGAACACTGGCGACAGATTCCTAATAATTGATGATAAATTCCTGAAAATCAGTGACATTTTCCTGAGAATCAAAACTTTCGTTTCTCCATATTAATTATAATAATTAAGTTCATTGAAAATATTTTCCACAATTTCTATGGAACAATTCGATTCTATTTAATTTTTCATATTTAATCTTTTTTTATTTTGCCCCAATACTCTAAATTTACCAAAATTTTTCAAAGTGTTCATCTTGCCCCAACTTTTGAAACAGTTTTATTTACCTTATCTTTAACTGATGGTTGAATTTTCTTAAAAGCTACATCGAAATGTCTCTGATGGACTTCAGTAATGCCCGAGGACTGTGCCATTGATTCTTTGAATGCCTGGATACTAGCTTCCTTAACGAGAGATCCCAAGTCAGCCCCAGTGAATCCCTCACACCTCTCGTTCTTCCCAATCGCCTCTAGATCCACATCCTCAGCAAATTTGGGCTTTGTTCCATTCTGAAAATCCAGCGAAATGAAAATTAAGAAATGAGAACGAATCATAAAGATCCAAAAGTTCGAGTTCAGCAATTCAAAGTTCACCTAATCATTCACCCCTGCAATGCTTGAGAAAAAATAGGGACTTGTTCTGTATCTGATGAAATATTCTCATGTTAATTTTTCGTGCAATAGAGAATACCTCCCCCCATCAAAAAATATATAATATGGGCCAATTCCATATTATATATTTCAAATTTGTAAAAAATATATAAAAAATATATATAAACCATATATATTTTATATATTTTTCAAACTATAAATTTTCCCGTATGGCTTACCTTTGTCAAAGCCTTGAGAATGTCGACCCTGTCCTCGCCAGTGGGCAGCCCAACATAAAGAATCTTATCAAACCGTCCAGGCCTCATAACAGCAGGATCGATGATTTCAGGTCTATTGGTGGCAGCCATCAAGTAAACATCCTTCCTCCCCTCGATGCCATCCATCTCCGTCAATACCTGATTGACAACCCTCGACGTCGCTGAGTTATCCCCAGTGGTCCTCACAGGGCACAGTGCATCGAGCTCATCAAAAAATATGACACAAGGCGCCGAATCCCTCGCCCTGACAAAGCACTGTCTCACCGCCTTCTCGCTCTCCCCCACATACATGCTGAGCAGCTCGGGTCCCTTCACCGAAATGAAGTTGATCTCTGCCTCATTAGCAATAGCCTTAGCCAGAAGAGTCTTCCCACACCCTGGAGGCCCACACAGGAGCACACCGCTGGGTGTCGTCAGCCCAAAGGTCTCAAACTCTTTGCGATACTTGACAGGGGCCAGAATGGCCATCTGCAGCTCCTCCCTGATTTCCCTCAAGGACCCAATGTCCTCCCAGGTGACATCAGGAACAGTGGCGAAGCCTTCCCTCTTCGAAGAGGGCTGCACAGCCCTCACAGCGACATCAAAGTCCGAATCCTTTATCTTAATATCAGCAATCTGCTCCGGAGTAAGTGCCACATCACTGTGAAGTATCTTCAGAAGTCTGTCGAGCTCCTTGAACTCCTCCCTGCCATCCTCCTCCTTCTCCCCACTCTCCTCTCCATTTATACTCATCTGAGGTAGATTCGTATCCTCCTTGAGATCAATCACCTCTGGCTCCTGAGTCTCCCCCGTCTCCTTGTCCCCAGCAGTCTCCATAGAGCTCTTATCAGAATTCTCCACCACTTCTGTCGTATCCTCCTTCTCCTCAGCAGTGGCTTCAGGCACCTCCTCTACAGGTTTCTCCTCCTCTCCGCCCTTCTTCTGCTCCTCCTCCTCCTCCTCCTCCCCGCCCTTCTTCTCCTCCTCCTTGCTCTCCTGATGCTTGAGGACTCGATCAACAGCTGCAATCGCAGCTTCCCTGATGATCGACACGAGATCTGCACCCACACACCCTGGAGACACAGCTGCAATCTTCCCAAGATCGACTTCATGCGTGAGTTTCAACGTCGCAGAGTGCACCTTGAGGATGTTCTCACGAGTCTTCTTGTCAGGAATTCCCAGGGCAATCTCCCTCTCGAACCTCCCAGCCCTCCTTAACGCTGGATCAAGCACCTCAGGGCGATTGGTCGCCCCGAGAATAAGCACTTTATCCCCATTCTCTCTCGACCCCAGGTCATCCAGACAAGCCAGCAGCTGTGTGACTATCCTCCTCTCCATCTCCTTCTGGGCATTAGCCCTGTGTGGAGCAAGAGTGTCAATCTCATCAAAGAAGAGAACACAGGGAGCCAGAGCCAGAGCCTGATCGAACAGCTCTCGAATCTTGGACTCACTCTCCCCAGAGAGTCCACCAATGAGCTCAGGGGGAGCAATCTTGAGGATTGGCACCCCCAGCTCACCAGCAATGGCATTAGCCAGGAGATTCTTGCCACAGCCTGGGGGCCCATGGAGCAGTAATCCTCGTGTTGGCGTCACCCCCAGCTGTCTGAAGATCACTGAATGCTTCATGTGGATCAGAATACGACAGACTGTCTCCAGGACCTTGACGTTGCCCCCAATGTCCTGGAATTTCGGTGGCTTTGGGGCTGGTACTGCCCTCCCATGGGCTTCTCTTCTACGTTTGGAGGAAGGCATCTCCTCCATTCTCTCTCTTATTCGTTTCTTGGGGAGTGGCTTCAGTGGTGGCAGCTCTGGCACCTTCTTCGGCTCGTCGTTGCCTTTGCTCGTCTCCTTCGAGGCCCTGGAGATCGTGCACGAGTGGACGATCATGTTCTTCGGTAGCTTCATCACCTCCGCTGTGTGCTTCAGGGACAGGGGATTCTCCTCGTGGTCGTCGTCACTGCTGATGTCAATGAGCTCTTTGTCACTGGAATTACCATTGTGATCACCCACAACTCCTTTACTGTACATCTTCACAATCTCGTTGTTGATCGAGCCCTGCTCGATGTCAGACTGCACCTCAACGTCGTCTAGGTCCTCTTGTCTTGACATACTCTCGGTTATCTTGTCGTAGGCACGTCTCACTACTGTTCTGAAGGGGCCACGTTTCTTTGTTCTGTAATCACTGTACCGCTTCTGGAGATTATCGGCCATGTCGTTTACGTCGATGTATATCTGATCCTCGTTGTCGAAGAGGTACTTCTGGACACGCTCCAGGAGCAGTTGCTCTCGGGGAAAGTGACGATCGTCCATCCCTCGGGGGAACACACGTCCGTCCTCACTGCTTGCACCCTGGATCGGAATTATATCGATTGATGAGTTTAGTTTACGCATTTTTGGGTATTTGTCGTTCATTTTCGGGGGGTTAGCTGGAGGAAAGTGCAGTCGTGTACACGGATAAACAGAGTTGGGGGGAAACAGCCACGCGCGGTGTTGCACCGCCGCACCGGCAATTTGTTGGGGAATTTGCGTTATTGTGTTGACTTTTTTTTCTGTTGGAAGAGAATAGACGTTTTCAGCCAGAGTCACTAGATTTTCGGACACTTTCCCGTGGTAATTCCCCTAGGAGGTTCGGACATTTTACCGAATTTACATATAAATCATCATTTTTGAGGTTGCAAATGAGGGGAGATTGGGGTAAATTGGATACTTTTGGCTTTTTCTTAATGTTGGTGAAATTTAGTTTTTTTTTTTCAATGCAATGAACAATTCTTTCCCTCTGTGATGAGCCTAAACTGAGCTCAATTGATAAATTTATTTTTGAGTTATTATAGTAATCAAACAAAATCCAAAGCGTCCATTTTACCCCGTCATCTTAAATGTCAAAATATTTATCAGAATTTTTCATTATTTCTCTGAGATTTTTCAGTTCCATGAACGGAACAAATATTGCCCCTAGATTTCCAGAATGAAAAGGTCTATTTTGGGTATTTGGGATGAGGGGTGGGGGTTACTTACCCTGTGGTTGGCCTTTGTCGTCGAGGGGATTATTGTTTTAGGGTGGGATGAGGGTTTCGACGAGAATTTTTGAGGTGACGATCGCTTTCTGACGGTTGTTTTGAGGATTTTTTGGAATTCATACCAATCGCACGGGTATGGCGCAGCAAATATCCCCACGACAGTTCGTTCAGGGGCGGGGGGAAGGACTACGTTGGTCGTTAGGTTTTTCAGGGTCTAGAGAGGGTGAATATTGGAGGGTTTAATGGAAATGGAGACAATTTTTGGTTTTTCCAGGTTTTAATAATTTTTTTAAAACGGTTTTTGGAATTTTTTTTAAGGGGGTGGGGATTTGGGTGGGGGAGGAGTTTTGGGAGGTGTTTTGACTTCCGGTGGGACAGAATGAGGGACTCGGTCGGCCATCGTTCTTTTCTTTCCGGTCATCATGGTACGTATGCTACTCGTGGAATGAAGTCCTCGTTTTCTTGGATTTATGGGGTTGAGAGGTATTAATTATTTGGAATTGGGTTTTGAGGGGTTTTTGAGAGTTTGAGGGTAGTCAGGGGGTCAGTGGGGTGATGGTTTTTTATTTTTAGTTTTGGAAATTGTTTTTTAGAATGTCAGCGGAGCACATGGCTAGGAGTCATGACTGTGTTCAGTATTTTGGGGATAGAAATCTTCGGGTTGTGGTTAATTGGATTTTTGGAGTCTAGTTTTCGTTGTGGGTTCGGGTTTTATGGACTTTTGGGATTTTTTGAGGGGATGGGGTCGTTGAGAGAATTGGATTGAACTCGGAGGTGAGGTTAGAATCGCAACGGCGTTGGGAGTCCAATTCGGAACGTAAATATAACGGTTTCTGAGATTGAAGGGAGGAAACTGGGGTTTTAGGGGTAATTGTTGTATTTTTGGTGGTTTGGTTAATGGTTTTTTGGTTTTACAGCCGTTCGAGAGGTTCGTGGAGTCTGGCCGCGTGGCCTACATCAGCGAGGGCCCATACCAGGGCAAGCTAGCTGCCATCGTCGATATCATCGACCAAAACAGAGTGAGCATTATTTTTTTCATTTGTAAGGCGTGGAATCTATCCAAAACTGCAAATAGAATCTGATTATTTTCGGACACAATAGTTTTTTCAGTGAAGTCTTTAGGTAATATACGGTCATTGTAGGAGAAAATGCAAAGATTAATGCTTGAGAACTCATTAATTTAGTGGCTGGGAGGAATTTTTTGGGCGTTCTTCAACACCCAAAGAGAATTTCCATGACAAAATTATCTATCACGTATGACAAAATTTAAGAGAAAACCTTGGCGAATTTGCTAGAAAATTCTATTTGAAAATTCAATAGATTTCAGTTTTCTCTTGAGATTTTTTCTACTAAAATTATTGGGCACGAATTTTCTAAGTGTTTTCCGCTATATTTTGTTTTGTTTTGCATTACAGGATCCGAGTAAAAAAAACATGAAAAATTCATGCTCAAGTATTCTTCTTACAAAAAAATTCCAAGAGAATATTCATATAGAAAAATCGAAATCTGTTGACTTTTAGAATTTTAATAGAATTCGCAATGGAGTCCGTTAATTTTTTTTAGCCGTGCAATTTTTTGCTTTTAAATTTTGCCCACTGCAATTATAATCCCCTCATTCTAAGTACAGGTATATATATAGGTATTGAATTCTACTAAATTCTAATGTTTGTTGTATGCAGTTCGACGAGTGTAATCCAAGTATGGGAAATTGAAGAGAACACACACAATGTATAAACTCAAGATTGGATTGGGGCATTTTTTTTTCAATTCCATGGGCTCAAATTGTATCTGTCGAAATGGACAAAAATAGATAATTAAGCCTTCTGTTGCAGTCAATAAAATGATAAAGAACCCAAGCCTTTAAATTTTCACACAAAGAACGATTTGGTACGAGAATAATTGGAACAATTTTCGTCAGTTTCAGACAGCTTCCATGGTCTCCAGAAATTAACATAAAATGTCAGTTTCAAATATGATGAACCTTTGTTCTTGATAGGAATTGCCGGCTGACGTTTCTGATGCCACAAACATTATCTGAAAACATTAATTACTAAAATTCACTTGAGTTCCCTGTGGAGATGAGTCTTTAATGGAGTCTTTCTCATTCTTTTCAGGTTCTGATTGATGGACCTGCATCAGGAATCCCCAGGGGGCAGATTAGATTGAGTCAGCTTCACCTGACAAAATTCTGCATCAAATTCCCATACACTGGCTCCACGAGAGTTGTCAGGAAAGCATGGGAGAAGGCCCAGCTTGATGAGAAGTGGAGCCAGACCATGTGGGCTCGTAAAGTTGAAGCAAAGAAGAAGGTAAATTCAACACTTGCACTGCACATATTTTTTATTTCGAATGAAAGTTGTTGTTCTTATTACTCTGTAAATTTTATCCACAAATAGTTGTAATAGCTTCACTAATTTCGAAAAAAAATCGATTGATAAAATTATTTGCAACAGAAGCAACGAAATGACAAATTAATAATGAGAATTTCATTTAAATATTTGATGATTTTCTTGCGTTTCAGCGTGCTGAGCTCAGTGATTTCGATCGTTTCAAGCTCCGGAAAGCTCGTCAAGTTCGCAACAAGTTAAGGACAGAAGCTTTCTTCACACTGAAGAGATCCATCAAGAAGAAGGCGAAGCCAGCTAAGGGAGCTGCCAAAACCACCAAGAAGCCGACGACGAAAAAACCAGCGAAGAAGTAAAAATTTAAATTTGGAATAAATGTTCTTTGAAAAAAAAACAGACTGTTTTCACCTTAATTTATTTCCCCAAACCATGAAGTATTTTTAATAAAAGAGGAACTCATCAAGATGAGGTGATTTCTCATTCATGAAAAGAGAAGAATCGATATTCATTTATAAAGCGAATAATATATTTGTGCCATTATTTATTTATGAATTCAACACATTGTTCAACGGTTACATTATATAATGATACAATAATTACATCATAAATTTGATCATACAGAATGCTATGGAACTATCAGCTACGTATAATGAAAAAATTTGTTCGTAGGAAGATTAACGTAATTGACTCGAAGATTTATTCTAATCTTGAAACTGGAAAAGTATTCAATCGGAGTATTGATTCATGAATTTATAAAAAGATAAATCATTAAGTGGAATTTTGTTTTTTACATTGAAAAATAAGTATGATCGATTAGGGTAGTTATCCCTTGATAATTTGTTGCTGCGAGGTGAACAATTCTAGAGTTCATCCTTCAGCATCTTCTTGTCGTAGAGGAATTCACCCAGTGGCCCGTGAGTGGCCATCATCTTGCCGAGGGTGGAGATCTTTCCGGCTAGGTCACGTTGGCCCTTGTATTGCTCATCCAGGAAGTCACCGGTGAGGTAATCGACGAGCTGAAGCAGAATGGAATTTCAAAATTAATTTTATTGTCTTGGGAGAGGGGTTTTGGTCTGGAAATTAGTGGTGATTCGTTTCTCACGTGGTAGTCGTTGAAGTCAGAGGTCTTGGGCGTCTCGCAGGTCTTGATTATCTCTCGGATGCTGCTGGTGACCTTGGCTTCAAGGTTCAGGGCATCGCTGAGTGCAGTAACTGCATTTGGCCACTCCTCACGAGGAGGTTTCTAGAAAGATAAACAGAGAAATTGAATTCAGTAATGAAATTGAAACAACGAAAGATGCTAGGAGAAAATTTCCACAAAAAAGGACAATTTCACAATTGAGTGATTAAGGTATTTATGACGGGCAGGGGAATCTATTGTTCTCTCACATAAAAGCAATCGCTGAACAAAAAAATAACGATACTTCAATTACAAATTTGCAATCTATTTCGACCATTTTTGCGTTTTTTTTTAAAGCATTTTAAACCAATCGGTTTACTCTGCTAAAGAATAGTGGTGATAATACAAAAGTGAAAGAATAATGGATCATTTCCATCAACATCTCATACATTTAGTTTGATTTTTTCGATAATAAAGCAATAGCCATAATTGCTCTTATGTTGAGTGTACTGAGGAAGGCTTTTACATCCATACCAGATACTTTAAGGCCGGCATGGATTATCTTTCGAACGTTATCTCGAATGTTTTTCTATCTTCATAATCTAAAATATATCGCAATTTCCACTGGATGTTACATCACCTAGGTGTCCCGAAAAATTATGATTGTGCAGTCAAAAAAGTAGAAAATTATTAATTAAATCATTAAGTAAATTATTAATTTGCAATTTCCTCCCAATGGGGTTTATTTCCCCATATTATTCAAAATTTTACAAAATTGTACTATCATAATTTTTTGAGACTCCAGAGCTATGCAAAACTGAATGGCAATTGAGGAACATTTCAGATTATTAAAATAAATAAAAAATCACCAAGATGTTGTTGGCAAGATAATCCACCCGGCGCTTAAATTAAAAATTTTCTGTCTCTATCTTGAAAACGTGTTCTCCTTACGAAGAAATGTCAAAAGAAATTTTTTTGTGGAGCACAAAATTACCACAAACAATGTTTTTTGGCATTTCCTAATAAAATTCTTACTTATGGAAATAATTCCACATCTCGAGACAACTGCCAAATTCTCCCAACTAGTCGCTAATCCTAAAGATAAAACGATGCATATGAAATGATAAAAATTCCTCAAATTGAAGATTGTGTCAATAATGGTTAATCAAACCTAATTTGACTAGCCGTTAATGAAAAATGCGTTATTCTGTTTTCATCAGACTAAAGTGTAACAAAAAAATATCAAAAATCTTCCTTATGGAGAAACTTTTCATCAATTTTTTTTTTGCAATAGAATTACCTATTACTAAGATAATTACAAATTTAATGAAATGAAAAAAATTGAGTAAACTCTTAGAACAGGAAAAAAATAAACACAATTAGAAAGAGTTTAGTGCAGATGTTCATCACAATGAAAGTATAATTACCACTAAAAAAATTAGTCATTGATGAATTCATCTAAAGAAAGCTTAGTCCCCGTAATTCCCCGCAAAGAATACCATTTGACATTTCCTTGTAGAAAGGGATGTGTGAAATTGAATTGCCTTATTAATACGCCTTATCAATTTATTATCGAATAATGCGTCGACTGTGTCGATCTTGTTTACGAAAAATTGAACGAGGAAAATTGGCAAGGGCATCAATCATTACCCAATCTAGTGCAACATTGGGAAACTCACCAGTGGGAATTTCAAGAGCTTGCTGACGTCAGTGGTGAGCTGACCACGCATCAGCAAGTACTCGATGATCTTCATGGCGTGTTCACGCTCTTCACTTGCTGCTTCGATGAAGAACTTGCTGAAGCCTGGACGATTAATTGAATCTCTCGCAAAATGGGCACCCTGGACGTTGAATAAATCAAAGATCATTCATGAATATTGCGAGGAGGACAAAGGAATTCACGAGTGAATTTTCCAAACGAAGTGTAGAAGGATGAGATAAAATGGACCTTTTTGAATCTTCTGATAAAAAACATGGTTCAAATGAATTAAATTTCATTTTCAATCATGATAAAATGCTTTTCGAATAAAAAACATGGGTGAATTTCAACCAATCTCTAGTTATTGACGATTAAAAAAGGCCCATTTTACCCCCTTCACCTCTCAGTCAACTAAAGGTCATGATGAGTTCATGAAAAACGTGTTGAGACTGTGAGAGATAGAAAAATCCCCATGAGGACTTCTTGTGTAGAGCAAGAGAAAAGCTGCAGCAAAAGTGTTTATGAAAATTTCAGAATCTCTTTCAAATTTCGAAATATTTCACAAGAACGCATCTGTTCTAAAAAATTGGATTGTTTGTTTGAAATTTTATTAGCATTTCAGCGATTTTATTGACAAATTCTGCAGCTTTCACAAGCTCTCTTTTCAATAAGAATGTTCAACAGAAATAGAGAACTTGATCTTTCTATACTGAGGCCCGGTTGGTCCGGCTCCGGATAACGAAAAAGTCAGATAAAAAAAAAAGTAAATTCGGATGTTCGATGGATTATTTGACGCAGGAGAGTATCTCAAATTTATCTCAGGAACAAAAAAAAATTTAATCCCAAGGTTAAATCAGTGTTAATTCAAATGGGGCTACAGGATAAATAAAAAATTATTCTTCGGGTCAAAAATTGAAAAATTATGACCCCTACGATATAATAGACCCCGAGGATAAATTTTACCCATGGGTTTATTTGGATAACAGGGCTTGGTGCAACCGGGCCTGTTTCTCATAAAATAGTTTCTACAGAAATTTTTTACTTGAATTTTTTAATAGGCGAGGGGAAAATATTAAGAAGAAAATTGATGTGGAGGAATTCTCGTGGGAATTATCTCAATAGAATAAACTCTTTCTTTGTCGTGACTAAAGGAAATGATGTAATCATCATGCGGTGAACACTTGGCAACAATCTACTACGGATAAAATCATCTAGAAGTCGAGTGTATTTTGAAAAAGGTTGAAATACGATTATTTAAAGAATACGTCTTTACTAGAATTTTTTAAAAATACGAAAAACGCCCCAAAACTTCATCATTCCGATAATTCATCAATCGAGTCTCAAATGAAAGTCACATAATTCGAAAAAAATGGTTTCTACAGTAATTTTTTTACTTGAACGTTTCAATAAAAGAAGAAAATTATGTGGAGGAATGTCTGTAGAAATGATTTTAATAGAATAAGTCGTATAGAAAAATCAAAATCTGTCGATTTTTCCGCTGAGACATTCTGTATTACGAAATTCTTTCGTGCGTGTAATGAATGTTTATATCTTCATTTTCATGTACCATTGCCAAATAAGTCATTGCAGCTTGAATTTCCGTTTGCACCTGATGCTCCATGATCTTTATGCAGGGGTCCACCATGTCCAGCCAGTCGGTTGGTATATCAGCAGGCTTCAAAGTACCTACAGTAATTCATTCAGCATGAATCAGCATATTTAAACGCCATATCTATCATATTATCTCTTTCCCTATTCCCAAGGTCGACCACGCACTGAGACAGATGTATAGCTCTGCCGAAAATCTATATGTGCCACGTGAAAATTTATGATGGAATGGAACAGATTTACTTGAGGAAAATTAATTAACTTGACAGAAGAAAATTTAATATCTTTCACAAAAATTTAATTTTTGTCGTAATCATCAGAAATGTCTCCAGAAGAGGTCGAACTGTTGGCAGGAAAAAATATAATCTATGTTACGACAGTTGTTTGATCTGAGGGAACTCCATAGGTTTATACCGTAGAAAGAATACACTGACGGGGGAAGAATATTTTTTTCCCAAAAAAATTGTCTCCTCGAAATTATTTAGTTTTGCCAATAACACAGTTTTCCGCAAGAAAATTGTAGCTTCCTCTTAAAATTATCATTGGTTCTATGGAAATTGTAAGTGGTTGTTGGACAAAGATGTACATTACTCAATAACATTCAGTGGATAAAACCGGAACCTCATACAATTATCTATAGGAGGAATGTATTTACCCGAAAGACATATAAATGCCTCACGAGAACAATTACTACTGCGAAAATGATCATGTGGAAACTATTTTTTTGTCCACAAGTAAATCGATTCAACACGACAACAGATCTCTTCAGGGGAACCATGAAGGATCGAGACCTATTTATTAAAGACGACAAATGCAATTATTATAAATAAATAATTGAAATTTTTTAAACTTTCGGAAACCTTATTTTCTCAGGCATGAAATCAATTTCTGGTAAAATTCCGAATATGAAGGAATTTGCTACGATTCTGAACAAATTCATGTTATGGTAGCCAATTGTTTACAAATTATTTACAGAAATTCTCGTAAATTTTCTCGAAATTTTCAAAAATTGCAGTTTTTCAATTATTTCATCAAACTTCCCCCAAAACTTTCTATTTCTTTATCAGATTTTTAAAATGTTTTCTAACGGTTCAATATCGGGATTCAAATTGACTGAGTTCAGTATGTCTTTGCGTATATCAAGAAACTCGTACTTCTCAGAAAATTTTGTTTTTCTCAGTGTACCATCCCAAGGGTCAAAGAACACCTTTCCCACGAGTGTCGAACCCTTCTTTTCAAAATGTTCAGTAAAAATTACGGAACTCACAGTTCGCTCACCGATTACGGAATCGACTCAAAAAATTTAATTGACGGTATCCTAATTTTTCACAGGAGATTCAAGTAAAAATTACGGAACGCCCTGGAAAAATTCCGTGATTTCAGGTACAAATTACATGACAGTTCCGTAAAATGTCCGACAACCACATTGCGCTCCGTGCACATTGCGACGAAAAATACAGTTTTTTCTCTCAGTGCCCGCTTCAGTTAATGTATCCCAAGACTCCCTAATACTCCCGCTATCTCACAAATCCGCAAATTATCTCCTTGCTCCACTTAACTCAGTTAATTGTACCCTATTCAATCATATCTATTAAATTAATCCGAGAACATCAGTACTTCCCATTGTGACTCAATGGGATACGTTCAACGATACAAATAGCCCGAGCGATAAGCTCTCCCAGGGCAAGGACTTTGGAATTTGTATCGGGGAAAATTATTCACGCCCAGTTGGTGACTCCTACATTTTTATTGACAATGTTATCGCAACTTCGGTAACTGTTGAGGTTTAATGAATGTCATTGCGGAAATAACACTTATCATCCCACAAGGCATGTTTTCCCCTGACAGTTATTTCTCCTCTGCGTCATGAGTTGTTCCCAAAGACAATTCAATAATTTTCATCGTACAAAAACTACTCAATCATTCTCTCCGGAGAATTCATTGAGGCCAAAAATATCAGTCAATCGAGGAATAAATTCCCTCAATTATTTCTCATGATTAATCACAATCAAAAATTAGATCTCATCAGTATCTAATCTGCCATCGATACGTGTAAAGCGTCGCGTAGAATTTAATCAATTAATCGTCCCTTGAAAAAACATCTGATATTTCTCTACTCTCGAAATTATTTTCAATAAATTCTGTTATCAAAACTGATAATTCCACGAAGTCAATATCCAATCGATGGAATGTTGAGTCTGCACGAGTTATCCTTGAGAATTTTCATCGCTAAAAGAATGTAAATAAGTGATAAACTATTGCCTCTCGTTGAACAACCGCAGGATAAAAGTAGAGTGAAATTCTCGGAATAATTACGCCGCTGGTATTAGTCGTATCATAACAAGTGGTCACCAGACAAAGACGAGATGATATTAGATAACCGATCATCTCGTCAGTCATAACCTAACACCACATTATCTGAATCATTTCCTGCGTGAATTTTTGCGATCAGCGAAAAAATGATGAATACGAGGTTCGTTAGTCATTCTGTGACGCAGAGCGAATGAACTATGACCCTTTCTTTATCGTGAGTAAAAGAAATGATGCAATCATGCTGTGAGCACTTTGAAACAATCTACTGTGAATAAAATCATCTAGAATTCGATTTTAAATCGAAAAAAATTGAAAAATTATTGTTCAAGGAATATTGTTCCACAAAAAAAGGTGAAAAATGATTGCCTGAACTCAATTGAATGCTTCAACCAGAAAAAAACTGGAAGAATAGGTTTCAGAGATGATTTTTCGCTTCAAGACAATTTTTTGTTTTTTATCTCAAAGGTTGAGCCCACATTTCGGGCTTGAAAATAAAAATAAATTAAAGGACTCACACTTCAAGCCATCTCCAACAGCCGCCGAAACACACAGCATTCCGCAAATAAAGGCCCCCAGAAACTTCATGATTGCGATAATTGATGAGTCCAAGTCCAGTGAAACTCAAAGAATTCAGAAAATGGCCAAAAAAACCTGGTTTCGGGATCTCTCGAACGCCTACCAAGGAACCTTTATACACACTGGTATAGAAGGTCGTCCTCTCTCAACCGTTAATCAACAAATATCTCAATGAGCGAGGCGTTTTGAGTACTCAGCCATTGGCCACTCGAAAAAAAAAATAAATGTTGTATTCTCGCAAAACGAACACACACTAGAGCATGATAAAGGGTCTTGACAAGAATGAACTGGGGTTTGTAGAATTTCCGTCGCACTTCGGCGAGTGCGCATGCGCTGATGAATCAGCTGGATAGAGGCGTATTTTGTGGACAGGTCAAATTCTTACTCAGTGCAGTAAAGCGTCGAAGCGAGAGTATTCACGCTCTTACTACAGCGAAATCATTCTTTGTGAGTATCTGCTTTTTTTCGGTTATCAATTGTTTATTAAAATTTTTTTCGCCTCTGAAATGGGTTTTGTCGAATTCATTTATCGATTTGTAGGATTTATTTTCGGCTCTCAGAGGGTTTTTCTACGATTTTCGGAGCAGTGCTCTCCTTTCTCGAATAACTGCGCCATTTGTCGATAGTTACACGCTTTGTGCCGATGGCAGGCAATTTATTCGTCGAATGAGATAATCATTATAATAAGCGGTGTCGGGGGGTTGAGGAGTCTTCGAGGAAATTTTACTATTGTATTGTTCGGGCGATTGTTGCGGGGTGAGGGTCGGAGAGTTATCTGGAGTTTTATCTGGTGGAATTATCTGAGTAGGATTTTTTATTTATTTTCGTAAAGCCAATTGCAACTTAAGATTAATTTGTTTAGTTATTAATTTTTTAAATTATTTTATTTTCATTTTTTCTCACTTATGGTAGAATAAACAGGTCAATTTCTGGACGATTTCAAATTCCATTAAATATCCCATAAATAATAGAATGAGAATTGTAATGATAATTTCACCTCTCAATAATATTACTCGTGTATAATTATTAATCTATTATTTATTCTGTTGATCGACATTTAATAAATAAATAAAAATATCCCCAGTCGTCCAGAAATCAGGGATTTCGGCTGCATTCAACTATTTAATAATTAAATAATTTTTTAGTTTGATATTTGACTTCAAATATTTTTTTCTGCTAATTAAAATATTCTTGAAGGTACGGCAGTCATCATATCTCCATTTACGTGATTCTTTTATTTTTGATCGTACCACGAAATTCGTACTTCCCTTAACCGTCCAGCAATTGGCCGCTTTTCACCCTAATTACCATTGTGATTGTTATTATTTCAATAAACTGGGGAGTTTTTACTCAGTACAATTGAGATGCAAGAATTTTAGTTTTAGTATTTTTGCATATTTTGTATCGGATTCGCATATTAAATAATTTAATATTAAATTAATATTCGGATTAAATGGAAATTGTTGTGTATTCTCTTCTTTTTTAGTTGTTTCCACATTTTAAACCGCTTGACTAAACGCTACGGCTAAAAAAATTGGAGCACAATGGTTAGAAGTTGTTTGTCGTTTCAAATTTGTATTGACGAAACATTCATCACTAAATTACACTATAATCTCTCACGGCAAACGCATGGCGGATCTTATCGTGTCTAATCTCTTCTACACAATTTATCTTTCTTATTTTTATTTTTAACGCAACTCGGCACAGAAAGCTTGTGACTAGCCATCGCCCGAGACTCTTCAGCCTGATATTTACATTTCATATGCAAAGAATTGGTTGTACAATGAAAAAGACAAAAGAAAAAAATATTCAGCTAATGTCCAGTATCGCACAATTGAATATGAAAAATAAGCTGTTTCACATTGTTATGAAGGGGATGAGAGTAAAACATTTTGACAAGTCTGGTGATGCGGAAGATCTAATTCATATTATTATTATTTTTTTTTACTCGCAAAAATATAAATAACAATAATAATAAAAATGTTTATTATTATTATTATTTACATTATTCGTTTGCCAAGTTCAATATTGCTATCATTCATTCGTCCGTTTCATCGTACTTTCTAGATTTCTTTTGTTGGATCTCATCATGTAATTTCTTAGTATTATTTTAGTTTCATGATTTTCATTCACTACGTATGCACTTTCCTATTTTTATCGATGATTTCGCTGCGGTGGAAAGAATTTATTATACAAGGATTAATCATGCAGTGGCAATTGCCTATTTTACAGCAAAATAATGAGTTAATTTTAAACATTTTGCAAAGATGATTTTTAATCTTTCTTCAATCCATAGATATTTATGGATGAGTGGGGAGATATTTATGGATGAGTTGATTTTTTGACGAAATGTTAATAATGTTCATTGATCGGTTCATGGAACAGGATAATTTTTTTTCCTTGCAAAGTGCAATTGTTTCTCTTTGTGATGAGCCCACATTGAGCCGAATTGTTAAGTTTATTTCTGACTTACGGACTTTGAAAAAAAAAGTCAAAAGGGTCCATTTTGCCGCACCCTCTCCTATGGAAGTGACGCCAACGAAATAAATTGATTTGAACTGATCCTTAAAAAGAATGTTTTATAATTTCATTGAAATTATGGAAGTGTTTCCTCCACTCATTCATCATCTGTTTGATTTTTATTTTTTCAGGAATCATCATGTTGAAGTTTGGAGTATTGCTCGGAGTCTTCCTGGTGTTTTCCCAGGCCTCCGCAGAATTCTGTTACAATGATGTTGAAGGTGCTTGCAGTACGAAGCCCAGCACAACTGGTAATTATTCTCCCCCCCCCCCCCAATTTATTCAAACGAATTCTTCAATGGGAAGTTTATGAAGAGTTAGGATTGATTGATTTTTTTTTAAATTCAGATGGGCCACTTCTCAGCAACTGCAATGCGAAATACGGATCCTTCGAGGCTCTTCAGCCTGACCTTCAGGCCTACGCCAATGCTCACATTGAGACGAGCTTTGAATTCCTGTTGATGTCCACTCATTTCGGTAATTTCGAGGCCAATCGCGAAGGGTTCAAGGGACTCTACAGGAAATTGTCTGATGAAAATTGGAACAGGGCCATTGATATCATCAAGTTCATTAACAAGAGGGGAGGAAGGATGAACTTCAATCAGTTGCCTCGTTTCAAGAGAAACGTAAGAACAAAAATAGATTTTCAGGTTGAAAGAACGAAGTGAGGGGCATAATGAATGGCAGAGTGACATTTAACATTTTTTTTCATTCTCAAGATGTTTTTTATCTTTCAAAATGAATTTAGACTCACCTAGATTGCATCATTATTAAAGATTTAGGAAAATCAGTTTGGCTTCACCCCCTTTCATTTTCTCTTCATTGATCAAATATATTAAGAAATTTTATTATTATATTCTTCGGGAGATGGCTGAGGGAAGAGAGTTAGAGAGTTATTCAAAAATAAGCTTTCATATCGAAATCACGAAGGGAGGCAGAATGAAATTTGTAATTTCTTCTTTCATCCTCAAGATCTTTTTTTATGCGTCAAAATAAAATCAAACTGCTCCAAATCGCACAATTTCAGTAGAAAAATCGTAAAACGCTTCAAGTCGACTTGGCCCGTAGTTGAGTTTTCGGGGAATATCTCCGAATCTAAGGGAGATACCAAAATTTTCATAATAACCTTTTTTGTAGAAAGAATTGAGGGCTATAAAACAGGTCATAACAAGAATTTTGCTACCGCCCTCAGATTTCGAGATATTCATTGAAAACTGGCCTATAGTCAAAATCGTCAAAATCTTCTGAACATTTAGGAAGACCACGTTTGCCTCACTCTAATCCGCTCTTTCTTCCTTGATTAAGGACCGCATTTCCCTCAATTGAATTAATAATGCATCGTGTACATTTTCTTCAGACTAAAGACCGTGTCCTTGAATTGAACGAGCTCAACAGCCTGGCTAAAGCTCTGGACACTGAGAAACAGCTGGCAGATGAGGCTCTCCGTATCCACACACAGGCCCAACACCATACCAAGCAGGACGCATCAGTTGCCCACTACATAGAGGAGAAATTCATCGAGGATCAAGCTGAGACTGTGAGAAACCTCGCTGGTCACACCAACGACCTCAAGAACCTCCTTGGGGATCGTGATGCCTCAGTCTCTGTCTATCTCTTCGATGAATACCTCAAGTCAATCTTGTAATCTTGTAATTTTGTCATTAATCCTCAGCCAAACGAACAATTCTGTTCAATTTTCTTATTTGAGATTCTTCTTTATCAATCAATTACGATCAAACTTTGGTTATTATTATTATCATTACGGAGTTACATGTGTAGGATATTTGATGCAATTATTGTTCGGTTCGATAAATAAAAAAATGAGTATCTTGTACGAGTTTTTATATTCCTTCATTATCCGGTTTTTCGCTTGAGGTATTTACAATTTCTTTAAGTGGTATGAATAAACTCCAGTTGAGTCGTTCAATGTAACGAGGAAAAATAAATTCAAAAAGCCCCCCAAAAAAAACAATTCAGCAATAATAATTTTTCCCATGAATTCTAAATTCGGTGAGTATAAGAAATTAATTCATTAAATTTTGACTTCAAATATTTTTTTAAACAGTAGTCCCTCGCTTAACTTTATCACGAAAGATTGACATTGACGATAATTTTCATATTGGGCATAGAATTTTTAATGATTCATCCTGTTTTGAATTTTTTCTGGATTTCAATTTTCTTCCTAACTTCGAAATGTTCATTTTCTCATAAGATTCTGCGTTATTTTTGCACTTCTAGATTAAATCTTATCAATAATAATAGACTGCCACTCAGCACAAACTGAACCGTAATGTTTCTATTCATACCAATTTTTGTTTAGAATTTATTTCAGATTAATCTTCAAAATTCAAGTTATGTTCACATACATTTTTAAACAAAACTAGGGGGCTACACCCCCTGCTCGCTGCGCTCGCCAATCCTCATATTACCTCCATGACCCCATTTGAACCCTTGTGACCCTTGGCTTTTTACCCTTTACTTCCGATCCTTGCTTTTATCCTTCATTTCTGACTCTTGAATTTTGGAGTCTTAATTTCGATTAACAAATTTTCATCACTAGAAGTCGATTTGGATTTTTGTAATATAGAGAGAAATTTTTCAAAAATTATTCAGAATAACTTCTTCATGCGATGAAGTATTTGTAATTTGCGACTTTAAACGTCAAATAACTTCAGAACATTTGAATCGGTAGTGAGTAAATTTTATTGTTAATTCAGCTCCTAGTCAATATTGCGGAATTTAAGGAAGTGAAATTATCATGCGCAGGGTTTTCCGAGAAACATTCTTAGAAAAATTCAATTATTTCCTCTATATTCCGAGATATTTTCAAAACACGCGGTGAAACGATAAAACAAAATAACTCAGAGAAAGAAAACAAATCTAACTGTAATCAGTTTGTTGTATGTAATAAACCCTAAATAAAGTCGTTTTCTTAAAAAAACTGTTTCGATTTGAGTTTCTGAGTATCTCTGGAGTGAAGGGAGCTATCGAAATTTTTAACAAAGACCTCTTTCAGAGCTTCAAAGCTTTAACCGTACAAAGAAACTCCTCATGAGAATCTTCCTATCTCTTTTATATTCCGAGATATCTTCAAAATACGCAGAGACGAATTTAAAATGATTCCACTCCGATTGCAGCTTTTCCTGAATCGCCCAGCCTAATAGAGATAATGAAACTGGTCTGAGGTTCTTTTATGGCAGCTTTCACTACCCTAGTACTTGAAAGAAAGTCTACAAAAATTCCTATCAGAATTACGCTCTGCAAAATATTAAAAAAAAAAATCGATAGCGAAATATAAATCGCAATGACTCCCACTCCGATTCGAGTTTTACTGAATGTCTCCGGAGTGAAGGGAGCTAACGGAATTCCCATAACGACATCTTTTTTAGCTCTCATTTTATCCTACAAAAAAATTCTGAGAAGAATTTCTCTATCTCTTCCATATTCCGAGATATTTTCAAGAAAACTCAGATGAATCGAAATAATTCCGCTCCGATTTGAGTTTGTGCTGAATATTTCCAGGCAGAACTCACGAAATTCTTATGTCACCTCTTTTTTATCCCGCATTTTAACTTATAAGAAAGTTCTCAACTGAGTTTCCTTATCTTTCATATATTTCGAGAGATTTTCAAGAGAACTCAGTAATGAATCGAAAAAAATCTACTCCGATTTGACGTTCTCTGAATCTTCGAGCTCAATCGAAGCATATGGTCAAATACTTAATATCATAGGGGAGAGTGAGGAAACAGTCAAAAAAATAACTGTTTGACGCATTTCAAGTAAAAAAAATTTTTTTTTGTCAATTTTTCAGTAGAATGGAAAATTATTGAGAAGTTTTGATGGGCAACGATTTTGTCAATAGATGATTCGATTGAAATTCATCATGACATTTTCCATTTTTCCTGTTTCATTTTCTTTTCAATTAATCCATTGACAAAATCTTCGCCCGTCAAAATTTCTCAATAATTTTCCATTCTACTGAACGGAAAATTATTATTCTCATCAGTACTCCCAAGATAGAAAAAGTTGATAAAAAAAAAAATTTAACAAAAAAAAATTTTTTTCGCCCCACTGTTTCATTTTACCCCGTTCTCCCCTATTATTTTCATATTTTTATGAGAATATTTAAATTTTTATCAATGTAAGTCGCAAAATCCTTTAATTTTGATGAAATTTAATATTGATGGCCATCCCTGCTCCTCATCTTGCTATTTCACCACTAAAACATTACATCAAAACAAAAAACCTCAACATTTCCCATAAACACACAAACAACCGTAAAAAAGCAACAATCCATTGTTCAATTCTCCAAGTAAATGGCGCTCCACTGCTGCCATAAAAATGAGTCAAAACTCATCCTGCGCGTGTGAGCAGCAGTTGTCATCCGGAATTCCACAATTGGAAAGGTATCCTCCCCCCACCTCGGCACTTACATACGGTACACCTTCGCATTCGTTAACGAAAAGGAAATAAAGTTGTACACCTGTATTAGTTGGAATACGTACACAATTCTCAATGACGAATTAGGCGTTTTTATTTGATCCTCTGGCCACATCGTATCCCCATGAGTGAGAAAATCATTGAAGCAGAGGGAATAATCGCCAGTGGATAGAATTATGTTGTAAAATTGTGTTTTGGTGTTATCGTGCTACATTCCTCTTGCAGAAGGTGAGTTACCTGACGTTCCATAATAAAAACAGCTGTCAAAATCGATCCACACATTGTACAAGTGAGTGGTTCGTGAAATCACTCGGATATTACCATTAGTCCACCCACAACTCCATTTCCTGTTGCTGATTAACGACTTATGTCCAGCAAACAAATTCACCTTAACCTGTTTCGTATCATTCAGTTGATTAAAAATTAATTCCCCTGGAATATCTCCACCCATTTACTTGAAGATTTTTATCCATTTTCCGAAAAATCGATTTTTTTCGTGTTTAAGGAGAATTTCGTAATTTTTTAGACAGAGGGGGAACACAAAATCAACATTTCTGGTGATTATGAAGAAAGAGTTGCAGTTGCTTTTAACGAAATTAAATAAACTGATTTTTTTTAAACGGATTCTTTCGGGATTTATTTGAAAATTGAGGATTCACTTATTGAACGGTTCATAAAATGAAAATAAAATAAAAAGAGTCTGGAAGAGGCCTAGAGCCAGACATCGACACAAAAATTATTATTATTGACGGTAAAAATAGAGGGAAATGCGGAGGAATATACTGAAGTCGATGACCGCATGGATGAAAAAATTTAATAAAAAAACCTAGTGAATTCGTTGGAAAATTCTATTGAATTTTGTATTAGTTTTTGGCGGACTCTATTAAAATATTCAATAGAAAAAGTCAAGAGAATTCGACTTTTCTATATAACTCGGATTTCGTGGTCCGTAATTTTTTAGACATTTGTGATGATTATGAATAATTAGTTGCAGTTGCTTTGACGAAATGAAATAAGCAAATTCTTTTTTGTACACGGGCTTTTGGGGGATAAAAAAAAAAGAAAATAGAGGGCGACATGAAAACTATACTGAATCGAATGGCTGAATAAAAGGCTAAATAATGCAGATATTTTAAGATTTAACTCCTTGTTATGCTTACCCCTACATCCGGTGCATATTGTCGATTTTATTTATGAATAATCGCCTTGAATTGACGGATTAAATTTGTTTTCTACACAAAGGATAACTCTGTTTATCAATTAAAGAAAAATTGAGTTTCAATAAATAGTGGTGATTTCAGATAAATCCTTGAATAGTCTCATTAGATTAAATTTATTTTGCTTTTAACTAAATAAACTGTCCACCCCAATCTTTATTGTCTTTTATTGTCCATCTTTTACAATAGAAATACAGTTTTCCATAGTTGTGCACTCGCTGTAAGATAATACGTAGGACCGAACTAGTTCGAGGTGAACGAGTACATTAGCTCAAAGATAATGAAATTAACAAGAATTTGAACAATCTTATTATATTCATAAGAAGGAAATGTTTGGGAATAAATTAAGTAATTAAAAAAAAATGTTTGGGAAGAATTAATGTGTTGGAAAATATCATTTAAGAATGTTTATTCATTTTCCGACAGTAAAATTTCTTTCGCGTTCGAGGAGAATGTCGTAATTTTGAAGATACAGGAGGCAACATATGAAATCAACATTTCTGATGTTTAAGAAAAACTAGTTACAGTTGTTTTGACGAAATGAAATAAGTACTTTTTTGTCTGCACGTGCCAATGTGCGATTTATTACCAAATTAATAATTCACTTACTGAAAGACTCCAAACATAAAAATAAAAATAGAGGCAAACGTAAAAAATATGGCTGAATAAAAACGTAAATAATGCAGATATTCAAAAATTCAAGCCCTACGTGAACTTATGCTTACGCTTACATTCGGTGCATATTGTCGATGAATAATCCACTTGAGTTGACGGATCAATTTTTTTCTTCAAGACAAAGGATACAACTCTATTAATCGAACAAAATTAAATTTCTGCAAATGTTTGCGATTTCCGATAAATCCTTGAACAATCTCACTATATGCAGAAGAAGGAATTGCTTGGGAAGAATTAATGTGTTGAAAAATATCATTTAAAGATAACATTCCGAGGAAATTCTGTAATTTTTTAGACTGATGGGGAACATATGGAATCCATATTTCTGATGATCAAGAAAAACTACTTACTGGAAGACTCCAAAAATAAAAATAAAAATAAAAATGGAGGGCAATGGGAAAAAAATCCTGAATCTAATGCCAAACAAAAGCTGGAGGAAGAAATAATAGAGATATAAAAAATTCTAAGCCGTATGCAAATTGAGCCTAACGCTTAAATTCGCTGCATATTGACTATTTGATTTCCGCATAATTAACTCTCATTGATAAATTAAAATTGTTATCAACATGAAAAAATAGCTCTGTCTATCAATCGAAAAAATAACAATTTCGTTTCAATGTTTGCGCTATCGCATAAGCAATATAAGCCTCCTGAATCTATAACTAATCCGAATGCTCCAGCAATAATTAGACTATGTGTGACAGTGGCATTTAATTTCAGATTAACAAATTAACAATTAGCGAGAGGGCGAAGTCGAGGTGTTGAACTAAAGAATTGTTTGTCCGATGATATGGGTCACAGGTGATGAGTGTATACCATTTGCCAACGTCGTCCCTCCCATTCACGAGTAAACTAAACATTAACGATATATTGATATCGGCGTTTGAGTCGAGTATACGACGTGGGAAGGGAATATTCCACAGCAAAACCATATCCACCGACGAGCTGGCTCTACTAGGGAAGCTGGAAGAGGCTAACAGGTAATGTCTCATATTTTTGCTTCCGAATGGAAGCACTGTAATTGTTGAAATTTAAGTTTTGGATTTTTCGTGTTATACCGACCCATTATGATCCAAAAAGTCCGAAAATGCAATATTCAATAAAAATTACGTATCTTTTCCGTAATTCCGGAGCGAAATGTGGCTGTAGGAAATTTAACGGAATTTTCCCAGAGCGTTCCGCAATTTTTACCTGAATCTGACAAAATGGTTTAAGTAGATTTTGACTATTGGCGATGAATATCTTGAAATCTAAGGAAGATGTCAAAATTTTTGTTCTGACATTTTTTATCGCCCTCAATTCGCTCTCCAACAAAGTTCATAACGAAAAATTTAGATATCTCACTTAGATTCGGAGATATTCCTCGAAAACACAGCTAAGAGCTAAATCGACTTAAACCGTTTTACCGCTTCGCTACTGAGTTTAAACTGTTGGATTTTTAATAAATTGTTCCTTTCTGTTTCTTTCTTCAGTATATTAAAAATCAACCACCAAAATATCATTCCCGAAATGTTACTTCCAGGCTGATCGAGGAAGATGTGAAATCGTGTAATTCCCTCCAGACCCACAGCCGCAAGAATTCCGAAACCTCGAGAGACACCGGGTCATCAGGAGACGGCGATAATGACTCGCCCTCGAAGCACGAGACCCCGACCGACGGTGAAGTGGATGTATGGAAGAGATGGGGCCATATCGTAGCAGACTGGGACAATTACTCCAAGAAGCACAAGGACTTGATCAAGGAGCTCGTGAAACAAGGCATTCCCCACCACTTCAGGGGCATCGTCTGGCAACTGCTATGCGGAGCCCACGATTCCCCAGTGAAGAAGCAATTCGCTGAGTACATCAAGGCCACGTCAGCCTGCGAGAGGATAATCCGTCGAGACATAGCACGTACATATCCCGAGCATGAATTCTTCAAGGAGAAGGATGGATTGGGTCAGGAGAGCCTCTTCAACGTCATGAAGGCGTACAGCCTTCACGATCGTGAAGTGGGTTACTGCCAAGGCTCAGGCTTCATCGTAGGACTGTTACTAATGCAACAGGTAACTTGGAATAGTTGAGGAACTATTACTTTCGTATTTTACGAAGTAGACAGGTCCATTACTGTTTTCCGAAATTTCCATCTGGAATTTATTACCTCAAAGTTCTCTCTCAATTAATTTCAAAACCAGGTTTGTTCTGTTCATGTGTTCATGAACATGCATGGATTCATTAAAAAAATCTGAACCATTATCATCGTCATATTAGGGCTGCCTTTTAAATTTCTCCCCTAAAATTTTTCATCTCAAAGTTTTTCTTCCAAAGTTCCACTGTTATAGATTGAATATTTTTAATGCAAAAGGCAATTTAGAAAATTTGAGTAGTTGTTACTTCTGCATTTTACGCGGTAGACAGGCTCATTAAAACTGCCTTCTTAAATTTCTCTTCTATAATTTCTGTAGTGAATTGGTAAACTAGGATAAGTGCATTTCAACTGAGGACAATTATCAAGCGATATCTCGTAAATAAAAACAGATATCGAAATTTTTGTCAGAAACTTTTTTGTAGCCCACATCTCCCTCTACAAAAAAGGTTCTAATAAAAATTTCGATATCTGTTTTTATTTACGAGATATCGCTTGATAACTGTCCTTAGTTGAAATGCACTTATCCTAGTTTACCAATTCACTACAGATTTGTGATCTCGAAGCTCCTACGTTGAAAATTTCTCGATTAAAAAGTGATATTGAAAACAAATGTCGAAACTGGGTTTTTCTTTTATTGCATTTACCATTGACATTAAATTTGTTGACAATTGCGTATGGGCTTTTCAGGAATTTTTACCAGAACTCTAATAACAATTACAATTTTTTGTGAAATCTTTATTATGTAAAACGGTTCAAGTCGACTTAGGCTTCAGCTTGAGTTCTTGAGGAATATCTACAAATCTAAGGAATATAACGCAATTTTCGTGGTAATCTTTTTTGCAGCTCTCGATTTGCTCTAAAAACATGTCATTACGAAATTCCGAGATATTCATTGAAAACTGGCCAATAGGCAAAATCGACTTGAACCATTTGTCATCACTTGTGCGTAAAGTGAAATTTTAATCTTGAAAATCCCACCTTCCACACATTGTGATAAAAAATAGGGTTTGATACTCGTGGAAAAAGTGTTCTTCGACCCTTGGGAGTGGCAAAGCCAATAGTAGATTATCGCCGTGTAGCATACAATATTTTATGTCATTGTGCCCGATAAACCACGATTTTAACCTCGCTTGGCTTGACCTAAACCACCTTAACGCACTCGTATCGAAATATACTATTACCACTTCCCTCCACTAAGAAAAACAAAGTTTTTTGAGAAGTACGTCTTTAACTACATCAAGAAACTCGTGGCTTGAAAATTTCCAAGAGCAAAATATCTTGCATTAAGAAAAAAAAACTTTTCTCAAGAAATTTTGTACTTGTCCTAGAGACGCGGACAATGTTTCGATGATAAAAAAGCGAGTTACCAACCCAAGTAAAATTGAATGAGTCCATTTGATTGTTTTTAGCCTCAATTCTAAAATATTTTAATGCAAAAACCACTTGAATTGACTTGAGACCTCGTTCTCTTGATATCAACCAATTGCCCTCATCTTTCGGACAAGTATAAAATTTCTCGGCGTAAGATTTTGTTTTCTTGATGCAAGTAAAAACGTACGTCTAAAAAAACTCTTGTCTTCTCATTGTACCGAATAGTAACTAATGACACTGTACGCAACAGATGCCAGAAGAGGAGGCCTTCGCAGTTCTCGTTGCCCTCATGCAGGAATACCGTCTCCGCGACATGTTCAAACCCAGCATGGCTGAACTGGGTGTCTGCATGTATCAGCTGGAACACTTGGTAGCTGACACATACCCAGACTTATCCGCTCACTTCACTGCTCAGAGTTTCCACACCTCGATGTACGCCTCCTCCTGGTTCCTCACGTTATTCACCACTGCCTTGAGTCTCCCCCTAGCCTGTCGCATCTTCGACGTCTTCCTGATGGAGGGAATGGAGATAATCTTCAAGGTGGCCCTAGCGATGCTGGAACTGGGACGCGAGGAGTTGCTCAGCCTCGATATGGAGGGAATGCTCAAGTTCTTCCAGAAGGAACTCCCTGGCAGAGCTGAGAAGGACCCTGCGGCCCTTCTTAATCTCGCCTACAGACTCAAGATAAACCCAAAACGCATGAAGAAACTGGAGAAGGACTACACAGTCCTCAAGATGAAGGAGCAGGAGGAAATGGTAGAGCTTCGTCGTCTTCGAGCTGAGAATCGTCTCCTGCGTCAGAGAACGGAATTATTGGAAGCTGAGTCTGCAGAGTTGGCTGATCGTCTGGTGAAGGGTCAGGTCTCCAGGGCGGAGGAGGAGGAGACGACGTTTGTGGTGCAGAGGGAACTGGCAGCTCTTCGACATTCCCATTTAGAGACTTCCCATCAGCTTGAGCAGGCTCACGAGGAGTTGAGGTCCTTGTCAATGCTCCTAGAAGAGAACATGTCTTCCAAGCAATCGTCGATCGACGAGATCATGTCTAAACAAGAGGCTTTGAGCCAAAAAGAGGAGATGGTGGAGTGCCTCCAGCAGGAACTGGTCAGGGTGAGGCTCCACGAGGCCGAGAACGACGCCACCATCAGGGAACTGAGGAAGAGAATCCAAGAGCTGGAGCAGGACAAGAAGACTTTGAGGGAATCGACCCCCGATAATTCTGTGGCTCATCTCCAGGAAGAGCTCATTGCTGTTAAACTTAGAGAGGCGGAGGCCAACTTGTCCCTGAAGGATTTGAAGCAGAGGGTGAGCGAGTTGAGCACCGCCTGGCAACGACATCTCCAGGAGCACAGGTCTGCACAATCAGCTCCTGCAGCAGACTCAACTCCCAAGAAGCTGTTGTTCTGGGAGAACAGGGGCCATGAAGTGCAGAAACTCGAGGAGGATCTCATGTCAACCAGGGTCAGGGAGATGGTGGTACTTAGTGAGGTGAAGGAGTTGAGGCTCAAGGTGATGGAGCTGGAGACGCAGGTCCAGGTGGCCACTAATCAGCTGAGGAGGCAGGACGAGGGGGAGAAGGCTCTTAGGGAGGAAGTCGAGGCTGCTCTTGTCAGGGAGAAGGAGCTGGCTAGCAAATTGAGGGAACAGGTGCACAAGTACTCGGATCTTGAGAGCAAGATGAAGGATGATGCGATGATGGCGAGAATCAGGGATGCTGAACATGCACAGCATGTTGCTGAATTGACGCAGAAGATTTCTTTGCTCCAGTTGAAGGTAAATGGAATTCTTTATATTGAAAAATTTTGTAGAGATTTAATTCAGTAGCGAAGCGCTAAAATGGTTTAATTTCTTAATTCAGCCATTTTCAATCATCAAATTTGTCAATTAAATTCAGTGTCATTCAAATTATATTTTGCACAGAATTATTATTTTTTTAGGCATGAAATCGATTTTTGGTAAAATTCGGAATATGAATAAATTTGTTACGATGCCGAACAAATGATTTTTATGATGGAAAATTGATTGTTTATAAATTATTCATAAAAAATTGCCTTAATTTACCAAAATTGCAATTTATCAATTATTTTATCAATTTTCCCCCAAAAGTGGACTTTCTAGTTTTTTTTGAGATTCTTAAAATATTTTCTAATGGTTCAATATGGAGATACAAATTCAGACTTGTAAAATTTAAATAATAAAATCATTGTAAAATGTTCGGAAACTTAGGGCCAGATGGGGCTGAAATGGAAGCTCTGATGTTCGACTACAAAAGTAGAAGAGCATTGGTCAGTTTTATCACTGAATATCTCGGAATGTTAGGCAGATAGCAAAACTTTTTTTGCAACCTTTTTTGTAGAGCGAATTTAAAGCTACAAAAAAGGTCATCACAAAAATTTCGCTATCTCCTTTAGATTTGGAGATATTTGTTGAAAATTCAGCTGAGAGCTAAGTCGACTTGAACCCTTTTATTGGAAACAACAATCCAGTTGTTGTAATTATAGCAATTGCCTTGAATGAATTATTCTTGTGTTGACAGAATGAAGAAATGTACGCAGAAGGTGAACTAAGAAATAATCTTGACGACAGTGAACGAGTGCGAGATTTGCAGGACAAAGTCGCTGAATTAAAAGCTGAGGTAATTAACTTCCCTCAATTGATTTCATCGAATCATTGTCCATTTATCAGAAGAACCATGAAACGTTTTCCCGTATAATTAAAATACCAAACTGATGATTGCGAGAAGTTGAGACGAAAAGTGGACATAAATTTCTCCGGGAGCACTTGTTACATCGCATTCGTTGAGTGTACAATTACAATTAACACACTAATCCCTTATTATAGTTCCCCACGCCAATAACCAGCCCTGAGACAGAGCCTTGGCGATGGCTCGAGTAAGTTTATAAAAGTCTCTCGAGTACGTTTTTCTTTGAATAATGAATAAAACGTGTATCAGTGTTATGTACTGAAGGGGAGTGTCTTGCTGGTAGTTAGAAATCGTATGAAAATGCTATCAGAGTTTGAACGTCGTGAGATAGTCAATGAATGCCCTGAAGAAATGTCTGGAGCTGACTGCATGATTGAGATATTTTCATTAATTGTGAATGTGATGATAATTTTGCATGCAAGTCTCATGATTTCAGAGAATAACAAAAAGAATTCTCCAGTTTCTAGAAATCAGCAGGAAAATAATCAACTACAAGATATGAATAACGAGTGCGATGTAAATTTCATTAGAAAAATTCTGCATTGCATTATGTAGTGACAGATCATTGAAAGCATTGATTTTACAAAGCTAATTATGATGTTTTTATACAGATCTTGAGATTGAGAAACAGCAAACGCCAATGGACAGGCTCAAGTGATAAAAATTTCACAATCGACACTGAGAGTGAAATTGACGATTTACGTATCTGCTTACAAGACCAAATGACGAATTCAACATCATCAAGTTCATCGAGACTCTAGCATACCGAAGAGCTTGCATCGATAGATCCACGAATGGGTGTACCATCGATGCGAGCTATAAATACTTATTAAATTAATTAACTTAAATTTATAGGCGTATGTATATGGCACAATACAAAGTATTGCATTATTGCATTTTAGTATTAGATGCTCTGCTTTTAATAACTGAATTCTTTATAAGAAAATTGAATAAGTGATAGGGAGTATTATAACGATTGAGCAAATGACGATAGTGGATTTATATGAATTATCAGTTTCTGTGAGACAGATAAACGATTTATAGTGTTTTAGATTGTTTTCATATGATGAAACATTCAAACTGTTGGTCCATTGTTACTTCAAATGATGTTATTGACTTTATTATTTTTTTCAGATTTTTTTTTTATTTTAATAATACGATAACTGTAAGACAGTTGGATTATCCTATTTTAAGGGGCCAATCGTAGGAAAATTGCGGAGTTGATCATTGTTTCTTCATGTAGTGTTCGAATTATTTATTAAGGTAATAGTTGATGTATTGTGCACACGTGCAATTCCTGTTGTGGATGCAATTACTGATGGGGAGATACCAGTTTTGAAGATCATTTGAATTTTTCCATGGGATTTTAATTTTCTGGCAGCTTTTTTTCATTATCTGACATTTATACTTCGTATTTTGTGGGAAATGTTATTTTCTTCTTGTAAATCATTCAATTGAATTAGGGAGAACTCTGGGAATTTGTGAATAGTGAATCGAAACTGGTGCACTTACATTACAATGAACAATTTTATATAATTTTTTCTAATGTTTTCAATAAGAGCATGTGTACATCAACACCAAATAAACGAAGACATTAATTATCTGCAATATTAGAAACCACTGAACACGATCTGTAGAAGTGTGTAATTCCATATGAAATATACTAGATGGCAGTGAGCAAACAAAAAAATCCAGCAACCATTTTTTTATATATTTTTTTCTTCTTCGTTGTCCTCAGGGGGAGGGTGACGGATACAATTGCAGAATAAAAAATGTACGGATATCGTTTCATGTCAATAGTACTCACTCCATCTCTAACTCTTGGATCTGGAAGAAAGTAATAAAAGTGATTAATCATTAAATGTTTTTAACCAGAAGCTATTTTATATGATCCGCTGATAATGTCGATAATTACCTCCTGCATCTTCTGAGTCTCTTGCGTCAGCAGATTATCGAGAATTTCTTGGAATCTCTGGCGTAACTTGAGATTCTCGATGTTTGAAATTTCTGCTTCTTGTTGCTCTCGACGATGACGTAATTCTCGGAGCTCACTGTGCAGTTCTTCGAGTCGTGACTGCACTGAATCTGTTGCATATTAAAATACATAAAGATTATGAACAGATAATTCTGGAGGAGTTTTGAAATTTTTTTTTACATCAAAAATTTCTTTTAAAATTCTTCATAAAATGCCTCATTCTAATTTTTTATTGATTCAAGTACATTCATTACATTCATAATTTTATTTATTCACTGTTTTTTAATACATGATTCCATTTTCACTGGGTGGATCCTGATAATGCAAATGCGTCCAGTAGACCAAAACAAAAAAATGTGAAAAAAAATTATAAAAACAATTTAAAAAAGATTAATGAAATGCATTTGTATGATCATGATGCCTCTGCGAAAATGACATCACCTATCCAGAAAAGAGTGAATAAATAAATAAGTTAATAATGGAATTGAATAAAAAATAAATTGAATAGGTGTCAATAAAAATTTAATTGAATTATTGCATTGAGTCATGAATGAATTCACCTTTAGTCATCGACATTGAGCCCCCTTCAGAGTAGCTGTCAGGAATAATATACTCCGAATGGAATTCCTCCATCTTTGGGATCTTCTGAACAGTTCCACGACTCTCCTGATCATCCTGGGAGTCAGAGGGGAACATATCCTTGCTGAACTCTGTGATTAATTCTGTAGTGTTGGCGTCTTGTCCTGAGCGTTCACCATATCGCACTTGCATGGAGTTTGAGTCAGAGACTCTGCTGTCTGCTGACAATCTGCTGTTCTCGTCCAGCTCCATGACGTTGATGTTCGCTTCTTCGTCGTCGTCCTCACTGTCACTGACAGCCTCGCCGAATATGTCATGCTCAGCTATAATAATATAGTGTATCCGGAAAAAATAACATTAACACCATTTCATTGTAAAATGAAATTTTTACCATAATGTGAGAGTTTAAACCCTCCACATGCGCTTTTTTCCTATAATAATGAATTAATTTGAAAAATTCAGGTAAAAACCTAAACTTTTAGTCCCAAACTTTTTTTTTGAGGTCACCTGCCCAGACATTAATTTTTTTCAAAATTTCATCAGATCTACGGATTGTTACTATGAATGCCTTAAAAAAGTGAAAAAATTCACAAGGAGTACTTTTAATGAGTATAAAAACACAGATTGGTTTCAGATTTTTACAGACCTTGAAAAAACAGGTGGCTGGATTCAGGAAGAATCCCAATCAGAATTGCATTATATTTTTATTTGATAAAATGATAATTATATTATAAAATCATTAACACCATCATCACTCATTTTGTTATTTAATTATTGAATTAAAGTACAAATGATAGAGATGATGATAATTTCCTTGCCGTTATCAGCGTAAACATCATAAAAGGATTATAAAATGGTTCGAAGTGTGCATAAATGTTCTAGAATAGTTAATCACTCACCAGGATCAATTATGGGACTATTACAATTAAATTATATGATTACTTATATTATTAATTTAATTGCTATTATTATAGTCAATATAGAATAATTATAAAAATAATTAGAAGTGTGTTTAACTGTTTTAAAACAGTCGAATACTCACCAACATCAACACTCTGCGAGGAATTTCCATTAACATTATCTCGTTTCCCCTTGACAGTCCCAGAATTTGATATTTTGTTGGGTTTACTAGTGTCTTCGTCCTCACAAATCACCTCCCACTTGACGTTAACAGCGTCGTTATCACCCCTCAGAAGTCTCTTGACTTCCTTCTCAATCTCTGGTGCTTCGACATATTTTTTCTTCAATGTTTTTCTGAAACGTCTTCGCCGGACGTTTTTTACTGGCGGAGTAACACCGTGCGGCCACAGGAACTTTCTGTCTACTTTGTTTGGGTCTTTCTTCTTCTGGCGCACTGGGGACTCATCGTCTGTTATCTGGTCGTCCTCTTCTTTGCAGAGAAGCATCTGGAAGTGGAGTTTAATGAATCGAAGCAGTCTTTTTTTCTATTTTTGGGATTGAAAATGGATTCAGGGGGAGGGTGTTTTTTATTCGAGGGTATTTTTACCTGGCAAATGTCGGCCGTTTTGTAGAAACTCTTGTTGTCGATTGTTTTTAAGGACTCGACAACAGTTGGAAGATCAACAACCTAAATATGATGATAGGAGATTGAGAATCTGTTATGAATTTTTGTTTGAAAATTATAGTAGGAAATTTACGTGATAAATTACGGAATTTTGTCGTTATTTCATGAACATACTTTAACATTGACACAATATTAATCCGACAAAATAACCCATTGCACACAATAAAGTCCCTTCATATTTTTTTAAATGTTCATCTCCCAATGAAACTCTGCGTTATTTTTTATTTTTTAGATTAATTATTCTTAATAATACTAGACTACTGATTGACCACAAACTCAACCAGAAAGTTTTGTAAACTTACGTTAAGAATTTATTTCAGATTTTAATCTTTAAAATTCAAGTTATGTTTATTCTACTTTAATCCTCGGTGACCAAAGATTTTGCAACTATTTTGTCATTTGAAGATCTGGAAAAGACTCGCTATTTTGAATCGTTGAAAAACATTTAAAAAATCTGGATTAATTGGAGAGCCCACTGAGAAAAATTAATTGAAAATATATTCAATTATACATCAACTGAAACTTTCGATTGGTTTCATGGAGGATTCGTTAATAATTAATTGTTTACCCACAATGAGTTTTTCTGAATCGTGAAAAATGTCGTCGTGTTCATCTTGTTTTTTCAAAATCCGTGTAACGTTTTCTGTAATCGATCTATTGGGCTATAATTTAACTCTATTCATTGGTATTATTATAGGTATATACCTATAGTTATGAATCTTTATAGGTATACTCATAAATATCGACAGCTAAGTATTTCTACAGCTAGAAGTATGCCTACGAAATTTCAAATGATAAAAAATGAAAATATCCTGATTAAATACTAACAAAAAATTAGTGTAAATCACATTCCATTTGAAATGAAAATTTAAAATTTGCCAATGAATTTTAATAACTTTAATAATTAACCCATCACAACAACAGGGATATGAATGTATTAATTTTTTTATTCATCTCTTTGGTGTTACAAATGAGGAATGAATGTAGTTTTTATAGAAAAAACCGTAAGGCCCAAAGGGGATATTTATAGCGCACGGAGCGCGCAGATACGCTGGTGTCAGAAAAATAATGTTTACGCAAGCTGAAATAATTCCCATTATTTAATTACAAAAAGGAAATACGAAAAAAACTAATTTTTTGCAAAGCGTTATTCGCATGAATAGTCTTGATATTGATTAAAAAAATTCATAAAAAATTTCTATAAATATTTCTATAACTAGAAGTATTGCTATGCCTACGAAACGAAAATATTCTGAACAAACAATGACAAAAAATTAGGGTAAATTCACATTGCATTTAAATTGAAAATTTGAAATTTGCCAATGAATTTTAATCATTGCAATAATTTATCCATTATAACAACAGGGATTTACAATGCATTTCATGCATTCCCCGTGCATTTCTGAGGAATGAATGTATTTTTTTTACAGAAAAAAAACCCTAAGGCCCAATGGGTGTATTTATACATACATTCATTCATTATATATAATAAAGTTTACGCAAGCTGAAATAATTCCCATTATTTACTTGTAACAAGGAAATACTCAGGAAAAAACTAATTTTTTGCAAAACGTTATTCGCAGGAATAATCCTGAATATAGAAAAAATGGCATAAATAATTGCTCATTGATGAATGGAATTTCCCATTCACTAGAATATACAGAGATAGCCCCCATTCTTGGACGTAAACAAATATAAATCCCCTGGTATATAAAAAAATCGAAGAAAAACATCTGTTTTTCTGACCAGTTCCTCATGAATATTCAATGTCTTCAGATAATTCCATTCCATGTCATGATAAATTCCTCCGATAACTCATGAAAATCGTCAGTTGATAATTGAAACTTTTAAACCATCGAAACAACTCGATTTACCTTTGCATGCAATAGCCAATGATCCATCCTAACTTCTCCATATCTCATATCATTCTCAAGTTTTATCGTAAGTCTGTCCTTGAGAGGTGCCCCAGACTGGAGTAGTTCTCTGAGTACTTTGGCAGGTTCCTGGAGGCACCAAATCGAAGAGAATAAAAAAATAAAAAAAACTCCACATGACAGCAAAAATTAGTTTTATCAAGAGAATTATTAATTTTATTTCAACAAACTATCATTTGGTTGTTAATTTTCAAATAAACATTCTGAAAAATTGAAGTTCCTTTTACTTGTCGCAATACTGAGAGTATATTTGATTTCTTTTAAGCCAAAAGTTTGCCAACTCTAGAAATTCGTTGGTTTACTCAAAAATCAAAATTATTCTCATGACTAAATACGTTGTTATCTCAATCAACACGATCATACGTTGTTCCAAGTAAATTATAATTGAAGTGAGCACTTCGTATGTCGAATCAGGATAAGTATTGTCACGCAGAAAAAGCTTTGAGATTGTAATAAGATGTTGCTGAGTTGAAAGAAGTTTATATTTCTTGACTAAAAAAAAATCGCATTAGTTTACAATAACAGAATCACAGATTACGGCAATTCAACACAAACTTGGATATCACAAATTTCGTTCAATGTGATGTACGGAAAACTCAATTTAAACATCGGCTTCATTCGAGAAAACAACATTCAATTTATTCCTCAATGTAATCATCTCCTAGGTACAAATTTTTGCATCAATTCATGAATATAGAAAACTTTTCGCCTGGAGATTATATTAGATTAAAAAAATAGAACTTTTCCATTTTTGTGGTGAATACATGTGACTCGAAGCCAAGGACTATTTTATTTGATTCAAGTAAATGTATCTCAAGAAGAAATAATTGATATTCACCGTAAGATCTTAATTTGAAATTGGTTCAAGTATACAATACTCCTTCCAAGAAAGAAACATCTCAATAAGAATAATTTTTTCTATCACTCCACGAGGATATTTACCACAGGCAGTCGCATGACAAATTGGCTCTCCAGCTCGACCTGGTCCCCCCGATTCTTGACAACCTCGGGATTGTTGACATGTCGATGCATTATGAGCAACAATTAACCCCCAATAACACTAAACCCCAAAGTAAATCCCTCCCGATGGCCCTTCACGACCCAAAAAAACAATTAAAACACTGAAGCTAAAAACTCCACTCACAATTCCCAATCAACTTTCTAACTTTCTTCCGCAAAAAGAATAACACCACAGGTTATGATGTTTACAAATAAATATTCACTCGTGTTGCCCCTCACCGCAATTTCGGAGCAAAGAAAACAGTTGGCACAACTGTAAACGATGACGCATCATCGTGCGCCCTGGGGTCGCCGAGGTGGGGAAAATCCGGAGAAATATTATACTCACTCGCGGGTGGGGGGGTTCACAAAGAGGGAAGATTTCATGGGGCAAGACCCCACAATTAAACATGGCGTCGGTGGGGTGTGGCGCACGCGCATGCGTACAGAACTCGGTTCAACAATACGAAAACACCTCGGGTGGCATGGTGCCCCCTGAAAGCCCCCTCCACACGACAACTCCGACTTATCCACCGGCCGGCGAAGCGCCCCAGTATCTCTCGATATTTCGTGCCGTGTCAGTCTCACTCCTGAGAGCCAAACGATTTCGTCCCACTGGTATAAACCCCTCGTAACGCGGCGAGAGAGCAGCGAGAGAACTTTCACCCTTGGTTTTATAATTTTCATTGAGCGGAGAAATCATTCAACATGACTGTCGCTACTGAGGCCGAGAACAACACAACTGTCGCTGAGAAGGAGAATAAGGACGTTAAGGACCTTAAAGCGGCGTTGAACGAGGAGACGCCGTCTGACAACAAGCAACAGACTGACGATGAGACCAATACCGAGAAAACAGAGGGTGAGAAAAAGGAGGACACCACCAATGAGGATAACACGAGTAAGACTAATGTACACAAGGTCAATTTCGAGAAGGACGTCGTGTATCTTTATCAATTGTCACGCACACCATTGATACCATCAATTTCACCAAATTGTCTCAAAGTCGAGACTTGGTTGAGACTCAACGACGTCAAATACGAGGTAATTGCCACTCACTCCCCATTTCTTTATTCTTAGCTTCTATTTTTGCAATTCTCCTGCATCTCCATTATTTTATTTCCATTTTCCAGACGTCTAGATTATCTTGAAAGCATGAAAAATATTTTTTCCACTCCCTTTTAATTTTTTTTATCGAGTTTACTCATGTGAAAATTCGATTGTTTTATTCTTTTCTCATCAATTCGTCTGAATTTTTTTATTTACATTGGATTTTGTGGGGGGCAAATGTTCTTACATCGAAGTACTTTTGTTGTTGGGCTCGAGTAGGACGCCATTCTTAAGCCCCCTCATGTTTCGCCGTCCTTGTTGCATCCTCGCCCTTCCCTTTTAAAACTCCAGGGGCCCCCCCGTCAATGCTTTATATAGATTCCTTATGGGACAAAAATGCCACTCTGTGTTGGCGTTGTAAACGGCCCAGTAATGGGGCAAAAATTTCCGAACGAGGATGTTTTCTTTATTTTCACTTCACCAAGTGTGTTTATTCAATTTCCGAGATTTTCCATGGCTCCCTTTGAGTCGGCGGTATCGATTTCTCTCTGTCGGGTTTTTTTCCCTCTTTTCAGGGTAAAAGAGGGTAATTTAATTTAGAGGCTCAGCACAGAGTTCCTGGGGAAAAAAAAATAAATGAGGAAAAATAATGGAGAATATGCGTCTCAGACAAAGGCTATATTCATCCCATCCGACTTTCTTCAGCATTGCGACGTAGAATTATCTCTTCACTCTCGCGAGACGAAAATACGAATGAATGAGTTATGATTCATAGCGTTGTTGATGATAAGAGACCCGAGAAATGTCCAGTAATTTCTATCGTGAATATTTTCACGATGCATTTAATGTGTAGCAATGTTTGCAATTTTCTGCACGGATAATTAGTTATTCAGGGCACGATGGCAACAGTTATGCATCGTTAATATATTTTTAATTGACATTGGAAATGCACAGCTCTCTCTCTCTCTCTCTCTCTCTCTCTCTCTCTCTCTCTCTCTCTCTCTCTCTCTCGCTGCGATAGTCCCTGGATGACTGTTGTAAAAAATAAAGAGATAAAATTCACATTTATTTAACGCTCGCATGAGCACGACATTCAATGGGGGCAGAAGGAACTCAAGGCACTTTACACATAACAATTCTACAAAACGTTTACGTCCTGTCATTTATCTTTTGTAACATTCTTATTCTTCAAAATGGGTGGGGTACATATCAGCAACAAGTGATCTGATGTATCAAGAATTTTTATTTTTATGCACCAGATGAAATGCTCGTTAGGACAATTACCTCGTGTATTTTATTGCTACGGTATCATCTAAACTCATAAAACCGTTACGGTTTATCCGACCCCTCACCAGCGAGCTTAGTGGTCAGGGTCAGGGCATTAAATGACGGATTATCGGTGGCGTAGGTCATTAAATACTTTTCCGATACCGGGAATAACGCGGTGAGATTAAATCGACAATTAGCTGGTGAACGACGAAAGAAATTGACATTATTACGTGCATTAGCTTTCACATGCGAGGTGTATTCCCACGAATTACGAACAAAGGGGGGGATCGATAAAGCGTGAAAATTTGATGAGTTTGGGTGACTGGAGTTATAATCGATACAACATTGAATTTCAAATTGAGGGGTTGAGAAAAGCCTCGAAATTTCACTGCAACTTGAGCAAAGTAATAAATGCAAACGTTGAATTTCCAATATCAGAATATTTTATTCATTCAACTGGAAACTGAAGTATGATAAATCACGAGATTTTCGACGACCTACTTTACGACTGCATAAATCATGAAAAACTATTGAATTGCAGTAAAAATAACTCCATGGGAATAATAAAAATCGAAATCCCCTTGAATATTGTTACGCATTTTCTCTCCTTTTATTCCGTTTGTTCCGAATGAATGAGACAGCCACAGAGGTTTTCTCTCTTTCTCTCTCTTGCTCTCAGCCAAGTGTTGGCCCAACGACGATCAATACTAGCATACAGTGCGAACGATAACAGCCACGATGATGGCAACTCCGGAGCTGTGGAGTGGCGGGGATGTTGCCAGGCAACGGAAGCTGTCTACCCATGGGTTCATCGGCCTTCCTCCCATTCTCTCTCTCTCACTCTTCCCCCGTTTCACCCCTCTCCGTTGGCCATTCTCCCCCACAACATGTATAATACAGTGTTGGAGTGTAATTTTTTGTGAACGACGTAACTTAATTAATTACATTTGATATGTCGTGGCCATTAAGAAACGCGAGGAAGCCTCATCCGTCTCTTCCTCTTCATCTTATTCTTCTTCTTCCCCTCTCGCCCCCCCCCCCTCAATTAACTATGATTAAGTGACAAAATGTATTTAATTCTTTCAGAATGTCGACCATAAGATGAAATTCCGCTCGAAGAAGGGACAACTGCCATTTATTGAGCTCGATGGCTCTGAAATTGCTGACAGCTCGCTGATAATCAAAGAATTGAGCCAGAAATACAGAAAAGAGTTGGATGCTAATCTCACTAATGAACAGAAGATTATCTCACACGCTATGATATCGATGATTGAGAATCATCTTGTGTGGGTGTACACCTACTGGCGCAGCAAGAATATGGATCAGATTATCAAGGGGTATAAAATTAATCTACAGCACGCTTTTGGCTCACGTCTCCCCAATAGTATTCTCAATTTCTACTTCAAGATGACGTATGGGCGAAAGGTATGAATTTGAAAGAATTGGATTAATTAAACGAGTTAACGAGAACATTCCTGGGGTTCTCAGCGCTAGGGGTGAGGGTATGATTCATAGAATTATCGGTTTAATTTACAGAATCTGAAGAAGGTGAAGGCCATGGGAATGGGCGTACACAGCACTGAGGAAATTATTCAGTTGGGGTATGATGATCTCAAGGTGCTCTCTGAATTACTCGCTGATAAGCCATTTTTCTTTGGTGATGAGCCCACCACTGTGAGTATTAGTTTGAATTAAATTAATAAGTTATGATTTTTTAAAATATTTTTATTTCAACTGCAAAATGACGAATTTGAATATAAGAATATTATTTATTCGTGGTACATTGTTTCGAGTTTTGCTAGTTGGGATGTCGCCTAGTTGAAAAGACATGGATTCAGTTTGAATTAAAATCATGAATTTTGAAAGTTTATGCATATTTTTTTACATTTTGGGAAAGATTCCATCTAAAAATTAGAATTAGAAAGCTCCTTATTAATGCTCTGGACTACAAAATCCCCTAAGATCTACAGAAATCATACGTTTTATTTTAAACTCATTCATCCCCAATTTGAAAATAAAATGTTATCATTGTTTGTTAAAAATCATTAGTCAATGCATTGAAATTGAGGACAAATTCAGTTACAATAAATTAATAACAAAGAGTCAATTTTATCTGTTGATTATATTAATAACTATAGGGTTTCTTCTTCATTATCATAGTTTTATTATGTATTTCTCTTGTATACAGGGATCTCTCTTGTTAAGTGGTACAATGTACCAATTGCAATTAAATAAATATAAAGAAATGAATAAGAAATGAAACTTTCATTTTATTATATTTTGTGTTTCTTAAATTCACTGCTCTTATTTATACATTTATTTATTAAATTTACTTGTTTCGTTTTATGAATTAATGAGATTTCCACTGAAAAACGTTTATTATAATTTCAGTTGGACGTAACAGCTTTTGCTCACCTGGCACAAATCCTCTACATCGAGAAGTCAACGACCTTCGCACTGAGGGACTACATGCAAGAGAATTGCTCCAATCTGGTTGGCCTCTGTTCACGAATGAAGGACAGATGTTTCCCCGATTGGGATGAAATTTGTAACACCCTGGATTTAAATACCCACTTACCAAAACCACCGAAGGAGGAGGACAAGGACAGCAAAGGCGAGAAGAAAGAGACCAAGGAGTCCAAAGAGGGTAAAGAGGGTGATAAAGAGAAGGCCGATGCTGAGGAGAAGGAAGGTGAGAAGGATAAAGAAGTTGAGGAGAACAAAGAGAAGGAGGAGAGAGTGGAGGATAAATAAATACGTAATGGTCGATGGCTGATGCAGAAAATAAAATAAGAGAGGATGATGACGATGAGATTAAAAAAACAAATGATTAAGAATGAGTCAGATAAGGGGAAAATTATTTGAAATCGTATGATGAATTAAACGTAGAAAATTTATATAAGAAATATGAAACAAAGAGTCTGGAAGAGTTCACATACTTGCTTGTGTAATTTTCAAAGTATATATTACTGATTATTCATTTTTATTATATTGATTTATATTCATTTTTTATTTTTATATATTTTTTCTCATTTTAGAATTTATGTGTACCTAAAATATGCATTTTTGCTATTCTTCCGACTCTGCTGAATTTGTTTTATTGCGATGATTATTATAGTGACACTGGTGTTACAGAGTCAGAATGCAATATTGAAGCAATTGCAATAGATTTTGCCATAAAGATGATTTGTTTTTCTTTAAGTGAAGAAATGTAAAGTACGTAAATTTCCGAGGAAATCTTGAATTCCATTGAGAGTCGATTGCCCCTCCCCCCGATTTTTTACGAGACCTAATCATTTGAGGGAATTTTTAAATGATTGAAAAAATTAAACTCAATTTAAAATTGTTATGGAGTAAATAATAAATAGTTATTAGTTAAAGCTCTCTTGGCCATGATCGATTGAACAGTCGATTATTGGCGAAAGTTTAATGATAATGAGTCAATGAGGATAAAGGCCCGATAACAAATGCAACAAAATCGACCAATGGAGCAGCTCAATATAGCAAAAAAAAGTAACGGAACTAAAGTCGTATCGATAGTCAGCAGTTTTTTGAAACATTTCGAAAAATTTGTTCATTAAAAGTCATGAATTTTGTGATATAAATGAAAGCGAAGTTACGATACGATTTAAACAACAAAAAAAAACGACTGTATTATTAACCAATTGCATGCGTCATATTCTAATCGATTCGAAATTTATTGAGTAGTGTTAGCGAATTTAAACGAAAATGAAACACGAATGACGTCATCAAAGTACAATAATCATTTTTTCAATAGATTTAAATTAAAAGGCAGGAGACAGGAGAATTCATTCTGAGATTGAGTGAAATAAAGGGGGATTGAGTATCTCTTTTTATCGCATTTCATCTTGTTTAATGTCTCCATGCAAAAACGCTTTCGATGTTTTTGAACACCAGTCTTGCATTTGTAATAACAATTTTTTACACTTTTTTTTACTTTGGTCAATGCATCAACGCCATTCCTGTTAGTGGTAGATTTTTTTATATTGTATATTCTTTTTACTAAACGATATATTCGATAAGAAACCGATAAACGGTTGAAATATAAAAATACGAATCTTTTTACTCAATTTTTTACAAATATCATTTTCAAATCTCGAGACATTTATCATTATCGTATGCATTGCTCTTATGAATGACGAAATAAAGCATTTGGTTCGATCTTTTTGTGCATTCTCGTCGTAAATTGCACATATAATTTTCATCTATACATTATTCATGTCGATTACTTCATTAATATTCATGTAATTTCTCGTTTTTTTTAATTTTTATACTTGTAATTAGTTACTTCTATTCTCTATATTTTATGTTCGAAGAGTACTGGATAAATCGATGAATCAAATAATTGATTCATTCGATTGACGAAAAGTCCAAAACTATTACCATGACATGTCTTTCTGATAGCCGAGATGGATTATTTACTTTTACGTTTGCCTTATTTCTATTTTTTTTTTGAATAAGTGGCAGCTGCTGAATACTCGTACGCCTTTTAAATAATCCCGTTGTTTTATTATTGAACTGAGATGATAATTTGATTTTTAATATGATGATTAAAAAAATTAAAGAATGAACAAACATGTATTGTGTATTAGGAAATGAAGGGGAATGATGGGAAACGAATTGAAAGCACATGCAAAATAGTTTATGAATAGTATACAGTGCATATTAAAGTAATTCAATGTGAGTTATAAGATATTTCGGTTTATACTCAGTGCTATACATTTCACTGTCATTATTACACCACCATTAATTGTATCATGCGAGAAAAAAAATAAAATGTGTTTATAAATAAATATTCATGGACTTTTCTTTTATTACTCAGAGTCGGAGGGGTTCTCAGTCCCCAGTACCGGAAAGGAACATCGATACCGACAATTGTTTGCTGACACGAAACCTCTCAGACAGTTTAGAATGCTTTTACTCCCTGCTGGGTCTAAATCTCTTGGGAATTTTTGGGGCTTTCCCTGAATCGGTACTTTCCCAACCTCAGACGCCCTTGGGTCCTAGCCGCTGCTGTTAGAGCCATTAAAAAGAAGGAGCCCCTTGCCCATTTCTACCTGTCTCGCACCTCCTGGGGTCGTTACTGTGTTAAGGTCGAAGGTTCAACCGACAATTGAATTTCCCTCATTTTTGGATTTTTATTGTTTTATGAGCTTCGAGGTAGAGATCAAATATGCAGAAGAACGTATTGATTTTTTGGGGGCTGTTTAAGGGGGGGGGGGGCAAAATGGACAGTTTTTAGGGTGCAGTGAAGGTTTACAATATGTTTTTAAATTTTAAGGTCTATCCCGAGGGGCTACAATGAGAAAAAAAATTATTTTTGCCAAATATTCTTTTACTTGAGAGAAGCATTTATTTTTTCAAAATCGTATTTCTTCAATCGAGTAATTCCCAGGTGAGCCTGATATTAGGTTTCAATTATGACAATGATGTTCCTCTAGATACTGACTATGTTGCACATGATTTTGGATGAACTCCTCCAATGATTATTCATTTTGCATAAATTTCTCATTTTCCAGAGGGAAAAATTTCAATTAATTTTTTAATGTTGATAATTATTGAGGGAATTCACTTAAGGTCATAACTAACATGATCATCTTCTAGAGGAATATAATTGTCATAGTTGATGCCTAATGAGGATTACCTGGGAATGACTCGATTGGAGAAATACGGTATTGAGAAAATAAATACTTTCCTGAAGTAAATGGATATTTCCCAAAAATAATTTTTTTTCTCAGTGTACTCGCTCCCGAAATCACGGCGCCCCTCTGGCATGAAATTATTTCGAAATCACTGAAATCAAGTGATTTCAGCTTTCCGAAATCATGTGAAATCGGCTGAAATCAATGAAATCAATGAAATCACCGAAATCAATGGCGCACTGGCATAGTACGAACCCCGCAAGTAATTCGTGATTTCGAAACTGACACGCCTGCCAACGATGATAATAAAATGCCATACTCACTGCCGCAGTAAGATGGTAAAATGGACCGCTTTTCATCGTCATTAGTTCAAAATTGACGGGCTGGAATTAAACGAATTCGTTATTATTTGCCAGTTATTATTGCCAGTTTTGATTTTCATAATTTGACACAACCCGTTTTGCCCGACCCCTATTATTTATTAACTTTATTTTTCTGAAATCACTGATTTTGAATTAATGAAATCATAAAATCATCTCCCGTGACGCTCAAAATCACCGAAAATCGACATCATTTCGAAGTCTAAACGAAATCGAATTCGATAGAAAGTTCTATTGGAATTCCATTGAATTTTTCAAAACTTATTCGGATCATTGATATGCAGGAAAGTTTGAAAAAATTTTTGGTAGGATTATTCCATTTGAGTTTCGACTGATAGAAAAGCTTTGTATCCGAAGCGCTAGGTTTTTCGATTGAATTTTTACACGTGAATTCCTGCTGTTGTAATGAATAAATGATTGAAATTATCCCAATTCATTGGCCAATTTCAAGTCATACAAATTGCTCAAATTTCGAACATATAGCTATACTTATAGCTATAAAGATAACTATAGTTACCGAATATTTATACTCTCTCCCAGTTGAGTTTTTAAGGAATATTTGCGAATCTAAGGAAGATAGCGAAATTTTCGTAAATACATTTGTTATAGCTCTCAATCGGCTCTACAAAAAAGGTTATAACAAAAATTTTGTTATCTCCTTTAGATTCCAAGATATTCATTGAAAACTGGTCACTACTTCGCTACTGATATGTATAGTTCTATCTGTAGCTGTAGAAACGGTGATAGCTATGTATAACTATTTATGACTATAGGTATTTATAACTATAGTTATGGCTATAGTAATACCTACGAATAGAGTTAAACTCTAGCCGAAATAGATCGGTGACAGAAAACGTTAGGTGGATTTTTTTAAAAAGAAAAATTCAAAAATTCTGCTAGCATCTTCAAGATGTTCTTATAATCTTGAAAATGAGGCCAGATTGCCCCAATTTGTGTCATTTAATCAGCAAACATTGAAGGTTTAAGGAGGTCAGTTTCTTTATTGATACATACTTTGAGTCATTTCCGAGACGTTTTCCTGTGGATTTTCAATCGAACAGCGCACATATCTCCAACCAATCACCATCAGCGCTACGCTCTAACTTCCCGGAATTCATGTTGCCGAGCATGAAAACTTACCCTAACAACCCCTGTTTCAATAAAAAAAATATGTGTCTGATATGTGCATCCGTTTACGTCATGTTCACCACTGCGGTACCAAATAGAGGCGAAAATCTTTTGATTAATCACTGAGAAAGGATTACTTCCCTCCAAGAAACTTCAACTGCGTTTTTTGCGGGGGGAATTACGAATTGACAGTGGATTTAATCGCGGTATTCAGTTGCGTTCGAATGGATCGAACCAGAGCCTCTGCATCATCAGACGTCATGTCAATGAATTGAGGCAAATTGGATATTCAAATTAATATCTAGAAGTTGTTCATGTGAGTATTTTTCATTTTTGGTTGTTATGTAAACCTGCCCAACACTGTTAAAAAAAAGAAATTTCATGGACAAAAATAGTCGACTGGTCATTTTCAGGAGAGAGACACTGAATCCGATTTGGGGGAAAAATAATGAAATTTCAGATTTTACTGAAAGTTCCATGAAATTCCAAATTCTTGAGCAGAATTGAGAATATCCAAGTACTTTGGCTATTCTTTCTCCAGTGAAATGCTTTTCTACTTTTGTAGTCGGACATCAGAGCTTACAATGATTTTATTATTTAAACTTTGCAGGTCTGACTTTGAATCTTGATATTGAACCGTTAAAAAACATTTTTTAAATCTGAAAAAAAATTAGAAAGTTAACTTTTGGAGGAAGATTGATGAAATACTTAAACCATTGTAATTTTTTAAAATTTCGAGCATTTTCGGTAAATAATTTATAAATAATGAATGTTTTAAAGAATAATAGTTCTGTGGAAAATGTAATTGGAATGACGCTGAATATTCATGATTTTTTTCAAAATTTTCTCACGCATTTAATTTGACAAATTTGATTATTAAAAATGTGTTGAATCTATAGTGTTCTACCAAATGGTAAAAGATTCTTAGATATCCTCAAGACGAGAATTCCTCAGCTTATTTCAATTTCCCATGAAAAGGCGAATGAACAATGCCAAATTACGCTGAATTTGCAACAGATTTAAAATTTTAAAATATATTTATCGGGCATTTCTGATTTCTATTAATTTTCAGGGAATAACTGCACTAAAATTTACAGTTCCCATTGGTTTTTTCATGAAATTCTCAAATTTCAATACCGGAATTTCATGAAATTTCAGTGGAACTAATGTGTAATAAAATTTTCCAAAAAGTGTACCGGAAATTCAAACCAAAAATTTTCAACAATGAATGCCCATTACCATCGATCAGTTCTATTCAGTAATTTCTCGTAATTGAACTTATCAATTCGAAAACTCGAAACTATATAGAGGCATGAATTTGAATGGATTTCCTCATTCATTGGTTCAATTCTCAGAAGAAATTTCAACAATGGCTGTGGAAATACTGGACGTAGATCACTTTGCCATCAGTGCTGTTGTCACTATTTGCATGCAGCTGATATTCTTCTCAATAGCCGCGACATTTCAAATGGACAAAGTCACGGATTTTGCTGGCGGTGTCAATTTCATCATTGTAGCCCTTTTGACGTTCTATCTCGGTCAAGAAGGAAAAGTGAGTATTCACAATTCTTCAGATTTAGAACTTTAATTGTGCACTGGTGAAACCAATAAATTAATTCCACTTGAAGATCAATTTTTTTTACGAACTCAAAATCGAAAAAATATAGCAAAATTCTTGCAGAGTAGAGTGCACTGAGAGTAAAAATGAACGAATTGTTGATTTACTTCGTCGATGCCTTTTTGCTCTTCTTTAATTGCAAAAATTGTTCTAGACTTACGACAGTCGTCAATTGATGGTGACAGTGATGGTATGCATCTGGGGGGCACGATTGTCCCTCTACTTATTCTACAGAATCCTCAAGATTGGCCGAGATAAACGTTTCGATGATCGCAGGAGTAACGTCATAAGATTCGCTGTCTTCTGGTCGTTTCAAGTAAATATTGAATAACAAGTAGTCCTTTGAACGATTCAACTCGTAATTGATGAGTGAATTTCTCCAGGCAATCTGGGTTTACGTCGTGAGCTTGCCAGTGATACTGATCAACTCCCCTCGGCACAAAATTCCAATAGCTCCGAAAACAATGACGACTCTGGACAGCGCTGGAACTGGTTGCTTCGTCATTGGGCTTCTAGCGGAGACTTACGCTGATTTGCAAAAATTTGCGTTCAGGCAGGATCCGGTTAACAATGGAAAATGGTGCAACGATGGTAAAAATTATTTTCGATATAAGACATTTCGATAGCTTTCGGTCCATAATAATTGTTTTCTTTTTATTGTTGGCATTTGGATTTAACGAATTGACATTAATCGACCTTAATTTCAGGATTGTGGAGCTTCTCAAGGCATCCAAATTACTTCGGAGAAATTCTCGTGTGGTGGGGAATTTTCGTGATTTCGTTAAATGTTATCCAGGGAATAGAGTGGGTTGCGATCGCCTCGCCAATTTTTACAACGTTCATATTACTTTTTTTATCGGGAATGCCATTGTTGGAAAAATCAGCGGATGAGAGATACAGAGAGTAAGTCAATTGTTTCTTACTGAGAGTTAATTATTCCATTGTGAATTAATTCAGTTGAAACGAGTGCTAGAATTTTAGAAATAGATTTTTCTTAAAGTTTATGTTTTGGAGAAATATCTCATACTCCAAGGGATATTGGCTTATCGGTTCTCTGTTACAGTCCATTTTAATTCCGGAAAATGATTTATTGAAAAATAACAAACTTTCTAATGTGTTTAGGAATTAGTTGGGGGGAAAAAATTTTTTTTTCCCTTTATACTTGAAACCGCTTTTTATCACCTTCTCTGTAACAGATATCATAATTTCTCTCTATTATATTTTTAACAATATTCATTGCAAGTTCATGTAGGAACCAAGCACAATATTTAAATTTTATGTTGATAATTGCTGTTAATGAGGATTATTAATGTCACGTAGGGAAAAATTTCATAGAAAAATTTAGCACAATTTCTAATAAATTCTATTGAAATTTTGTTGAAACTGTATAAGGAGTTTATTGGAGGTCTATTAGAATTAAAAATCTTACAACTTTGCAGTGTTTTTCTCCAATCCAGATTTTTTTATCGAAAAAAGATTATAGATATGGATTTTTCCATACAACTCAATCCGTAAGATTTTTTACTATGAGAATTCTTGCGGATGAATTGTTCAAGTTTTTTCTTCAATCTTATTATGAGACGAAAAAATAGCGGAAAAGGCTTTATTAAAAACTTTAAATTTAAGCCCAAGAATTTCTACCGAAAGATCATAATCTGTTGACTTTTTTCTGTCAAATATCTCTAAAAAAATGAATTATTCGATAGAATTTCAGCAGAACTTCAGTCCTAATAGAAATTCAATAGAATTTCTTCAAAACAGCGCAATTATTTTGCTATTAAATTTTCTCATACGTTTCATGAATCTTTTTCGAATTAAAATGAATATTATTTGGCCTGATGGTCTTCAGGATAAAAAAACCAACAAAAAAGATTAAATTTTTTGTTTCAACGTTTTGGTCTCCATTGAAAACCCTCTTTAGGACAACTATTCAATCGTCATTCCCTGTATACCAACGTATCACAATTGATCGTTCACATCAAATTTGTAATTTAATTAATCTCAGAAATATCTTTTGAATTGTTTTCTCAGTAATGCGGAGTACCGGCAGTACAAACAGTCAACGTCCCCCCTGATTCCCCTGCCCCCGACAATTTACTCGGAAGTTCCCTGGTTCCTCAAGTGCTTCCTCTGCTGTGAATTTCCCCTGTACGATTCCCTAGATGTCAAGCCACGTTCAGCTGTCACGGAATCAACGTCGATCAGCCTGGCAGCGTCCACGTAGCTATAAATTCACGTCGGGTTTTCACTGCTTTGAATCCCGGCGTTTCTTCATTTCAAACAATTTTATTTTTGTACGATTTGTTGTGATTATCATTTTTATTTGTTGCAATTCTTCAATGACTTTTCAATTCTGTATATTCTTATTATGTTCTCGTTATTCTTGCATTCGATGAAATTTTATATTCTGTTTTCTAGCCTTCCCCAAAAAGTTGGATTTTTTCGTAATTTGTCCATAGTTTCTTGATTTATAAACTGAAGTTGTTTATTCGAATTTCTTATTATTCTTTAATCGTTACTAGGTAGAGTTTAATCAAATGAAAACAAATTTATTCCAAAGGAAAATAACTGTGTGGAATAAAATAATAAGACAAGTTGAAACTGCGAACAATTCTCTGAAGAAAACATCATAATCTGAATTGATAATCTGATTGATTGATGTTACTGCACTATTCACTTATCTGCTTATCTTATTCTGTAACAGGAATATTCTGGAATAGCTGAAAATTCAATTTATCGATGGACAATTGAGCCAAAGAGTGATAGAGAATCGAAAAAAGTGACATTCTGTGAATGCTATTTTCTGAATTGTTTTTGGATCGAGAGTGAGAGATGAAGTTTAAACCCTGACATGGACCCCCTGGGGTCGCATGACAGTTCATATCTCCTGACAAAATGCATAATTATTTGATTTCAAAGGGAATTTTAATGTTGAGAAAAGCGTTTTTTGATAGTCTTCTAGAAAATAACATATTTTGTTTTTCTATGAGACATTAGGAGAAATTAAATTGTATCTGACGGCGTAAGACCTGTCATTGGGAGCCAAATTTGAGGGTACATAAGGTTCTCTGAGATAGATAATCATTTTGTAACAATTTATTGATTGACATGACCTACTGTTCATGTCAGGGATTAAAAGAATAAATCTAGTCTGTAAACGAACAATTTAAGCTCAACGAGAAATAACGAGTGTTGAATGCAGAAATTCTATTTAACTAGGGGAAAAAAATACGATAAAACTCAAGAAATACCGAGTTGGTGTCCAACGATGACGTATTTATAAACAAAAAAAACAGGATTGAAGATAAAATTTATCCAAAGGATGTCTTCTAGACTGGACCAATAGCCAAAGAGGGGTATAGCTATATCAATTAGATGTTATTAGGTTTCAAAATTTTCCGAGGCCTCATTGTAATGCAATTACGTGTGTACCAACACTCTGGTCCTCTCAAAATACAGTTAACGTCCTCAATGGAGTGAAATGCAAATGGATCTGATCATAATTTGCTCTGATTTCACTTCATCAAGGGGTTTCGTACGTAAAAGGTGAATAAATGATGAAATTATTATTTATCTCACGAAATTAATCAACTGATTAAGAATTTAAATTTTGTAAAACTCCATTTCAATTCTTAATTATTTGGAAATAAGACCTACAGAATTGGAAAAAATACATTGTGTGATAATTTGTGGATTGACCTCATAATAAACCTTTTACAAACGAAAAACCTTAAAAAATCATTCAACAAATTGTTGTCTCAAGCTCAGTCCTAGCGAATGCTTCCAGTGCATGAGAAAGAACTTCTTAGCTCTAAGAGAACCACAGAAGAAAACTAAAAATTCAAATTTCTGTGTGTCCTGTAAATTCGAAGAAGCCTTAGTATTTCGTAAAGAATAAAATTGTATCACTAATTATAATTAATCAAATCAATGGGGAAAATTAAAAAATGCAGTTGCATCTAGTTGAATCGATGAATAAAGCAAAATTACTAATGATAATAGGGGCGTAAATATTTAGACAATAGATTTAATGGAAAAACGAATTTATTTCTCTTAAAATTTGTACATAAATTCAAATCGCCTAGTTCACTAAATATTAATCAAAAATATGAGTCTTCAACGAGAGAATATTAATTAATAGGTATGTAAGATGGTAAGGGCCCTATAGGGGGTCTTCTAGGGCGTACTTCCTCAGCAATTGGTTGTGATTTCATCTCAGTATCGCCAGTGATAACAGAAACATCGGGCTCCTCCGATGATTTGTGCACCATCTTCATTACCCTAATTTTCTTATTGATATTGGACTTTTTTCTCTCTAAAGCGTCGTTACTACAGCTATCATCGTAATATCTCTTTTTACTGTCATCGTGAGATGAAATGTCAACCGATTTTCTCAGTGATCTTGGCTTGTTGAATGAGTTTAAGGGTCTTGGAAGCCTCAGAGTATTTTGCTGTGGTAACAAACATGTTTTATGAGGATATGGACAATTCTTACCTTTTGCACATTTCCCGTACTTGTCAAATTCAGGACAAATGTTGGTATGACGCTCTTTGCACTGTGAAATAATTTGTTGGATGATAAATAGTTAAAGAAATTTGGAAATTATATCACGTGGCACGTTGCAGCGCCATTGATTTATTGTGAAATTTTATCATATCAAGTTGTAATGTTATTGATTCTGTTATTTATTGGAGAATAAAGAGATTGAGATGTTTGGAGATTCAAAATATTTCTGCAGTGGTACTGTACATTCTACAGTTACAGATCGATTGAGACAATATTGTTCAATTGAATTGAATTTCGAAAATTTGAAAGTGAGAATGATCTTAAATATTTCAGAAATGGCGAATTCCATTCAAAGATGGTTCTTATGATCGTTTTCGTAAGTGGAATTGGTTGAGTCATAAGATTACAGGATACGTTTGCACTTGATGGAAAATTGAACATAAAATTTTATTTCATAAAGAAACATTCGTCTTAATTCGAGAAAAAAATCCCAGAAATTTGAAGACATGAATGTAATTCTGAGGATTTTCTATTGGAAATGACAGATTAAAGTTACCATCAATGTTTTAAATAATTACTTTTAATCAAGGAAAAATATCCTTGTGTATTTGATCATGACTTTCCAGTCGAAACGTTAAAATTTCAAGACTTTAATTCAATTCTAAAGATCTCTTAATGCAATTTTGGAACGAAAATTGTCAAAAAAATAGATTAATATCACCGATCAGTGTAAAATTATAAAGAATATTCTGTTACACCTGGAAATGTTGAAAATCTCAATCAATTTGATCCAATAAATTCCAGAATAAATTGTACCATTGAAATTAAGAGAATGTGAAAATGAATTACCTGATCACCCTTGGCACAGTATCCTCGGAGAAATGGCACGCATATCGGGGTATTCGCCGAAACCTTGACATGGAGATACTGACAATTATCACGTGTGCAGCAGCCCTCGAGGAAGTACTTGCACGTTGGCATTTTCTCAGGCCCAACGTCGTGCGACAGTGGACAATTATCGAGAAGGCATTTACCCTGGAGGAAACTAATTTTCGAGATATTGATCAGCGAGGTTTTGTCATTCAGTTGAGGAATGATTGTTGGAATAATCAAAACTACAAGTTAATTGTTAGATAATGAACGTGAATCGTTTGTTGATGAGCTGACGATGTAAAAGAATAACAGATTTTCATAGAATTCGGTGCATGCAGAATTAATAATTTGCGATAAGGGCATATGTACTTTTTACATAGGGCTACTTGTTTCTTGTCATGTACTTTGGGGCAGGTACCCTTGATATGTTTAGCACAGTAGCCAAAGCGTTGAAAGAGGAGACATGGCTGATTATTTTTGCACATCTTGTGTCGTAATATTTGTAATGACCTCTGTTTCACTCGATTGCTGAAAAATAAATTAAAGTGTGAGATTAAATCAATGAAATTGGTGGTGTCAGGAGGATTGCTACCTTATGACGTGCTTGTAGTTGGATTTTTGTCCTGGAGTCTGTAGGATTGTTTTGCGCAGATTACTGGTGTTTATTTTTGCTATCTTTCCGTTTATTACGACGTGAGTGCGAAGTTTTCTGGGTCTAGAGGAGGCAGGAGTAGGCTTCTTGGGGGGCTTGGGGGATGCACTACTACAGGAGCTCTTCACCAGGCGTGATTTAGAAGAACGGTAGAAAACTCCGTCGATGTTGACGAGGTTCTTGTTGTTGGATCTATACCAGGGGTTTTTGAATATTGAATTGGCTAGTTGCGATGTTAGGGGGGATTTTGTCAGTTGAAGAAGTTTCTTGATGTTTTCTCCTAAATCCAGCCATTATCGAGGTAAAATGAGAAACCAACGTTTGGGCGAATGTCCCCAGACTATTTTCAAGAATAAATTCTGCAGTGAAATTGGTAAACTAGGATCAGTGCATTTTAAACAATTTTTTTTGCCAAATCACTTGCAGAAATTGTTGGGTAACAATTGAACCAAAAAAACACATTTTCCAAAAAAAATCAATTATTCTAGTTTACCAATTCACCACAGAATTATAGGAAGACTTAATTCACTGGATGGGAAATTTTTGTATTCCATTGGCAATAAATACATTTTCTGCACTGCTTCTTACGATTTCTCGTCTGGGAATTGGTATTGCATACTTCCCAAACTCGAAAACTTGAAAATCATTACAAAAAATCTTGTCCCGGGCTGTTGCCATGGGGTTTTTTTACTCATGTGGCGTTGGCGTCCGAATCGAAAACGAAAAATACTATTTCGGGGACTGATATTGACCTTTCCCCGAACTGGCAAAAGTGAAAGTCACTATGGAAAAATATCATTTACCCCTAGTGCCACTGGGGTTTTCGACGCGAAATATACGATTTTTTTCATTCTCAAATCGTAATTTTGTATTAATTCAAAAGGGTTTTTGTGTCTTTTGTAAAAGTTGTGGAGGTATCCCCAGATATTTTTGAAGAATAAAATTAAAATTGATTTTATTCAGTGGATTACAGGCTGTTTTTGTAATGAAAACAACAGAAAGTGGCCTTTTGCATCCCAAACGACATTTTAGTACCGGTCCAGAGGGGTTTTTCTCTTTTTAGACAATTTTGGGGGGAAATGTATAGAGATACTATACATTTCCAAAGAAAAAGAATAATGTAAACTCTATTCACTGAATGGGATTTTTTATTTCTATGGGAAAAAAAACGAAAATGTACGTTTTTTTACCCCTAAACCACCCCTGAATCCACGAGGCTAAGTATTTTTTCAGGCAACTTCGGGAGATCTCCCCAGACATTTGTCAAGAATAAAATTTAGGTAGTTTATTGATCAGTTCGACAATTATCAAAAGTGTCAAATTTGATGTTTCAAGATTTCTCACTTCAATATAAAATTGTTAAGACCCGGGTGGATTACCTTTTGAACTTCATCTTGATTGTTTTGTTTTGATTTTGAGAATTTAAAATATTCTCCAATTGTGCAAGAAAATACAATTACAGAAACAACTGAACATTTTCAAAGAGGGTTTGTAAATAAAAATGGGGAATGCATCCAATAGAAAAAAATTGCAATATTCAGTTCTTTTCTACTTTTTGTTGGTTGCACAATAACACAATTTTTGGGTACTCCAATGCTACGTAAAATAAAATGGCAACTGGAGAATATTTTAGACGTTCAAAAGAAGATTCAACCGATCCTTAACTATAAATTATCTCGGTAACGAGTGGAGGGAAAACCTTGAAGATCATTCTTGGGAATTATGTCAGCTATGAAAAAGGCATTTCAACATTTTCATCCAACTTCACTCATCCTCGAATTAAATACGCAGCTACCAAAATGCACATCATTAATTCATGCTTAAGCTCCATAAATAATGATAAATGATTTAAAAAAATCTCACCCTAACGTCCTCCTCGTGACTCCAGCCTTAGTCTTCTTAGCCCCAGTCGTCCTATCAATCTTGTACTTACTCCCCGAGCCCTTGGAACTCGAAGCACTGGATTTTAGAGTAACCTTGACATTATTAACCTTCCTCAGGGTCCCCACCTCCCTGTTGATCCTCTTCGATTGCCCCAAGACATTATTAATCTTCTTCAAAGTGCTGTTCACCTTCCCCCTAACTACATTAACTTTCCCCAACTGATTTGACCCATTAACTTTCTTCAATTGCTTGCCCCTAGTGATCTTCCTGATTTGAATCTTCCCCACCGATTTCTGAGCCAAAATATTCCCACAATTTTTCCCAACGATCTTCATCGAACTCTGAGGACTGCTTTTCGGTGGTATCCTCACCAATTTCCTCCTCGACAGTGACACTAAGTTCGGAGAGGGACTTTTCTCAACAAAAACTTCAGGTCTCGTTCCATCCACTCCTAACCTTGAACTCTGAATTTTAGCTTGGGCCTCATCACGACAAATTTCCTCCACAATTTCCACGTCTGGAATTCTACTCGTGAGTTTTTCCATCAATCTCGGGTTCACGTAAACCGATTTCTGGACACTTGGAGACTCTTGACAGTCTCTTTTGGAGTTGACGAATGTGTCCGGGATCATTCTTTGTTGGATTCCACCATGTGTTAATGCATGTGCATTCACCATCCTTGGATTCACGTGAATAGCCATGTTGATGTGCACTTTTGGATTTATGTGAATAACATTTTTCGAGGTCTCCTTGAACATGGGGTTCACGTGAATTGTCGAGGGTTTATAACTCCCCTGCATTTTTGTGGAGCAAAACGATGTGTAACGCAGTTGAATAAAGAAACTGAAGCCATAAACTCAAGGACGTCCACACTCGTCACTTCAATGGAAATTTAGGGTGATTCTCATGTATCAATGGATTACGAAATGTCCTAATTAATTACCAATTCGATAAATTAATTATTTTCAGCATCGAAAAATCGATTGTGCATCTCAAGTAGAGATGCGAAGGCGTCATGTGACCGGTCATAAAGTGGTTATGTGACCGTCAATGACGGTCACATGACGAGGCCCCAATGACCACCGGTCCGGTCACAAAAAATGTTTCCATGACGGTCACAATTGGCCGACAAACTGTGATGGTCATTTTGCATCTATATAGATGAAACACTTTTTTGTTCATCTATTTTTTTTCTAATTAACTAGAACTCTTGACTTCGTTTATTTTGTTCCAAAGATGAAAAGAGTAATCATTCTCTCATGAGTATGCCAAAATATGTGTAAGCACATGTTTCATCATTTTTATAATTAAAAAAAGTTATTGTACAGTTGTACACATACATTTCGACTCTTCCATAAGTACCTTATAATAAACGATAATTGATAATCAATAATAAATTGAACGAATAAACGATGCCAATTATGTAGAAATTATATGACCGTCACGAAAAGAAATATATTTATGAGGGTTATTTTGCACCTATATAGATGGTTTGGTAACGGAAATTACTATTTTACTCTTTTGACAGTAAAAAAAAAACGCTTTTTAATTCTGTGACGGTCACAAAAAATTGTGACCGTCATTTGCCATTAGAAATTTCGAGACGTCACATGACCGTCATTTTTTGGTCATATGACACAATCACGGTCATATGAAAGATGAAAATGACGGTCATTTCGCATCTCTAATATCAAGAGATGATTTTATGAATTGTTTTGATGAATTATTACGTTCCAAATGATTTTTTTTCTTTGAAAGTACAGGATTAGGTCGTATCGCCATAAACGAATCACTTATTAATTGTATGTATCGAGTGGCGTTGGTTTCATCCCTCAATCTCAATTAGGAGAGGAGAAATTAATTTTTTCATCACGCTGTGACGAAAAGTGAACTTTTCGGCACGCTCCACGTGCCTAAAAGCCCAATTTCCGCCACATTGTGATGAAAAATACTGTTCGTAACTCGTGAAAAAATGTTTTTTTGCTCGTGGGATTATATCACTCGCCTTCGGCTCATGATATAAACCTCCCACTCGCCAAAAAAAAACTTTTTTGCACACGTTACGATATATACTATTAATTGCAATCGGGAAGTATTCCGGGGCCACTCGGCGCTTGAAAAAGTATGGTCAGAGATTATGCGGGAGATTGCCAGCGCTTATGGTAAAGTTTCAACCGCAAAATTTCGTAGCGGTGGCGCATGAACTAATCCAGAGTTACGTACCCGTAAGGCAGGGAGCGTACAAGATATCAAGTATACGCATGGAGGTATAGTACATAGAGCGCTCGTTCTCCATCTTACCCACAGTATACGCGCTACGGAGTTTCGGACAGAAATAGACAGTACTGTGCAAAAGAGACAGCCTATGTAAGGGAGTATCTCGATCTCTCTAAAGACCACCATACGCAGACGCACGACGTACGCAGACCTGGTCCGTGTGGACACGGTCTGTGGTCTGTACACCCCCATGCACGGAACGACCAGAATGTCTGCGATACTGATACCTTCATATGATTTTAAACAATTCCGCGATGAATTTTCTTCGATTAAGAGTATTCCGATCATTGAATGTTTTTGTTTTTACTTCAAAAATGATGAAAAATGAAATAAAGGTCTTCATTTTAATATTTTGTATGGATTTCAACAATATTCTCACTGTAAATGGGTAATTTCATATATGTATTTCAATGGAAATATTTTATTCAGGAGAAACAAATAATTCCCTTATTCTGGATGGATTCTCTATAAGAATCCAATCGAAGATCTATTGGGGACGCTAAGGTATGATACAAGCAGGTATGATGAAGCCAGAAAACAGGGGACAAGTTCGCCGGAGTGCCATAAGCGGTGTTCCGGTCGACTTACGCTTCCCCTCATCTCCTTTAGTCTCCCACCACTGGCACTTATTTTGCTGGAGGGAACGTTATGAAATTTATCTTTTAAGTCAAAATAATTACCCCCGTATGAAATTACATGTACAATGCGAAGAAAAATAAAAAAATGCAAATATATTCATGGTTTTTCATGTACTATTTCTTTAATAGTCAATTACCAAGATTGAGAGTGAAATCACTGCTCAATATAATTGCATTAAAAATAAAATGAAAATGCATTTTTGTCCAATGTTGAACAATATTTATTTTTCGCGCGAAAATATCTCGCGAATGTTGTTTATGTCTGCTCCAAAACGTACTCCAATAGATCTGAACAGTCTGTGCGAGTTGATTCATGCAAAATGGTTAAATCGTGTGCAATTATAAATTGCAAAGCATCTTCTAGGGATAATTATCGTTTTTTCTCCCTTCCCAGTGTGAAAAAAATTGAGAAGCGACGACAATGGCTGGAAAAAAGTGGTGATTTGCTACCGAGTGATCAAGTGTCAAAGAACGATTGTTATTTGTGTGAGGTGCGTAAATGAATAGTTCGGACTTTTTTTTTCTTTTGTGGCTCTTGAAACCCCTTGTACCTCATGTATTTCACCCCTCGTGACCATTATGACCCTCGTATCTTTTTCAAAACTTGTTCATAGAAGAAAACATTAAAAAAACATAGTTTAAACTGGGATCCTCGTTATCGTAATCCCATCCCTCCAAATTCTTCCCTATCAAGCTTCACTGAAGAGAAGAGGAATAATTAATTGAATGGACTTCTGATGTTAATTATTCTTCCTTCTAATTAGTATTTCAATCGTCTAGTCGACATGACTCTCAGTCAATCTTTATCGCTCGACCCATGGAAATGCTGAGAATCATAGTTTTCATCTCAACATTTTTTAATCCTGTTGCTCTCGATTGAACACAAAATTTTATTTTCATCACGCTGTATCGGAGAAGTAACTTTCCGACACATTGTGATGAAAAATTTTGTTCGTAACTCGTGAAAAAAGTGGTTTTTGCCTCGTGAAATTATATCACTCACCTTCGGCTTGTGATATAAACCTCCCACTCGCCAAAAACCACATTTTTGCACTCGTTACGAAATATAGTATTTCTCTCTCATCAAAAAAAAAAAATGATTTGACGGGGATTTGAACTCGCGACGCAAGTAAAATCGGCGTGTGGTGGGAGATCTAATCCGCGTGAGGGGAAGGGACGCAACAGCGCCGCGCGCGGCTTCCGTTGGAACTTGTCCCCTGTTTCGGTGTCGGCGACATCAAAGCTTCACCATACCTCCCTGTATCATACCTTAGGGGACGCTATAAATCGCTGCGATATCTAGTGGGTATCGCCTGAACTAAGAAAAATGGCCGTCCGATGGTTTATCGTTGGTACTTCAAACAATTACTTTGCAAATCCTCCAGTTTTTCTAAAATATGACACTATCGGAACTTCGAGTACAACAATAAAAAAAAATACAGAAATGAATGAGTCGAAGAGGAACTACTACTGTCAGCTCCAATGTGAGGGTTTGAACAAGTTTGAACAGGTAAACCATCGGTCGTCCATGTTATGAGGGCGATCACCATGCCGCCATCGGGAAATAGCGGTCCCAATTCCATAGAAATAATTAGGAATTACCCTGCCCAGAGAGAGGGGGATGCACACGCTCGTTTGTTGTCATCAGCGAACCATTCGTGCGGCCATGTTCAATATTTCCCCCTCTACATTGCCTTCTGCTCTCCCACTCCGCTTTCTACAGACAGAGAGAGAGAAAGTGGAGCGCTTCGCGGCTATTTCTCCGTATTTTCGTAAGCTTGGAAGACGAAAGAGCGCTCTAGGTATTTCTCCCCTCCCTAATTGAGATAAAGGAATTAAACTAAAGCCAACCGATCGAGAATTGTATTTTTAATAAATTACATGGGTTTCATTTCTTAATCACAGTTAGGAGTGGAGGAATGCATTTTCAAAAACGCGGATTAACCCCAAACTGGCAGCAACGTCCAGAGTACCGATTGGGTGGGGGTAGCGCGGTCAATTTAAACATCTCTTGAGAGAGAGCGATGAAGCGTTGTGCTTGCACTGAGAAAAAAATCTCCCAAAAATTAGTGTGCTGTCCCCCAACGCCGGGACATAATATGGGGTCGTCGAAAAATTCATAAGTGCCACCCTAATTTTTGCTGGGACTCCGGCCACTTTTTCGGGGGATTCCCGTAAAAATTAGTGTGCCACATGCGAATTCTCCGATGACTCCCTGTTATGTCCCAGCGTTGGTGAACAGCACACTAATTTTTGGAAGGATTCTCACAAAATTACGATGTATTTTTTTCTCCGTATGGAGCTCCCTCGAGCCAGTGGTACCAGCTCCTGGTAAAAAAAATACTGACGATATTGCCACTTTTTCGCATGGATTAATATTTTTTAATTTATAGAAAAAAAACAATCTTCAAACCATTCAATGCGTGGAACAGATACAAATAAATTTGATTAGCTCCAAAAATAATTTTTAACCGCAGATACTCCCTAATATTGCCTGAAGTTTGAATCAGAATGGGAAACATTTTTTTGTTCAGCAATTGGTTTTCTGCAGGAAAACAATAGAAACCCCTCGTTATCGACGCTCTCATACGCTCCCGGCTTTACTTACAGGTAGGTGCTCTGGATTAGTTCAAGCACCACCGCTACGAAACATTGCGGTTGAAACGGTTCCATGAGCGCTGGCAATCTCCCCTATTAGCTCTGGTTTCCATAAGCGCTGGCAATCTCCCCGCTGTGCATCCACCACAATCATACCATCCCAGCGCTCCAAACGTCACTGTATAGATCCAAGAAGGCTAATAAAATCTAGTGACTATCTAGAGAATGATAGAAAAGTAGATCTAGAGATGTAAATGCCCGTCTTTTTTTAATGACATAAATTTTCAGGTTAGAAAAGATGGGTAAATCATACTTACCATAAACTTATCACATTTCCCATGCCAAATACAGTAAATAGATATCTTATAACTTTTGGTTGAATTATTGTATTTTAATTCTCCTCCTGAGAATGGATTCTCTCAGAGACCGAGATGGAATTCCGAAAAATCTAACCACACGGATGCAACCACACTTAGCATTACCCAGGAGTCACGGCGTGGACGTGGTGGTGCGG